TTAATAACAAACTAGACGGATCACAAATATCTCAAGGCCTTCATGTTTCATTTACATTCGTAAGTTTTTTAACCAAAACTTTTAACGGTTAATTAAAACTCGCGCTTTTGTGCCATGTTTAAATTAAACCTAATGATGTGTTAATTTTGAAACTTAAAGGGGTGTTTTTTCCTCATTAGGGCTGGTGCTGAAGTGCAGGATGTTTACTTTCTGTTTCGTTAAGTGTTATTTTTGCGATTTACTCGGCAAGGCTAGATTAGATTAATCAGAAATTCTTAAGAATTTACCATTTTTTTAAGTAAATTCTTGCAATCATTGTTGCATTTTAATCGTTTCCGCTAACTAATCTTGAAATATCCTTGTATTGCCTAACTGTCATTCTATTGCTCTCGAGATATGTTTGCTATACATGTATATACATGTACATTGTACATGCATTCCTAGGTGAAGCATTCGTTCCACCTAGGGAGTTATTTTGAAGAAATTTTACATGCAGCTAACATGTAAATTTTCTTACAGTACAGACTTAAATCTGTTAAGTCATTGACAATTAGGTATATATAGGTATGTATATGTATTAATTAAAATTGCTGTAACCATGACATATGTGTTAGTTGATCATAACGCTATCTAGAATAATCTGCCCCATGTTAGCGTTGCGGCTTATGACCACTTGTTTGATGAGTTTGATCCTTTCGTTTATAATTGCCTCTTCTCTTTAATCTAAAACGAGAAAACGTCGCTTGTAAAAATGAGATCTCTAACGTACGACAAATGATAAGGCTGAAGAATATATAACCTGATATATTTTTTTACGTGTTGAAAGGTTTCTGAAGATTCTTCTGATTTTACTCAAGACGCGAGAAGAGAACAGAGAAGACTTTAAATTGGAATAATTTTGCACTGATATAATTTCTGATAATTGCATGTGGAGAGAGATCCTGATTTTTTCCCGTGAAATGATCCATGGAAGAATCCATTCACTGACAGAGAGAAAATGACCGTTCCATAAATAGGGACGTGCTTACATCTGATACTACTTTTAATTAACTATCGATACGTGTCGAATCTCCGGTCTGTTTCATCTCAATAAATTATTTCACGAAAATATCGTCATCTTATAATTAAAATAGGCTGGTTAACCAACAGGATTTATATCCAAATATAAACAGCATTTTTTGAATAGTTTATATATTCAAAGATAAAGTACGTTATTTTTATAACCAATTATAATAGTATATCAATATTACATAATCACTTAGCTAGTCATTAGCTATATAGGAGACATAATTTACAAATACATGCGATCGATATACATGTACATGTATTTCCCTGGTGGAGCTAGAAAACTGTATGACAGACTGTACAGGGCCCTGAAATGTGCCTATCTGAATTATCTTGCATTTTTAACCTCGACCCTTTAGAATGGGCTTCACTATTTAAAGGTGTCTCTTCTAATTGTTCGTTGGAGGGGGGGGGGGGGGGTATTCTGACCTTGACTTCGAGTCAAAATTGATCTAGAAATTATGTTTAGAGAAAAGGAAGGTTTTATGCTATGAAAACCAGATTTATTTCATCATGTAAGGTGTATAATGACCATAGTAATACTTTCAATCAACTATCCTTTATCTGAAAGTGCTAATATCTAAAATAGAAAGTTAACAAATTTGCAGATATTGAAACTGAATCAAAATGGTTTCTAAAATATACCTGTTTTTATTTATTTTAAGAAGCAAATATTCTAGGTATATGAAATATAATTCTGAATTAGTTGAGGAATTTTGTGGTGACAATTAAAGAACATCCTTTCTTTTGTCCCAGCAAAAAGTTAAGCTACGATTGTAATTTTTTTTGCATCTATGTGTTTGTCTCTCATCTCATTCCCTCTCCTTTTTGTCGTTTGTGAGAAAATTTCAACATTGAATTATTTCAATAGAAATGCATCCCCATCCATTAAAATGGATTTTACAGATCTGTCTTTAGGTCATGAGACAGAGATTTGAAATTTTCAGTGAATGTTCCCTTAACCACAATCCCAAGTGACTCCCATATGTATGTATACATAAATGCCATATGTATTTGTTTTGCACTTTACAAATCCGCGATTTATATGTTTTCAGAATCATTTTCTTATATACATGTATCTATATGCATCTGCACAGCATTTCATTTTTTTTTCAATTTGAATGATACATTAAGTTAAAATGTTTCTATCAGGAAGTTATTTCATAAAGATTTTCATTTTAATGAGCGAAATAGTGTATAATACACTGTATATGATGAATTCGCATTCGATAATTCATCGTCTTTGATTTCCGTAAACCTCCTTCTTAGAAAATTTGGTCAATTTCTTTTAATTTTCCTGAGATGTCTTGCGATTAAGAACATTCTTCTATCATATATTATGTCTGAAACGACCATGATTATTTACATGCTTGCATTTGAGAGCGACGAAACTTAATCTTAATAAGATTTAAATTCAAGTTTATAGAATTCTAGTACATGTAGTATGAATTTTACGCCGATTTAAAGATTTTGTATTTATATATATTAACTTGTTTGACTGCAATCAACAACCTGAATCTACAAGGGAAAGATATAGATCGATGAATAGCCACATTCTACTATCTTGTATTTTCGATGGGTGGGGTGGTGGTATCTCGTGTTCTGAAATCTATCTTTGCAATTAATTTGTAACGAGAAAGCAACTTTAATCAAAACATGTACATGTACACACACATGTATCTAAGCTTCTAGTAGTTATCAACCCATTTTTCTTTTGATTTTCTTTTTATTGCGTCTGTTAATTGCAAAAGCAGATATTGAAATTGATATTCCATCATGCAAACTTTAGTGGCTGCGTTTAAGTATACGTATGCTGCAGAATATTACAGAATGCTTAAAAAGAACTAGTTTGAACTGTTTACCTACTTACGTTCACATTTAAGATTCGTTTTATATTTTTGTAAAGAAAGCGGATTTTATACATATGTAATAATCAAAGTAAATTGACTACAGAGAGTTTGCAGAGAAAAGTCTGTCAGTGAAATAGATGGTGATATCGTTTCATGCAATCTGGCACCAGTTTATGTTGTTAAAAGCTTGCTCCCCTTTGAAGTTCTATTGTCAGCCAGTTTGAAAAAGTCATTTTCATTCTTCAAATGTAAATTTATGACGAGTAAAAATGCATAGGAAATTTAGTTGGAATGCAGAATATAAGGGCATTTGGCATATATTTACCGAACCATCCAATAAACTAAAGATAAAACTAACTTGTAATTATTGAACAGATGCCTATTACGCGTGAAGCATAAGAATGCACGTCCGATTACATGTATTTCATAACCGAAGGTCACTGACATTTTTATTTTTTCATCTTTCGAAACAGCATGTTGTGAATGTAGTTTTACTGACTTATGAAAAAGATCTATACATATAACTGGATATGCAAATGGTTCACATCTATATTCATTTTTTTTATGTAACCGACTCTAACCCCCCCCCCCCAAAAAAAAAAAAAACCCACAAAAACCCCGAAAGTTAGTGTCGATAAGCCAAAAAGGCATTGTCGAGAGGGATGGGAACAGTTGTAAGTCATATTCCTGTACACACTTTCCAAAGCATTTATGCGAAGGATAAGGCGACCATTTAATATTTGATAAACCCCAATGATTGAATTACCTCCCTTTAATTCGTTTATATCGCCCGTGATATGTGAATGAATGCCTTGTTAAGCACACAATTCTACAATTTATTGCTCATATTCCATCTGAGTGTGCAATAGAATATTCAATCAATTCTCTCTCTCTCTCTCTCTCTCTCTCTCTCTCTCGCACAAGATATTTTACATTGCTGAATCAGTAGTAATTATGTCTAAATCTATTTTTTTAGGTTATAAAAAAAATAAATATTTTTTATCAGCAAATCATGAGTGAAGTACAAGTTTATAGGTAACTTTAATTCGGGTATTTACAAAACTGGAAAGGAATATACTGAACAAATTAAAATGTAGAGAGGGTTCAATTAAGAAGTTTGGATTTGCAAATGTAATAAATACTTGATCAGAAGACGACATATCGGTAAGAGTAGATTCTGATATTGAAGACACAAGTACAAATACTTTGTTTCAGAACAATCGAATGTGGATAAACAAATATTCTCAAGTTTCAAATGAATACATTGATTTATTTTTGACAAATATATCATGCACTTTTACGGAATAAAGCTATGATTGACAAGGTTATATTCTGGTGTACAGTTTATTACTCAGCGGAGACCAATTCGTCAGGAGCTCGATATTGCTTTTGTCTTTAACAAGAATATCACAGATAACAAATAGCTTACTACTTTCAACCAAAGAAAAAATTGTATTGTAAAGCAAATTCACTCTGTAAACTTTTTGTACCCCGCTTTTGGACATTAAATCTCATTCGGCTGTGAGTCTGTCTGTCAGTCTGTCACAAAAACTCTAAATACCTTTGGATTGAAAAGAGATACGGCTTTCAGATTTCACATGTGCAATACCTGTGACAAGACCTTTCTAAATATACTATGATTTTTGACCCCGTGACCTAGACCTTGCAGTTTGACCTACTTTTCAAAAAATTTAACATTATTTTAAATTGGTCATAACTATTGATTAAGAAGAGATACGACTTTTATGTTTGACGTGTACGTTATCTGTGACGAGACCTTTCCAAATATGCTATGATTTTTACCCCGTGACCTTGAAGTTTGACCTACTTTTCAAAAATTTGAACATTACTTTAACTTGGTTATAAAAATGGAATGAGAAAAGGTAGGGCTTTCATATTGCACAAGTATATTACATGTCGGTAGTTGGAAATCTACAAGAGTTGTAAAGTACATGTACTTTTAAATTAATTTGACTCCGTTTTTCAGCACTATATCAGTACTTTGATTTTCTCCATGTTTATAGTTGTATGAATGATGAGCGTCCTTAAGTTACCGACGTTTTACCTTCTCTCCCTATTTTACAGGTAGTAAAAATGCTGGTCACTATAGTAACGTTCTTCGGTCTGTGCTGGCTTCCGCTTCATACTTTTATCCTGGTGATGGAGGTGACAAACATGGACAAACAAGCAGACGACAATCTCATTAAAGTCCTCGGCTACATTTACTTCGTTGCTCACTGGCTTGCTATGTCTAATTCCTTTGTGAATCCACTCATTTACAGTTTTATGAATGAAAACTTCAGAGTAAGTATTTAAAGAAACGAAGCTTTGGGGCTGTCTAGCAGAATAGAAAATTTACACAGATGACGTTCCTTTTGATCAATGTAACATATGCTATATAAAGGCAATGTTATAAGATGCCATAAAAAAGTCACACACAACTATTTACGGCTTTATATGTCAATACTGCATAAATTGAGCTTAAGAACTAGAGAACTACAAAGAAATTATAAACTAAGATGTCTTATCTTTGAGACATTTTGCTTTCCATATAAGCACTATAAACACAACAAATGGCAGATTTAAGAAAAAAGTAATTGTTAACATAGCACATAACAATTTAGGCAAAATATTTCAACTGCCAAAAAAGTACTTGTTAAGATTTTATTTTTTATATACACAATGACTTTATTAATGAACCAATCTGGGGTTTTACTTTTAACTTTTATTTACGTTTCTTTACAGTACGACCTCAGGACTTTACTGTTCCAGATTTGTCCTTGTGTTGGACGATACTCCAGAGGTCGACATAAAGTAGTTAAGAGAAGATCTCGTGGAAACGGTTACCAGTTGTACACATACACATGCGCTAATACTCCTGACCCGACTTCAAATGGCAGGTGGCTTGAGAGGAGTCGCACACAAGTCACCCGTAATGGTAAAAGCACGGTAAATGATGACGCAAAACGAAAAATGTCGTCCGCATCATGTTAATATGCATAATTTGTTGTTGTTTTAAAAAGAACTTTTGTATTTCAAAATAAAGAAAGAAAACTTTTTTTTTGAAAAGGCTTTTCTTTAATTGCATATATAGATTCATAAAATTTGAAAGTAAAAATACATGGCATCCTGAAATTGACAGTAGAATGACTTTGGATCAGTGCTCTATATTCTGTTACATTGTTGGGATTTTGTAGTTCGTGATATCTAGGAATTACGGTAGATATTGCATAGTGGCTTAAGAAACAAATTTAAATTGGGAAAATTTTGTACAAAAAACCTCAGTCTGAAAGTGTTGGGGGAGTTTGATCAGAAAGATAATAGTATGTTACAAAATCAATATTCTCTGCTGTTTGATTTAGGTTTCCATGACCCAGTGGCTACCAAAACAATTAATTTTGTTTTACGCCAGAAAATATTTGGCAAACATTTTAGTGTGTTAGGTTCAACAGCCTTCGACTGCATAGGTTTTACAGAAGAACAAAGCAGTAGGCCGGAGCTTTTTTTAAGTGAAAAACTCCTTTAAACTTAAGATGATTTAATTATTGTCCATTCCAAGCATGCATTTGTGCTTGATGGGAAACAGAGTGATTATATATCAGATGTAGCCTGTATCATTCAGCATTCTAAATAAGCAATAATTCATGAAATGAAGGGATTATTGACTTGGATAGACTTGAAATTGTCCGCTATTCGAAATCGGTTGACTTGTCTTTAAATATGAGGCCAGTAACTTGAAATATTGGAAAATAGGAATAGAACGACCTCGACACACACAAATCAAATCCCATATAGTAACCATGTAATCTTGGAAAGATCAAGAATAATATGATTATATTATGTTAGCTTAGTACGAATCCATAGCAAAATCTGAGTATCTTACCAAGTCAAAGGTTTCTGATCCGTTATTTGCAGCGGATCAGAATCCCTTGACCTGGGAAGAAGATTCCGAGTGATCTTGAATATGTAATCATTTGTGAAGTAAGTTTTGCAAGTTGGAAAAACGTGTCCGGACCATGGGTTCCAAACCCTTAATTAATATATTATTGCTCATGACTTAATATGTCATAATCTTGACACAATGCGATACATGCATCTCAAAGGCCATACAAGTACGCTATAAGAAAGTATATATGACTTAAAACTCTGGCATCTTCGCTAGCCAAGGGTTTCTGATACGCTACTCTCCTCATAAGTTTATGAGGAGAGTAGCGTATCAGAAACCCTTGGCTAGCGAAGATGAAACTCTGGAAACTTGGTTTTAAACTTTTCGTATGTGTTCTCCCAAGGTGTGTTATGATCCTGTGTCAGAATCCTCTCCTAGAAGTACAACAGAAGACTGCATGGATTTATAACAGTGAAATTCCAAGTTAGACGATATTTCGATAAAAAAATTGAAACTGCAGCTAAATAACCATTAAAAAGTACAAATGTAAAGAAAAATCATTTGTTGGGTTTTAAAGTTTTAGAGCAGTATACCATGTAAAAGACTGAGATGAATAAAGACCCCGTTCTAAAGGTCAAAATTTCGAAGAAGGGAACACAATAAATAAAATGCGTCTTTTTTGGCTGCGTGTAAACACTTATGTACATACATAAATGTTCTTTGTAAAAAGATGGAAACAAAGCATTCAAGGAAGCAGGGTTTATCTGCTGAACTGTAGCCCTACGAAAGAGACCGGAGAGTTTCCGGTCTGCATAAAAAATTCCGAGAGTTTTGCAGTTGGACAGGGATAAAACTCCCACACAAAGAAACCAACCAGATATTTAACAATTAAAAGAATAGACAGTAAGCGGTAATTCTTATTTTATGACATGTATGAAATATGGCATTAATACCCCAGTATATTAAAAAAAATATTAAAGTCACGCATTTTTATGATTTTCCATAAAGTATGACTCTACAAAGAATTCCAGAATAAAATACGTGATACATTATGCAAGTTACAAAATATAAATATCAGGGCATTATTCAAAAATCGCTCAAATTAGCAAATAAAAAAAATATTCACATTGGTTAATAAGAATGATCAGAAATAGTGTGCTTCACATAGGGCAGAAACGATATCAAACCAAATTTTACATAGAGTTCAAGAACACTTATAGGTTTGACAAAACTGAAGAAAAAAAAATGTCTTCAATAAAATTATTATCTTTCCTTCTCTACAGGATTGTATTCCATGATGTGGGTATCAATACCAAGTATAAACCAAGGATGTTTAAAAGTGAAACCTAATAAAAAAGCAAAGATTTATAACCATTGAAATATTTATTGACTTCATCTTCATATCCACTCTGAATCATCTATCAATGTTTAACAAAATGCACCAACTTGATGTTCATTTTCATAACATGCAAATCTACTACTTTCACTTTCAAGACAGCAATAATTTACATTTATGTACAAAGAATGTTTTCTTTCTCATAATATCAATTAATTTAAACAATGAATAATTTCCAAATGTCATTTATTTATTCAATGTAGAACTGGATTGCCTCAATGACTGCTAATAGTTTTTGAGAACACAGGAATTGCTATTTTTATTATTTTCATGATACATATATCCTGGAATAAGAATTTATTTATTTTGTAGAAATCAATATTATGAAAAATGCACTGGAGATAGACTATTTTTTTAATATTATTGACATATTATTCCATATCAAATAAAAAGAAAAAGCAATAAAAGTATAAGCACTAGAATTGAAGCCTTTTGTCTTTTGTCTTAATTTTAAGCCTACAAAAATAGATGTGCAAAAATAAATACATGTCCACTAATAAATACACATCATGTATTTTCCTTGTTTGTAAATGTGTTTTCTTACCTGAGAATAAATACAAATAGAAAATAAATCTTATTAACAGATTTACATAAATACATTGAAAACTGTCCATTTTTATTAGAAATGATTTGCATTTAGCAGGACTTGCATCTTCAAACTGTTGCCATACAATACTAAACAAGAGACACTTATTGAATCACTTGGGTAATGAGCACATGTCACATGCATTTTTCTCTGGTGTATTAAGGTAGGTACAATGGGCACAGGTCCATAATCCAGCCCCTGGTCCAGATCCTATTGGGGGCAGTGGAGAGGCTCCTGGACCCACATATGAGGTCTCTCTGTGTACCCTGGGTGAGGATTCTAAATATATAAAGCACATGTGAATGAGATACAGAATATTGTAACATATATATTTACAATATGGTTTAAATTATGGCAATTTTATACTTCATTGTTAACTATTTAATACATGATATTTTAAAGACATACATGTATTTGTTCCTAAGACAGTTTTACAGTTTTAAGCATATTGTATAATTTACTTGCACTTCAAAAGAAGTATTAATCAACTAGAACATAAACATTATATATGAAACACAATGAATGCATTCTGATATGGAAAATAAACCCAGCCTACCATGAGCAGCCATGATTTCTTCCACAGTTGCCCACTCTTGACTCTTCTTGAATTGAAATGCTTTGTCTAGATCATTTGCTTTCACTGCCTCTAATAACACTGCTGAAGTGTCCTACAGGAAAGTTTGATTTCATTCTTATTAAGCATAAATTAACAAATATGGAAAAGTCTATACATTCCAAGCAATACAAAAATTTAGACTCCTTTGATGCCTCAAGCTTCTAGGCTATGACTTGTACAATCTGGAATCTTCACAACCTAGGTAACCTCAATTTCAGTCTGTATTCTTCTTGCTCCCTTTTTCCTTGTAACTTTAATATCTAAATCATAATATTAGATCACACTTACCTTCAGTGGAATCATCTCTGATGTAGCAAGGAAAATAAGAAGATGGAAGTCTGACACTGCTTCTAAGAACCGGTCTGGAGGAAACTGTTGTAGATAGGTAGAGAGGGAGGTATAGTCCTTAAAAAACAAATCACTTTGTTAATTTGCTTCAGTATTGCTGCTTCCCAAATGTATTTAAACTATAAAATTGGATGTTAACTGAATATATTAAATATAAATATATAAATGTGAAAATTTACATATTAGGGTAATTTACATTAAATATTTGATAAGAAAGATAGTGTAAATTTCCCCCATGTACCAATGCCTTTATGCATGTTTTATTCAGTTTTAACAAAATAAATACACAATTCAGGCACTAATTCTCCTAATTAACAACATACATAAATATCCTCATTTACAGTAAAGAAAATTTGCTTACATGGGTTGAAAACTAAGATCAAACTTATCCACTTCTCTGATTCAAGTATTAATACCATGTTTTCTTTAAAGAATGATATTTTCTACTGCATGATGAAAAATGCCTATTCAAATTTACAGGGGAAAAACAATTTAAACAATACATTTAGAAACAGAGAATAAATACCTGTGTTTCTCCAATTGTCTGTCTATTTTCCACAGCAAACATCTTGGCTTCTGTGTGCAGGTGAGCTTTAAATGTGTACTGAGCAGAAAGTGGAAAAGCTGCTGGCATGTCCACCAGAAGGTATTCCACTGGCAATGGTCTAGCCAACTGTGTGACCTCATTACCATAAGTGTCCTTGACCTAGTCATATGGAGCATTTAATTCTTTGCAAATTAATTTTGTTTTACTATTTCTATAAATTCCAGAAGCTTTGTTCACTTTATCTGGCATAGGACTGACATGTTTCATAGAGGACATGCTTTAAACCCTTTATAACACCAGCATTATTCCATATACCCAGGTATCTTTCTTTAAAAATGAAGTAATACAAAATGAGAGCAAACCTTGTAAAATACATCTGGAACATATTGTTTTTCTGTAGATTCTTTGATATACCCCAGCTCTGGGGCATCCTTAGTTGGTATTAGACAGTCATCATTCACCAAAGCCATACACTGGTTTGACACCTGATAGCCCTCAAAATGGATCTGGTTGGAGGAATCACCTAGAAGCATAGTTTTAATATTCATTTTTTTCTTTTCGTGATATATTTATAATGCCATACAAACTTAAGTGCTGATGATTCTAAATCCCACACAACATAAGATATGATTCATACACATTTTTACTTAATTTCAAAATGAGGTCATAGTTAAATACTCTTGGGATGCAACACATCTTCTCTAAAGAAGCATTAACTGACATTTGATGATTCTACATCTCAAGCTGTGTAACATATAATCCAAACACAATTTGACTATGTACAGTCATAAATTCCAAAATGTGGTCACTGCAACCTTTTTTTTTTTGGCAATACCGTACCCTGTAGAAAGATTAATTGACATAGACTGGTTCTAGATTTTACAGTGTAAAAGAGCTGACACATGAAAAAGGCTAACAGGCAATTGGCTATTGACCTCGCCCTTACACTCCGGGGCCATAAAACTTAGACTAGCTTACTTTTGATCTCAGTCTCACTTTTATCAAAGGAATTAATAGTAGAAAAGTGAGACTGAGATCAAAAGTTTTATGGCCCCGGAGCCTGAGCCCCAGACACAGGGGCCGAGAAACTCATAATTTTGGAAGAAGCGACCTTGCACATCATATCCATGCATTTAGTATGTTTGCTAAATACCCAGGGGCAGAGAAGAAGATTTTCAAAGAAATAGTGCATTTTCACTATGTATATTCAACATATTCCCACCCTAACACAAAAAACACCTAATGCAGGGGCTATGAATTTCATAATTTGGAAGAGGCATCCTTGCTCATCCTTACCATGCAACTGGTTTGTCTGCTTAATACCAAGGGGCAAAGAAGATATATAAAGAATTTATGCATTTCACCATCTGATATAAAGAGTCTGCCCTAACTCCAGAAGCCCTTAACCAGGGGCCAAGAAATTCACCATTTGGAAGAAACATCCTTGTTCATCATAGCCATGCACTTAGTTCATCTGCTTAATATTTGTCGCCCGTGTGGCGCATTGGTTAGAGCTTCTGCTCTAGAGTCACAGAGTAAGGAGTTGATCCTTACATCGCGGGTTCGAATCCCACTGTGGGATGTGGAGACCGGTCCTTCGGATGAGACCGTATAAACCAGGGTCCTGTGTTGCAGTAAGTGCTGGCACGAAAAAGATCCCTCACTGCTCAATGGCCCTAAGTGCCGAGTATAGGTCAAAATTTGCAGCTCTCCACCGACAAGTGATGACGTCTCCATATGAGTGAAAAATTTTCAAGAGGGACATTAAACAACAAACAAACAATATAATACCAAAAAAGAGAAGTAGATTTTCAAAGAATAAATGCATTTTCACTATATAATCCATAGAGCCCTACCCTAACACCAGAACACCAGAGAATACATTTTTTAAAGAATTTTCACTATATAATCAATACCACCCCTCCCAACCCCCAACCCCTAATGCTGGGGCCACAAATTTCACAACTATTGCTCATCATAACCATGCACTTACATGTAGTTTATCTGCTGTATATACATGGGGGGGGGGGGTGGGAGAGAAGAAGATTAAAAAAAAAATTATGCATTTTCACTATATGATCATCAGAGCACTGCCCTAACTCCAGAACCCCTGACCCTGGGGCCATGAATTTCATAATTTTGGTAGAGGCTTCAATGCTTATTATAATCATGGCAACAGTTCAACTGCCTGATGTTCAGGAGTAAAGAAGTAGATTTTTAAAGACTGAATTAATTTTGATGCTTTTAGCCCCATCCCTCAAGGGGGGCAGGGACCTTGAAATTCACAATTTTTGTTCCTTTTTCTCTCATACATGTTCTATGCTAAATTTGGTTGAAATTGGTTCAGCGGTTCCAGAGAAGAAGTTGAAAATGTTAATGCAAGACGCACAACACATGACGGAAGATGCAAGACAACAGACAAAAATAAATAGCAATAAATCACCTGAGTGACTCAGGTGACCTAAAAGTCTTGACCTTCACTTGGTTCAAACACTGCATACTCTTCACCCAAGGGAACTCTTCGGGTGAAATATGATCCACAGTGGTCTAAGGACAGAGACAAAGATTTTACACAAAGCTTTGCTTTGATCATGAATTCTGACCTTTTTACCTAGAGGTCTACTTTGACCTTAACCTTTGCCTTAGAAACTTAATGCACACACCTTACTCACTGGCATGCATTGATTTTAGGAATAACTGTCTAATTTTTTGGTTTCATGATGTGATCAATCGATTGGCTTGCGTGATAATTTGCAGAAACGCCGAAGGCGTTTATGCATAAAATTATCACACAAGCCAATCGATTGATCATCGTCATGAAACCAAAAAATCTGACAGTTATTCCTTATATTTACATGCTCTTGATTCTGCAAATTCACGTGCTACAAGCCCCGCTTCTGTCTCTATTTGTCCCGCCCCGCACGTGATTTTTTTTCACCATGCCTTTCGATGAACCAGTAGATTTATGTAGAAATAAAGTATTTTTACTATTTGAAATTTTATCTCGGACAAAGACATTGGAAATGTAAATATTGAAGTATAAATTGTAGTAGACAAAGAGGAGAGAGAATAAGCTCACAACAAAAAATTGCGAAGATCTTAACCTCTGACCAACAAACTTGGTTCAAAGTCACTGCACATTCTTTACCCACGAGCACTCCAAGGGTGAAGTCTGAACCAGATTGAATTAAAGGGATAGAAAACATATTCTGAACAAAACAGATAGACAGACTGAACACTATAAGGATCTGCATAACAGAGCTCCAATAAGAAACAATTTTAAAGAATTCTGTCTCTAGCTTAAATTTAAAGCATACTGGGGTTAATCTTCACTTTACCTAGGACCTCAAAATTAATATCCATATATGGCACTTTTTGTCATACTCAAATGATATTTGTAAATTAGATATTTTTCCCATCAAAAATGAATCAAGAAATCAAATAAAAGGCATTAAGATACAGTGACAATGAACTTTGATGACCTTGTAAATCACTAAAATTCATTAAAAATCCAAATTGTGATAAAGTAATTGATATTATATTATTTATGAAGAAAAAATCATACTTGGTAATGTGATACAAAAAATTATTGAAATGTGCTTTCAGTGAAAAAAAAATAAAATGCTCTATATTCAATTTCTTCTCCTCCCCCATATATTGCATAAACAGTTAAAATCTTGATGCCATGATTTTATAAAGGTCCATTGTTTTGTAATCATACCAAGCTATGACAAAATGTATACAGTTCCAAGTGGCTTACTTTATATTGTCTCAGTGATTTGTATACATACCTGTGACTACAACTGTTACAAACTTGGATCCAAAGTGTCCATCAGGTGAGAGTTTACACGGATTGGTATACTTATTTTGAAAATCAGCAGCCATGATGCATTCTTGGGCACTCAGAAAAAAGGAATTCTACAATATGAACCACACATCTGTTCGGTTAGAATCTCTGCCTAAAAACACAAGTAATCAAAGATTACAAAGTTCTCCTTGACAAATGTTATTTAAGAAAAAGGGAAAGAGCATTCCTAGATGCATCATCAATGCAATTTGGTCAGCACAGGGCTTATACCAGCCTGGGAATGAACTTCAATCATAATACATCCAGAAAATGTAGGTAATATCCAGAATCCAAAGCAAGTCATATTTCTATATGAATCATCCATGCAACTTTGGTCCAGATAGGGCTTTAAGTTACTTTGGAATGAACCAGCTCCAATTTCTTGACCTGACCACACATCTGGAAAATATAGGTCAGATCCAGCAACCGAAGCAAGTTTCGTAGTGTGATCCTAGATGAATCATAAATGCAAGGTTATTCACCATAGGGCATACTGTTACCTAAGAATGAACTACTCCAGCTTGCAGGGCTTTCACAGTCCATGGTGAGATACTTTTGACTTGGCAAGGTATAAAAAGAGCATAGGGACAATAACCGAGACTCTTCCTTGTAGGAGTAAGAATTAACCTACTCCAAAAACTTTAACCTGGTCACTCATCTAGAAAATATAGGTCAGATCCAGCATCCGAAGAAAAATTGGTAGTGTGCATCCCAAGATGTAAGTTTAGTCACCATAAGGCTTATAATTACTTGAATTTGCTCCAAAAACTTTGACCTTGTCACTCATCTGCAAAATGTATGTCAGATCCAACATGAACACGAAACCTGAACGGTACAATGAAACATACTAGATGCATTATCACTGCAACTAGGATCAATATAGGGCACAGAATTACTTAGAAAGAAAATTGTTCTAAAAACTTTAACCTGGAAAGCCAAGGGTACATAAGCTCCCCCCAAATTGTTGAGGTGAGCTAAAAACCCTAACATGGTTACTCATTCAGAGAATATTGATTAGATCCAGCATCTGAAACAAGTCTGGTAGTGTGCAAGTTTGATCCAGGTTGAGTTTGTTGTTACATGTACTTGTACATGTAGTTACTTGGAAATGGACTTGGGCTAAAAACTTACACCAGGATGCCAATGCAGTTACTAGAGTATAGCACAAGCTCATCTCAACTTCATCCAGGTGAGCTAAAAAAGCATTCTGTACCTAATAAACAGATAACAGATCCACCTTTATTTCTTTTTACTACATGGTTTCCTGCATTTTCATAATAATTCATCATCTACCTCATTCATCTGTTTTCTGCTTCCTGAATTCCACAGTAATTTTATTTTCATGAATTCCCATTCTAAACAGGGCTTCTTTGATAAGTCACAAACTACTCAAGATCAACTGACAAATATACTGTATCTACTGAATTAGAGCACTGCCTTCTGTATTAAAATTACAACTACACATACCAAGCAACAAGAAGAAAACATTGATGTAACCATCAATTGTCACCCGGGAAATAAATAAAGTAAACAATGGAAATGAGTCTTGATCATCAAACCGCTTCGATATGTGTAAAAAAGGCATGCGTCTAAATGATGGAGACGATAGTCAAGAATATTTTGAAAACCTATAGTCGGATGAAAATCGAACAAAAACGATATCCTTTTAAACTTTATCAATTCCTCAAGTAAATGTTGGCTGCATAAAATATAAATTGAAACCAGACACATGCATCACCTATTTTCAAAAATGTCTATCACTTTAAGAATATAAAACACAACTATGTAAAGTACGTTTTTATGCGATAAGTAAAATTCGATGTTCTAAAAAAAGGGACCCGTCGTTTTTTCGATAGTAAATGATAAGCAACTTTATATAATAAATATGAAAAACATATATATTTTTACAGATTCACTTTATGGAAGTAAATATATTGTGTATCTCATAATTTATAAAGGGAAAGAACATTCTGATTAACAATCTTTTTAATGTTTAGAAAACCTTTAATTCTGAATAACTTCTCCCACCTCAATCCCCATATACCAACACTTAAACTTATATGTATAGAGCAGCCCTGTCCTCCGGACTGCAATAAACATATAATGACACTCAATGTCCAAATTTTTTTCATTCTTTCAGATGTATGGCTTCAATATTTTACAGTGTACATTTCTGTCATGTTTACATATCATATACCGGTACATGTATCTTTATACAATATCTTAATTAAACTATACCATCATCCATTATATAACTTTTTGGTAAAATACATTAATTAAAATGGGGATTTTTAGCAACCATCTAATTCTGGCATTATCAGTGATGGTCTTGACAAAGCTAATAATAAATGTTGCTAATTATTAAATCAGAAATATTTTCATAGAAAATGAATAATGTTATTCCCCAAATCACTAAAATAATAAATGTCTGTTTTTAGGATGAAATTGCTTAATTCACCAGTTGCTAAAATAACCTGTAATATGGTACTGTATACATGTACATCTTGTAATCACCATTACAATTTACTAGACAAGAGATCATCTAAATTTTAATAGTTAACTTTTTCAAAAGTATACACCATAATGATCATGTAAATAAAACTTACAATGTTTCCTCTGAAATGTTTGACAGTGCCTTTGTTTAGATCCTCAGCGAGTAGATCTGTAAATATCCAGCCCACTGGACGAATACCGAGAGCATCAGCTACTCTGTTAACCTGCTCTTCTACAGGATCCTCCAACAGCTCTAACATATTTTTGCTACTTTTCTACAAAAATGAAAAAAAAAACTACATACAAATGTCCAAAATAGAAGACAGTTAACTCATACCAATTTACTTTAGATTTCCAATTACATGTATATTTAGGTTAAGAATGTAAATGACAGATATGAAATGCAAATGCATATAAACACTCACTCAACATATTTGAGGCAATATTTAACTTTTGAACTTTTTAAAAGTATTTCTTTAAAAAAATAAAAACAATAATCTATGATTTTACTGTACATCACTTAGGAACAGTACTTCTTTGGTAACCCTCTGAAAACAATACAATTCTGTTCCGCACTAAATGGTTTTTCTCCAGGATTAACTTTGTTTACCTGTGGGGGTTCATAGATAGCAGATACTGTAGCTTTGATACCCAGAGGAGTATCTTTATGAGGTTCATATCGTCCATACATAATTCCTAGTCGCTGACTTCCTGTTCTTCTCCAATAGTTTAAAAATCGGTCAACTATTGAGGCGTTCTCAAACATTACATAATCTACATGTCTGTACCTCTGAAAGAATATTTTACATATTTTTGAAGAATTTTAATGCTCAAACTAAAGTTAATACTATTAAGATTTCAACTTAAATCCAGATGTATTGTTCAATTAAAATTTCATTCAATACACTTTATATAACATAATAACTACAAATAAAATTTCAATGTTTTAATACTTATAGTGCATTATAACAATTGCAAATTGAATTTGATTTGATATCCCAAACCTACACAGACACGCATATAATATATTCAGTAAAATCATTAATTTTCACGGGGGTTTAATTTTTGTTGTTTTCGAGGTATGAAGAGACCCACGAATTCATGTCCTCCACCAAATGTAAAATTTCATATACCGGTACATAACTTCTTACCACTTCCCCAACCACGAAATCAAATCCCCTCGAACCAATATTTTTCTTCAAACCTCGAAAATTTGACCCCACGAAAATATATGATTTCACAGTACACTGACCTGTCTGTTAAGTGTTACTGCATTAGGTTGACACTTGGTACATATACCTCCTGGCCAGGGTGGATGTTCTTTGCAACCAGGCTTAATCTTACAACTCAGATTCTCCAACGACACAAACTTTCCTCTGAAATCAATGAATATACTTTTCTATTACTTTATATATTTTTATCTACATGTAAATTTTCACAGATCTTTTATATTTTATATTTGAAATGGTTTGATGTTATTGCATAAATATGTTAGTGGCAGATAAATTTACTGTACTTACTTATCAACACCACTTGTCAATTTTCTGATGTATGAATGAAAGGATAAAAATTTTATTGGAGGGTCACAGCTGTTAAGGAATTCTTCGTCATAGGGCTAAAAAAAGGACATGGCAGAACATCATTCTAGATGTACACGTAAAAGGTGAAGATAACGAACAGTGATCAATTTCAAAAATCCAGTACACAAAACAAATCATGAACAGGGCAAAAACACGGACCCCTGGAAACACCAGAGATGGGATCAGATGCCTAGGGGGAGTAAACCTCCCTTGCCAACCAGTCACACTTGTCATGAGCCTTATGTATTGATCAGGTAGATAAAGTACTCTGTAGTACTAGTAAAATTTAGTACAAAAGCAATGACCAAGCAAATGGTATGAAACAAGACCCAGTGATAGGTTGTTTAAATTACGAACAAGGTCATTATAATTAGCGAAAGATTAATTTAGATGGGATTGTTGAAATTTGTGCAACATCAACTTATTTGTTAGTAGATTGCTTCAGTTTAAAAACTGATGTTATTCAGAGCATGCTCTTCACTATGCTCTGACTGTGTTGACAGAACTTAAAGGACCACCACCATCCCCCAGAATATTTTGACAAAATCACATTTACCAAATTGCAATCTTTCATTTTGATAATATGTTACAAGGAAATTAAACTGACCTCTAAAGGAACACAGTGCAGGCATTTTCCTTGAGGTCCATGACGACATCTGAAAAAACAAAAACACAACAATAAAGCATAATGCAAGCATTCACTCATTTAGATTAACATGAACTGATAGAGATGTACATTCAAACAATATGAATACAAGTTTCTCTTACAGCTGTTCATTCCTCTTCCTGTAAATTTTGCCATCTTCTTTGTATAGAAGCTGATCTACTTCATCTTCAACTACGGTTTGTGAGGTGCCTGAGGATGCTGAGGAGCCAGATATACTAACAGAACCCATAACTCCTGTGATGTTTGAGGCCCCAGACCCACTACTCATACTGTTTAAGCTGGCATTACTCGGTTTACGGTCTGAGGAGAGCAAAAACAACATGTCTCCATGTCTGTAAAAAAAAAAAGAAGTTTCATTTACTATGGGTCACATTTGCACAAATATAAATATTACATTTTTTTATTACATTGGAGGCTTTTGATTACTGCATATCATCCATGCCATGTATCCTCAGTTTAATGATTTTCTTTTGAATCAGATTTATTTTTTTTTAATTTCAAATTGCATCTTTTAATTTCTATATACTTAAAACAGAGTGTCTCTTGAAGGAATTAATATAAAACATGGAATATTTTATAGCTCTAAACATTTCATTGGGCCCTAATAAACTATGAAATATATGCATACATACTTAATTTTGTAAGTATCAAGAGTTTTTGCCCTTGATGTTCTAATCCATTCTTTCTTATCACGCGTCTTGTAGACACCCCATCCAGTATCACCTAATCCAAACTCCTCCTGTACCTGTTATGAAAATCAATAACTCTCATTTCAAAGCTCTACATGAATATACTGTATGGGGGACTAATTCCATGGGTTGTAATTTTCACATTTATCTCACTTCTGACATGGTAGCGGTTTGTATTCATATAAAATAAGTTATTTGCAATATTATATTGTAATGATTTGAACAAATTTGAATCTACACTTACCGAGGATGCTTCCACATTTCTTTGACTAATCATGGCTTTAGAAGATTTTTCAAAATTTTTCCTATACAATTGATCTATTGTGGCCCCATCCAACCCCAGGCTTCCAGTGAATAGGTATTATTATGAACTGTTTGCTTTTGTGTAGATTATATAGGGACTATTTATAGAGTATATAATAAAAACAGACAACAGAGTTTCCGAAAACCATCGGTCCTACTGGCAAAACCAATAGAAAAATGAAATATGTAATATTAAAACAACACGTGATGTTTTATTATTATGTATATGATTTTTTAAAATAAATAATAATTACATGCCAGGAGCAAGCCCCTATGAATTGATGTATACTTTCAGGTGAAACAACTTCTGAATTACATCATGAATTATACTAGAATTTATTTGGACTGATGGAATTTGCTTTGGACTGGTAGAACACATTTAGTCAACAGTCTGAATGACTGATAGAAATATTTGGTTTTCGGAGACTCTGTGACAACCCTTGCATTTTCACTGATCAAACAAATAAAGTCACTGTTCTTCTATAAACGTAGGTCAGTCTATGCTAATTTCATTTAAGGAAAACATGGAAATTAAATAAAGGACAAGTATCACTTGTAAGTACTGAATGTCTTTGACTGTAATATTATCTGCTGGTAGCCGACTCAATTTTTTTTTTTTTTTTTTAAAAACAAAGCTTAATATTTTATAACTTTAATATTCTCAGATTAAAAATGGACTGTGAATGTAGTGAATATTTACACTTCGAGTTATTTCCCCCATACAGTACATGAATATATTTCCTTTGATTATTTAATTATGCATAAGAAATTTTACTCATTTTCTCTTTTGATGAAGTATGATGATAGTATTCAAAATCTGTAAACCTACCTTGTTCAAGAAATCTGCCACTATTTCTGAAGGCTTGGCTTCAATTCTCTTTGTCCCATGTTCTGCTGACTGTATCCTGACAATCTTCAATTACAGAGAGTTAGATGAACACAATATATTAGTAAACGAGAAAATGCAAAACCTTTGTTAATTAAGGTACATAATAAAAGCTCAACATAAAAAAAACTACTTGAATTGGTAAGATACTTGATCCCAAGTTAAATACTATAGCAAGAAAAATATTACACACTGTATATTTTTCAGGGAGTTCCCAAATACAGAGAAGGTTAACAGCAATATGTTTTACACTGGATGTGCCATCATTGTAAATCATTATTTGTTTGTTAAACAAGTTTGGCACATATGCTTTTGTACTACCATGAATAAGGGCATGAGGTGAAATAAAAACCCAAATTAATTACTTAATCTTGTTTATTAGTTTACACATCTAAGTATATTTAGGTATGACAAGTAAAATTACAAGAACAGCAAATGAATTTTTTTAGTTGTTTCCCTAAGGCAAATGCTCAAAAATATATTTGTCAGCCCCTGAATGCATAATATAGATTGAAAGCGGAACAAATTGTATCATGACACATCCTATAGAAAAGGGAACTTTAAAGAACTAAACTGCTTATTTTTTCATACTTTACAGTTACAACTATGTAGAGAAAAGTTAGTATGTTTATGGAATAACACAAGAAAAATTACACAAACCTGGTAAACCATGTCTACAACTAGGTGTATATTAAATGAGATAAATATAAACCTTACTAAACCTTTCTGATTGTTCATGTATATTTTTGAGGTGAACAAACCGGCAGCATTTTGAGGTAGAATTTGAAATCAATTTAACCTGAATTTTCTGATACATTTCATGGAATACAACAGAAAAACCTCTAAATTATCGGTGAAGCTTACAATCAGTTTAGACTTTGACATCCTTTAATTAAAATCTACAGCCAACATTCGTCTGCAACAGCTGACTTGCAAATTCTTGCTTGTCCACTAATTTTGATCAATGTTGAATACGTGTTCACAGAGGAATACATTTCCCGTTCTAGTAAAACGTCTAAATGATTAAGATAAATACTCTCCAACCCAAATGTATTGTATTGTCGTAATGGTCTTCATGTTTTTATCTTTACCCTATCGAGATAGTACTGTTTTCTGTAAAAGTGGAAGTTTCTAGCTTTATATCCACAACCCCACTGCTATCAAGAAAAAACTTCATATTCCTTTTTAAATGGTGGTCAATGTAAACAATATGGCTTCCACTAAAACATTCGACATGCCCATTCCTAATCTGGAAATAGAGAATCCTGTTAATTGTGAGATTTTGTGATTTTTTTTTTTCATTTTATCATGGTTCAATTATATAACCTATCCCTTACTAATCTGGAAATGACAGGTCCAGTTAATACCATTAAATATGTGAGATTTTACTTTTTTTTTTAATGTTCTGACTGAGTCATATAAGAAACCTAAAAAACTCACATGACTTGACTCTGGTAAAAAGTATTACATTAGAAAAAGTATTAAGAACTAAAATCACAAGTCAGTATGTTATGTTTGATAGGATATGATTAATGACAAAATCTTTCTTAAATTTGAAACAAGTACCCTAACTATACATATGTACAACGAGACATTAACTAACATATATCTGTAAATTACAATGCTTAATGTGTGATACAGAATGTGCAGTGCAGTCATCATCAACATAATATCAGTGTTTATTTAAAACTTATCTGAAACGTAATTCTGATTATGTGATACCCAACAATGACAATTTCTTATGTTTTATTATTACAGTAAATCGAATGAAAACCCAACAATCATCAGTAAAAGAATTCCATAATCGGAGTAAATTATTTCCAAATACTCAGACCAACAAACTTTTTCAAAAGAGTTCAAAACACCCAGTTCAAGAGAGGAAAACTGAGGACCAGGAATTAAAATTAATTTCTCATCGTCCCCCAACTTCAGCGAAAAAATCAAACAGAGCACAGAGTGCGAAAAGTAGAATAGAAGGAAACTGGAAACTTGACAGTAATTTCTGTATCAGTGAATTTTGTGAAAATTCTAGTCATCTGAGTAAGACACAGAACAAAAAACTGAATCATCATTATGAGGAGCATGATAAACAATTAGTTCCACATGGCGGAAAACCAGTTCCTGTTATAGATGTTGGAGATAATGCCCCTTTTCCATCTTATAATTTCCAGGAAAAAAAGACTTCCAAATATGTACACAAAAGTGATAGACCATTTTCATTTAAAAATGAAGGAAATTTGATTGATTTGAGAGAATATGTGACCATTGCAGAGAAAGCCACTACAACAGAGGAGAAAGAAAAGATTAGACCATCATCTGCAAAATGTTCTCGTGTGAAAACAGAAAATATATCACCAGTGGTTTATAATTTAGCCACACATCAGCAGATCTTTGGTGAAGAAACTCATATGATAAATAGCTCTGAACAGGGAACATGTTACAAATTAGCTGATGACAGTTTTTCAAACACAGTTCACAAGGGTGGAAAGAAAAATAGGTAAAAACATTGTCTCTTTCTTAAAATCATTGCAATAGTGAATCCAGTGGATAGGGGTTACTGTCCCCCCCCCCCTTCAAGATTTTCATAGTTATTATATTTATATAGTAAAGTAACTCAAAAATTACCTAACTTGGAACACCCCCCAAGGGGAATAACTTGTCCAAAAGAGTGCCTTCCATCCCAACCCCACCCACCAAACAAATAGGGGTTTTTTTGTGTTTGGACAGTCCTTTTTTGTGGCTTATTAAAAAATTATGAGTAAGAGTTTCTTTTCTTTTTTGAGTGGGTATGGATGCCAACCTTGAAAAAAAAATCCTAGATCTGCCCTTGCATAAGGTTTTCAAAGGTCACCATTATTTGATTTGTGCAGGTGTGCACCAGAAACGCTAGATGCCATAATGCCATGGAAGTCCGAGTGCTACACCAAGGAGGAACTTGGAATTGATCCATCTAAATGTTTGGTGTTTATTCCATCTCTAAGTGTTGACAGTTATAAGGATTTACCTGTTGTCCCAGCTCCTATGTCAGCTGAAGAAGATCTGCCATACAAGGAAAAAGTTAAACCACCCATTGTAAGATATATTGAAACAGTTCCTCTTGAGCCTCTTCTGCTAAATTAATGAAATAAAATTCTTTCATCTTTTCTTTAAATTGTTGTCATAAATATCATGTTTAAATTTCAGGTTCACAAAAAGTACAGTCATCCAGCATGGGTATGTTTCCTATCTAGTGCACAATTTTTTTGACACTCTTCTCCCATACTTTACACACTCTCTCTCTTTCTCAGAAGACATTGGTTAATATTGATACTCCTTTCAGAAAAAGAAACATTTTGTCGATGAATGGACATGCAGTCACACCAAACCAGAAACAACATCAAATGGTTATGATTATGGGTAATAATTGCTATAAATATTGGAATATTCATAAGTTAAAATTAAGTTAACTTCTACCTTATTTTTATTTTTATTTATTTATTTATTTTTATTTTGGGTCCGACTGCAAATCATATAATGCTGAAATATTAAATGATTTGCTATTCTGTATTATGATAAAGGCATTAGAATGTAATGAAAATTTTTACCTCACGGGCTTTAGTCTTTTTGTACTTCTATTGCAACACAATGTAGTAAAAAGTAATATAATATAACTTATTTACAGAATGTTTGAAACTAGAACAGCAGCAGTTATAAGGAAAGAAATTGAAGATCTTGAAAACTTAATGAAAGGTGCATTTTACATAACCATTCATTCATTTGCTACACTTCCTAAGTGAACTGTATCTTCTCAAGTTTCGAAGATTCCATATAATCAGCTTCATTTTCTTTGAATTGAATTTTCCACTTACTAGGTATTGGGAACTTTGATAGTGATTGTATGATGGTCAGATATCAAGCAGAGATTGAGAAGTTCTGGCAGACCTATAGAGATACCATGGCAATGGTCCCTGAAAGGTTTGTATAGGAGAATCTTTCCATTTTTTTTCAATAGCAATAAACTTAACTTAAATGCTTTGCTTATTAAATGTTCATTGAGAGTTTTTCCTGACAAACATAGTATTGAAAGATATAACTCATTTCTCTTTATCTAATTTTAGGCTTCTCAATTCTCCTGTGCCAGTAGACACAGTAAGTTAAAGAACATAGCAATTTTTAAAAAACACGCAAGTAGCATTTCTTTTATTAAATATTTATTTAACAAGTAATAACTGCTGCATATAAAGTTAAAAAAGAAGACATTCTCTTAAGCTAATATTATAAATATTCCATGAATCAGAAATGAAATTAAAATAATACATATATTAAACAAATTCAATGATAAAATTATTATCATACATGATAAATAATGCAATTTAACAGGAAATGAATCTTATTATACTAGTGTACTAGCAAAAAAAAAAGAGGGGGTGTGATTTATATTTCTTCAAAGAATTTGAAACTGGTTTAAGCATGTAAAAAAAATGCTGAAATTAACACCCTAAAGAAAAAAAAACATGACTGTATATGTTGACTTAAAATTTATGAATAAAATTAATTACAGATATAATTTATAATTATATAACCATTGTTTTCATTGGATAGTTTGGGCTCCGCCAGTTCTACCAAGAGCATGATGATATTATGTTGGAGATACGTCGCAGGCATTCTCTCTGTATGCAGGAATTAGCACAGCTAGAGTCAGAAGCAGAGATCTCAAGTGACCGGAAATATTTCAAGCATGTTGTTCACAACACTTGAATACACAACGATTAAATCACAAGTAGTTTAGAATATCGTAAAATGATATACAGTGGAGATGAGAAGAATGGGTTGTCTTCTGTCGACTGATGTATAGTGCTGCCGACATAAAGTTCATTGCTTCCTATAACCAGGAGGAATTATAGATCTGTTTCTGCTAAGAAGTAGTTGTAAACTGTCAGGACAGTTTATAACTGAATTTTTATAAATTTCTAGTATTTCTAGTAAACCTTGATGAAGAAGTGCAGTTTATAATTGCACACAACAGATAACAATGTAGAAGGTGCTAAATTTCATACATTACAATGCGAATCTTTGTTATGATATTTCAATTTCTGTTGACATTTTCTGATGTGATGCTATCATAGATTATGCTACTGCAGAAATTAAAGTTATTCTGTTTCATATTTAAAGAAGAAGGCATAAAGTTATATTGACAAGTGATTATTTTGATGTACCTTTTAATTCTATTTTATTTTTGAGTTTTATCATTGCTTTGTTTGATATCAAATGTCAAAGTATAGAAATGCGATAGACCGGGTCTTTCTAAATATAAACATAAAAAACTTGGATAGACCTGTACTTTCTAATAATAGATTAGGAAAATTTTGTTACTTGTAAAAATGATTGTGAGTTGCTGTAGTATGTCATTCAAACCAATCAAAATTCTTTTCCAGTTAATGTGGTTAATCAGTGAATACTTAGATTGACCGGTACTTTCTAATAATATTTTTTTTCTTTACAATTTGACAATCTTCCTTTAAAAAATCATTCAACAAATGAAACTTTGTGGAAAATAATATATCAAATGTAGCCCTTTCATGAGGTCAATTCAGAGATATATCGACTTCACAGAAAAGCATATTGACCTTGCACTTCTGTAAAGTTGATATATCTATGGATTGACCTCATGAAAGGGCTATATTTGTATAATATATGTATAACTGTTTTTTGATTAGAAGAAGAGTAAATTATTTCTTTATTTAATTTAATTTAATTAACTTTGTCATATTGTATTTTGCTCAATGCCAGAATCTCTATTAGTGCCAAATATATGTTATTTTACTACATGTAGCAGTTATTGAATAAATGCTTTTTAGAAAAAAAAAATAAGATGTGTTTGTGAAACACTGATGCCCCCGTATGGCAGCTTATGGGAAGGTTAAAGTTTCTAAAATGCAAGTCAAACTCCCAAGGTCAAGAGATCAAGAATGTTGTTACACAAAGAAAGTACTTGTGTCAATGGATATACCTGATAAATATGAAAGCCCAAGCACCAACCATTCAAAAGTTATGGCCAAGGTTAATATTTTCTAAAAGTGGGTCAAGCTCCAGGGTCAAGGTCAAACAGTCAAAATTATAGTGGTACGCAAGAGACGACCTTTGCACAAACTGTTCAAAAGTTATGGCGAAATTTAAAGTTTTTCAAATTGCAGGTCAAACTCCAAGGTCCAAAGGTCAAAATATTTGGTATCCAAAAGAAGGACTTGCCACAAGGAGTACACCTGTGAAATTAGGAAACGTAGTGCTAACTCTTCAAAAGATATGGCAAAGGTTAAAGTTTTTTCAAAAGTGGGTCAAACTCTCAGGTCAAAAATATTTAACCCCATGGAAAGGTCTTGTCACGATGAATACACATGTGAAATATGAAAGCCTTAGCATCAACTGTTCAAAAGTTATGGCCAAGGTTAAAGATGGGTAAATTTTTGTAAAAGTGGGTCAAACTCCAAGGTCAAGGTCAAATTTATTGGTACCCAAAGAAAGTTGTTGTCACAAGGAATACACATGTGAAATACGAAAGCCATAGCTCCATCAATTAAAAGTTATGTGCAAGGTTAAAGTTTTTGCGGAAAAACAGAAAGACAGACGGACAGGGCAAAAACTATATACCCCGAATCTTCGATTACGGGGGCATAAAAATTAGAAAGTGTCCATTTGAATTGAATGCCCCATGCAAGTAAAGCAATATGAAAAGAAATGTACCTTGCTTCATTGGTCATGATTACGGTAAGTGAGGAATAGTGAGGTCAAGGTCACAGGGAAAGTTAAGGTAAGAAAATTATGACCCATATGAATAGCTCTCACCAGTTTGTATTAATGAATCAAGTTCAATGAAAATATATTGAATATTTTCGTTGAAACTAAGTTTTGAACACAGCAAATAGTAAAGTCAATGATCAAACAGAAGGACAAGGTAAAAAAGATTGATTGATTGTTGTTTTACGTCCCGTTCGAGAATTTTTCACTCATATAGAGATGTCATAATATACCGGTGAAGGGTTTCAAATTGAAATTTAAACCTTACTCGGCACTCAGGCCATTGAGCAATGAGGGTTCTTTATCGTGCCAACGCCTACCGTGACACGGGGCCTCGGTTTTTAAGGTCTCATCCGAAAGACCCGCAACTTTCACTTCAAAGTGCCGAGCGCTTGGCAAAGGAGCAGTTGCTTCCCGTTTTTTATCGACTTAGGTCAGTCGCGGCCGTGATTCGAACACACGACCTTCCGATCACGAGGTAAAAAGGATTGGACACAATTGATAAGTTGTCATTAATATATATCAGTGCATGTGGTAGATAATTTGTTTGTTTGTTTGTATGTTGTTTAACGTCTTTCTTTGAAACTGAGCTACATGTAAATGCAAAATAAAGAAAAGTAAGGTCAAGGTCATACATTTTGGACACAGTTGAATAGTTCTCACCAATATGTATCATTAAATGTCTCTAGATAAAAAAGTTTGAATAGTTTCTTTGAAATTGAGTAAACACATAATTAAGAATAGGAAGTCAAGGTCATAGAGATGGTCAAGGTCATAACATTTTGAAGCAGCGGAATAGTTCTCACCAATGTTATCAGCATATAAAGTTTGAAAAAAATATCTTGAATAATTTCTTTAAAATTGAGCTAACACATAGCAAGATAAAGGTCAAAGACAAGGTCACTTTCAAAATTTTGATACAGTTGAATATCTCTCACTGATATGTATCAGCATATAAAGTTTGATAAAAAATATCATGAACATTTTCTTTAAAACTGAGTTCAACGCAAATTTAAGAGAATGAAGTGAAGGTGAAAGAAAAAAAAGGATCACTTCATTATAAATGGAACTTGGACCTATAGGACCGGGATTGGTTTTAATCATTACAAAAAGCTTGTCAATTTCGTTACGGTCAACGACTTTGGGCTATATACATGTAATAATTCGTTTTCATTTTATTACAGTATGTAGAGAAAAGCGGAACCTTTCCATAGACATTTATTATGAAGCATGATTAAATCGTCAACACATTTTGAGTTTGTTATCTCAAAATGTTATTCGATTTGATTTTTCCCTTACTTTTCATTGTAAATAATGTTAATGTCTGTATTCTTATTTTTTAGCTCACCTGAGCCAAAGGCACTTTTTTGTCCGGCGTCCGTCTGTCCGTCTGTCTGTAAACTTTTAACATTTTCTACTTCTTCTCAAGAACCACTGGGCCAATTTCAACCAAACTTGACACAAAGTATCCTTGGGTAAAGGGGATTCAAGTTTGTGCAAACGAAGGGCCACGCCCTCTTTCAAGGGGAGATAATAAAGAATTAATGAAAAATTAATAGCATCTTTTAAAAATCTTCTTCTCAAGAACCACAGGGCCAGGAAAGATGAAACTCATGTGGAAGCATCCTCAGGTAGTGTAGATTCAAGTTCGTTAAAATCATGACACCCGGGGGTAGGGTGAGGCCACAATGGAGGATCAAAGTTTTACATATAAATACATAGGAAAAACCTTTAAAAATCTTCTTCTCAAGAACAGCAAAACCATGATGAGTCATATTTATATGGAAGCATCCTCAGGTAGTGTAGATTCAAGTTTGTTCAAATCATGACCCCCGGGGGTAGGGCGGGGCCACAATAGAGGATCAAAGTTTTACATAGAAATATATAGGAAAAATCTTTAAAAATCTTCTCAAGAACAGCAAAGCCATGATGAGTCATATTTATATGGAAGCATCCTCAGGTAGTGTAGATTCAAGTTGTTCAAATCATGACCCCCGGGGGTAGGGCGGGGCCACAATGGAGGATCAAAGTTTTACATAGACATATATAGGAAAAATCTTTAAAAAATCTTCTTCTCAAGAACAACAAAGCCATGATGAGTCATATTTATACGAAAGCATCCTCAGGTAGTGTAGATTCAAGTTTTTTCAAATCATGACCCCCGGGGGTAGGGCGGGGCCACAATGGAGGATCAAAGTTTTATATAGAAATATATAGGAAAAATCTTTAAAAATCTTCTTCTCAAGAACAGCAAAGCCATGATGAGTCATATTGATATGGAAGCATCCTCAGGTAGTGTAGATTCTATTTTCTTCAAATCATGATCCCCGGGGGTAGGGCGGGGCCAAAATAGAGGATCAAAGTTTTACATAGAAATATATAGGAAAACATTTTCTACTGAAGAACTGCAAAGCTGATTAGTCATTTTGACATGGAAGCATCCTCAGGTAGTGTAGATTCAAGTTTGTTAAAATGATGACCCCCGGGGATAGGGTCAGGCCACAATGGGGGTCGAAAATTTTACATAGTAACATATAGGAAAATATCTTCTTCTCAAGAACTGAAAATTATGTTTAGTCATTTTGATATGAAAGCATCCTCAGGTAGTGTAAATTCAATTTTGTTCAAATGATGACCCCCGAGGGTAGGATGGGGCCCACTGGGGGATCGAAAGTTTTACATAAGAACATATAGAAAAAATATTTCTTCTCAAGAACAGAAAAGCTATGTTTAGTCATATTGATATGGAAGCATCCTCAGGTAGTGTAGATTCGAGTTTGTTCAAATGATGACCCCTGGGATAGGGAGGAGCCACAATGGGGGATCAAATTTTTACAAAGGAATATATGGGGAATTTTTTTTAAAATCAACTCAAGTACAACAAAGCCATTTGTCATATTGACATGGAAGCATCATCAGGTTGTTTAAAATTCAAGCCCCCCACCCCCACCCCTGTAGTCTTTTCAATACTGAACTGATTTGTGTTTTTGCCTAGCCAATATGCTCAGGTGAGCGATCTGGCCCATGGGCCTCTTGTTCTTGATGTGTGTTTATTTTACAACACATCTCCTTTGATATAATAAAACATGCAATTAATGTATACAAATTATAAAAAAAAAAGCCCTTGAAGAAAGTGTATAGTTCCGCTTGACTGTGTTTTAGTTACAGTGGAATTTACGATTTGCTTTCTTTTTAGCGCCTTTTATATCAAGAATGAATCAGCATAAAAGATAGATAATTGAAAGAAAATACACAAGACCCAATAAAAAAATAGACTATGAAAAGACAAGAATTTAAAAGTATAAAAGTGTGGCACTAGGTGGATTCGAACCACGACAAAAAGTATCTTCGGTGTATATACCCAGCTGTTTTAACGATCTAGCTATTTCTGGCTATGAAAATAGAACGTATAAATGCGAATTAGGTTTTTAAAAACAGGTTTCCTTATTTTTTGTGGTTTTTGGTGAATTTCAACCCTAGGACAGAGGTGCCCCTAAAAGTCCTTTCTTAAATTATTCCTTTCATCACAACCTATCAAAATATCATTTTTTTTATTTAGGGACGGGCCTGCCCTGAAGGACTTCTAGGCAATTCATGCAAAAATCTGTGCTTTAATTAACGGACAAAATGCTGTTTTGGCCAACTTTGGAGGTTAATTTTTAAGTTGTAAATAATAAAATTTAGGTTCAAAATACAAATTTGAAAAAATAAACATTTATACGTTAGTTAACAACTAATGAACATTGATTTTTAAAAGTGACTTTTTCCGGGAAATTGTTCTCTGCTAAAAGTCAATTCTTTTCAAATAGTGAATACATTGATGCAGTTTAGTAGCATTTACCAAAATGTACTGGCATATGAATTTTGATAAAATATCTTGATTTGCCTCCTTAAATGTAAGCTAAAGGCAAATTTCCTAAGAAATGAGGTCAAGGTCAAAGGGGGGGGGGTGAAAAATGATGCATTTGAATAGCTCTCACCAATATGTATCAGCATATAAAGTTTGATAAATTATCTTAATAGCTTTTTTGAAATTGAACAAAACAGACGGACAGACAGAATTAAGGATGAAAGACGGACATAACAAACACTATTCATTGCGGGGCATAAAAAAGACCATTGGAACTCATTTTACTTTATTATTGTGGAATGTTGCCGTCCAATGCCTGCATTAATTTATTGGTATCAATATTTCCGCCTGATATGACGCACACTATGTTTCCACGAAGTCTGGCGGCGAACTTTTCAGACAGTGCTGCGGCCACAGTTGCAGCACCAGCACCTTCTGCGACAACATGATTCATTTCAACAAGCAACTTCAAAGCGTTTGCAACTTCCTGTAGTGTCACAACCAAAGAATCATCCACAAGATGGCTTACGAGTGGCCACATTGCTTCTAGCACCGATTTACCACCCATACCATCTACAAAACTAGCTTTGTAATCACAAGTTGAAGGTTTCCCCATATCAAATGATAGTTTCAGCGGGGACGCTGTGTCAACTTCGCATGCAAATACTTGTGCGTTGGGTCTTTGGGATTTGACGGCAGATGCCACCCCCGATATGAGACCGCCTCCACCATAGGGACAAATGACTACGTCGACTTCCGGCAAATCCTCCACAATTTCTAGTCCTATGGTCCCATTACCTGTCAAAAATATTACGATATTACGAAAGATATAATTATATTTTTTTATATACAAAGGAGTAAAATACTTACCTGCGATGACTGCAGGATCGCAGACAGGGTGGACGAATTTCCCTTTTACTCCCTTGTAGTGGTGAGTTTCGATGATTTCCCACCATTTGTCAAAAGGCACTTTTAAGATAGTTCCTCCAAGTCGTTCAATTGCCTGTAATTTCGTCACAGGTGCGTGATCGGGAACTATGACGTTACAAGGTACTCCTCTTTCCCTGGCATTCCAAGCAAGACCTTGGGCAAAGTTCCCAGCACTTGCAGTATAAACGCCGTCCTTCAGTTCATCCTCAGATAAATTGGCTAGGGCGTTTCCAGCACCTCTGATTTTGAAGGATCCAATAGGTTGTAAGTTTTCCAGTTTAATGTATATCTGTTCAACATGGGAGATAAAAAAAATTGTGTAAGTAAAACATAGGTTATCGAAAGTTAAGAGGCTGACCTCAATGAATATTATCTATAGGTATGACAAATCCTCACGCCAAATGAATGTTTTGGTAATGTGCATCCCTACATGCAACATGCCAACATCCATGCAAGTTTGGTCTCGGTGGGGGTTATTTGGGAATGGATCTTCTGTGAGAGTTTTAACTATCCAGTCATCTATATCGGACCGACACGGCGTCAAAGCCTGTCCAATGTCAGATACGTTTGACCGTTTCTTTCGATATCTGATTGATTGAAATTTTTATTTGTACTATTAGTTTTTGTAAACAGAAATAGGTTATAACAATGATTTAAGAAAATAAAGGTCCAGTTAGGCTTATAATTCCTTTAGAATGGAGCTGCTCTAAAAACTTGATTTTTTCAATTATCCGTTTTGGTCAGATATCCAGCATCCAAAACATATCCAACAGTGCCCATCCTTAGATACATCAATCATGAAAGTTTGGTCATCATAGGGCATTCCCGTTACTTGGAAATGGGCTTGTTCAAAAATCCTTAATCTGTTCAATTAGTAGTATTCAGAAAATTTAGATCAAATCCACATCCGATTCAGGTTTTTGTGTGCATCCCTAGATGCATCAACAATGCAAGTAACCATAAGGCTTACGGTTACCTGATAACAGACCTACTAGTACCCCTAAAACTAAGGGTGAAGTTGGACATTTCTCAAACTTTTTGGTTTTTATTATTCAATGATGGATCTCGACAGTGCTTGAGCTTATAGCAACAAAAAGCGGTGGGTCAACCTGCATCTAAATGAAAATTTACAGATTAAAACTACAGCAAAAAACTATATTCAGAAAAAGGGGGTGCCCCCTCCCCTCCCCCCTCCTGCTGTTGCTTGTTACGGTCGCTTAGAGTTAATTAAAACATGAAGTTGTTTATAAAATATTGTTAAGAATAATAATAATGCACGGCTACACTTGTGATTAATAATAATTAATCTTGTAAGCACGGAGGAATATGTATTGAATGACATTAAGTATACATGTAGTGTTAGTTTTTATTCAGCCTATCCTTTAAATGCTGTCCTCAATTTTTCTATCATATTCACTATGTTTTGATTTTAAGCTTTGTGTACTGTCTCTCTCTCTCTCTCTCTTAAAACATTTAAAAGATCAGAAAAAAATAAAAACGAGTCCGTCTTAGTTCGAAATTTACACTTCTTCCGTTAGTTCGAAATTCACTTTCGTGCGTTCTGACAAGTAACAGAGTATAAACAAGAAAACATTGATGTAACCATCAATTGTCGCCCGGGAAATAAATAAAGTAAACAATGGAAATGAGTCTTGATCATCAAACCGGTTCGATATGTGTGAAAAAGGCATGCGTCTAAATGATGGAGACGATAGTCGAGACTATTTTGAAAACTTATAGTCGGATGAAAATCGAACAAAAACGATATCCTTTTAAACTTTATCAATTCCCCAAGTAAATGTTGGCTGCATAAAATATAAATTGAAACCAGACACATGCATTACCTATTTTCAAAAATGTCTTTCACCTTAAGAATATAAAACACGAGCTGTGTAAAGTACTTTTTTATGCGATAAGTGAAATTCGATGTTCTAAAAAAAAGGGACCTGTCGTTTTTTCGATAGTAAATGATAAGCAACTTTATATATTAAATATGAAAAACATATATATTTTTACAGATTCTCTTTATGGAAGTAAATATATTGTGTATCTCGTAATTTATAAAGGGAAAGAACATTCTGATTAACAATCTTTTTAATGTTTAGAAAACCTTTAATTCTGAATAACTTCTCCCACCTCAATCCCCATATACCAACACTTAAACTTATATGTATAGAGCAGCCCGGTCCTCCGGGCTGCAATAAGTTTTTCCCTCGTATAATTATAAATTTACTCTACCTTTCTGCCAGGCACATTTTTATTGAGAGGAATGAGCGGTGATCGTATGACTGACCCCCTAATTTTTTCTTTGGCCTCTAATATTTTCTGTAAGGGAATGTTATCCGTGGGCGTTAAGCTCTCCATGTTAAAGGTCAACAACCATTAGAGTTATCTTTCTTAATGTTGTGGTGAGTGAGGAGCTGCGGTGGCGCCATCGTCTCAAGCCACGGTCCGGAGTCCGCATTTAGCTATCTCCTCCAGAATGGGAGAGGATCGCACATTTTGGCCGTGGATTTGCGACGATGCGGTGGCGCGCAAATATAAATAAACTAATAAAAAGACATTTTCAAGCATAACACCGATAACGAAAAGATTATTCAGACTGTAAGAACATGGTAACTTCGTCGAGATATTTCAGATAATGTATTTCAAGGGACAGGTTTCCGCCCTAAGTTTTAAGGAGGTTGGATCCTGCCATCAAAAGAAATGAGAATTTTTTATCAAGTATATTTCTAGAACTTATACACATAGCTTTATTAAAAATCAAAACAAAAAAATGGGGGTCAATGCGCTTCTTTTGGCGCTACAGAGCATTTAGTTTGACCTTTTTGCACTGTACATGTAAATACGTCTTACACATAAATCAATTTTTAAAGTTTCTACTCCAATAATTTTTGTTCAAATAAATAATGGGGACAAAAATAGTCTTATTTCATCTTAAATAGACACATTAAAATTTGTGACAACGAAGAAATTTTCAAATTACTCCGCATGTTCAATTATTTGACCTTTTTGCACTCAAACATTGCATTAAAAATTTAACAAGCAAAAAAATCATTTGAAAGTAATGACATTTTACTGAATTTAAGAAGAATGGTTAAAAGTATTTTATATATTCAGAAAAGAAAATCAAAAGTGGGGGTCTGTGATGTTAATTTTTAGATATTACTAAAACAGTACTAATTTTAAGCTTAAATTAGGGCTATTTTTTCTTCATGTTCACAATATATTTGCTATATTTATCATATTTGATGATAGAATTCATGACAGTTTATTTAATAGATAATTTAGGACCAATTTAAAACAGTCCACTGCACAAAATAACTATGTGTGCAGACTGCATGTAAAAATAGGAATCCAAACTTAGCATACTTTAAATACTTCGAAAGAGAAAAAATGATCTTTTTCTTCTAAAAAACCTTCCGCCACAAAATATAGTTCTTCACTTAATGCTTTTTGTATGGAATTTAATCATGGAGTTTTTACTGAATATAGTTAAATTGGCATTGTAGAATCCAAATTTATTGTAAGAATTAAAACATTATGCAGAATTTTTGAAATACATGTATAGGTTAAGATAAAAATTTGCTCAAAAGTTCAGGAGCGAACCTCGTTAAGCATTTTTATATACTCATTTCGTTAAGTGAATTATTTCTCTTAGTATATTGCATTTTTTTTAAATGTATGCATCAACACCATTACAGGTAATGAGGCAAAGGATCAGTCATATTTATTTTCTTATCTGTCACATTGTTAGCGGTATGAAAGAAAAGATAAAAAGTTTAGAGAGAAAGGCATTAAAATATTTTTTCCTTGAATTAAACCTTGAACGGTTAGTTCTAGGGCTTTCATATTTCACATGTGTATTCCTTGTGACAAGACCTTCCCTTGGGTTTCAACAATTCTAACCTTTTGACCTTGACCTTGGAGTTTGACTTACTTATGAAAAACTTTGACCTTGGCCATAACTTTTGAACAATTGCTGCTACGGCTTTCATATTTCACAGATGTATTCTTTGTGACAAGACCTTCCCTTGGGTACCAGCAATTTTGACCCTTTAACCATGACCTCTGAGTTTGACCTTCTTTTGAAAACCCTTAACATTGGCCATAACTTTTGAACGGTTGGTGGTGTTAGGGCTTTCATATTCACAGGTGTTCATTGTGACAATATCTTTCTTTGGGTACCAACATATTTGATCTTTTGACCTTGACTTTGGAGTTTGAATTGCATTTGAGAAACTTTAACCTTCGCCATGAGCAGCCATACGGAGGCATCAGTGTTTCACAAACACATCTTTTTTGTAGAAAAACGTTATTTTCGACCCCCAATTGGCCCCCTGGGTTGTAATACAAATTCCGAAAAATCCATTTCACCTCTAAGGACACCAACAATCATGTTCCAAATTATGAAAGGCTACTGCGTAAAATGTAAGAGAAATTCTGCGAACTACGTTTTGTAGAAAAACCGTTGTTTTTCGACTTACAATTGACCTCCATGATAAAAAAAATCAATATTACGAAACTTAATCGCACAAGTACAGAAACCTGCCAATCATATTCCAAAAAATGTTTTGACTACTGTGTAAAATGTAAAATGAGTTCTTTTAGAAAAATGATTTTCGGTAACCAATTGGCTGTACACGGCATTACACTCGGATGAAAATTCCGATATCTTATCAAAATTTCTCAACAAGACATCACTAATCCTATACCGAAAGATGATTTGGCTACTGGATAAAATGTAAAAGAAAAAAAAATTTCGACACCCAATTGGATCTTAGAATGAAAATGAAAATTCCGAAACTTTATTGCACATCTACAGGACACCATCAGTCATACTCTTAGAGATGATTTGGCTACTGAATAAGGAAGAGGATAGAGCGACAGGCGGACGAGCCTGCGTGGATAACAACAATATACTCGAACTTTCTGTGGAAAGTTCGGGTTAAATTAGCAAAAACTAACTTTTGAAATTCAAAATAAACTGTACACTATTGGCACGATGATATCCCGAGAGTACGTGTTTCGCATGTTACAAAACAGCTTAATCCCCAGAGGTTTACATCCAGAATGATTCGCAGACATTGTTAGAAAGTCAACCATGTGATAAAATCTAGTTATTGATCGTCCATTCAACAAATCTCACTGATTGCAACAGATATTGAAAAATGAACAGGTGAACCAGCATAGGGATAAACATGTATTTATGGCTAAAGTTTTCATTTTCGACATTCGTGTAATGAAATTTAATAAGAGAGCTACTTTGAGTTAGTAAACTTCAACAGAAAACAATGGTCGTTCAACATGTTGAAGGGGACATTTTTAATATTGTGTGCTTTAGCAGGAATATGCCGGGCAAGCTGGAAAATTGGTAAGTTTGGAAAAAGGATCGTTCATTTATGTTTTGTGCTATACTTTCATTAAAACAGAGCTAAGTTTATTTCATTGTAAACTCGCAGGTGTTTGTGGACGGGATCCTGTATTTTATAAACTCTGGAAGTTAGTTTTCTATTCATAAACTGTTCTTCTAGCAGTTTAGATATATATAGTGTGTTCATTATAAAAATAATTTAAAAACCTCAAGGATATCTGCTCCTTAGCCAGGAACAATAACTTTTTAAATTATTATTTCAATTGGTAAAATTTTTTTTTTTCTAGCAAAAATTTTCATTTCATACATCTATGATGCAAGTTCTTTTAAGTCCTAGAAACGGTCTCGTAAAAAAGGGAGGTATTTGCACCAATAAAAGTAGGGAAAAACAGTTTTAACGAAATCGAATTTCCTTAAATGTTGCCTCAGATACCATCGTTTATTACCATGAAGTGAAATTGGAAGTGATCTGTGATATCTTGTAATTAAACAACCAAAGTTAACAGAAGAATTAGAATACTGCATAAGTACAAAAAACATGCTTTTTTTTCCCCAAATGCCTGGATACCTATTTTTTTTTTTAATTATTATTATAAAATGTACTTGTTCATCAATTTTCAAAATTTTAGAAATTGCATAATAGGTGCTTTTATTCATATTTCCTGAAAGAAATATTTGATAATTTTCCCTAAACAATATGAACAACTACAATAATGAACTTTGAAGAAATAACATGGGTATATTGAACTATATTCACAAAACTGTGAATTCAGTTTCATTTTTGTGAGCTTCTTCAATTAATCAACTGCTGATTTTTATATAATTTTGACAATTATGCTTTTTCTTTCTTTTTTCTGGAGCAAAAGTAATGGCCAAAGTTAAGAATTTTTATATGTACATGAAGGTCAATCTTCTAAGTCAAGGTCATGAAGTCACAAATGATAGTTTTTTCTTCAGGTGTTGTCATAGGTAATGTACATGTAAAACATGAAAGCCCTCTTTCTTCTTTCAAAAGTTATTACCAATGTAAACAATAAAAAAAAATGTAGGTCAAAATTTAGGGTTAAGATCACGAGGTCAAAACCAGAGTAAATTTAGAAAGTCCTGAAACAGGTATGCACAAGTCAAATATAAAAGATAATCTTCTCCCATTCAAAAGTTATCATAGATGTCAAAATTTTTGAACTTCATAATCATGAAATTAAAAACCATAGTACATAATTGGAAAGGTCTTGTCACAGGTAAATAAATGCACATGTCAAATATAAATGCCCTATCATTTCTCATTTGAAAATCATCAGTAATTTTAATTTCTTTGAAAATTATTTCAATTTTTAAGGTCAAGGTCATGGGCCTAAAAATTACAGTACATTTGAGAATGTATTGTCACAAGTAATGCTCCTCTCCTTCAAAAGTGAACAACAATATTGATTTTTTTAAAAAAAATGGTCAAACTTCAAGGTCAAGGTTACAGGGTCAAAAATCATGGTTCATTTGGAAAGGTCTTGTCACAGGTAATGCACTTGTCAAATATGAACGCCCATCTTCTATCGCTAAAAGTGATCAACAGTGTTAAAATTTTTGAAAGTTAGGTCAAATTTAAAGGTCAAGGTCACGAGGTCAAAAGTCAAAGTATATTTGGAAAGGTCTTGTCACAATTCATATACATGTAAATTATGAAAGCCCTTTCTTTTTTCATTCAAAAGTTATGACCAAAGTTTTTGTGACAGACTGACATACAAAAGAGATTTAATGTCCCCTCGCTTTCGCGAAAGAGGGGAAATAATTTGTTTTTATTTCATATTTTTCTAATATGTTTTAATAGGTGTGCTTTTTCAAACCGATGATTGGACAAACTTTAGCATAACAGACAGTTATGACTTACCTGGAACCTGTGATCTAGAGTACACACGTTATAACTTGAATGGCTCAGACCCTGTCATTGTGGGACAAACGGGTAAGAGTTCATATTTGACAATTGCATTACCTATGTCAAAATGTTTCAGAATGTGCTATGATATTTGGACCCCGTGACCTCAACCTTCAGGTTTGACCTAATTTTCGAACATTTTATCAGTGTTGCTAACTTTTGATTGTATACTTTGGTTTTCGATAATTTTTCACATGTGCATTTCTTGTGACAAGACCATTCTTGTATTATGATATTTGACCTCATGACCTTGATCTTGAAGTTTGATGTACTTTTGAGAAGCTATTATATTAGCCACAACTATTATTAATTCAATAATTTATGTCTTTTTTGTATGATGCACAGGCAAGACAGGACGCACATACAAGACAATTACAATATGCCATAAATAATGGCACCCCAACCACCAAGACACCGGAAGCGGGCGACCACAATTCTTGCAATTTGCTTGTTTAAAATTTTAACTTTGGCAATAACTTTTGCTCTAGAAGAGACACGGCTTTCAAAAGCTTTATTTGTGACAAAACCTCTTAGACTCTATTATGATATTTGACCTCATGACCTTGATGTTGAAGTTTGATATAGTTTTAATAACAAAATGTTGGCCGTAAATTTTATTAATTCAAAAATTTACTGTAATTTTTTTGTATGATAGACGAAACACGACATTTACAATATGCCATAAATAATTGCGTCACAACCACTAAGACACCAGATGCGGGGGACCACAATTCTTTGAATTTGCTTGTTTCTGTAGATACTAGTATTTGTAAATCGTTACGCCTATTTCTTATAATGCGACACAATGTATATGTATTATGTGCAACCTTTCTATAATGCCATCTTTTGTCGTTGGCAGAATTGCCTTATAATGAGCGTGGTATTAAAATAAGTTTGTTTTTGTTTACGTTAATTATAATTTTGGCGCGATGAATAGTAACAATTCGAAGTTTATAGATTTTTCTCGTGTCGCCCGCGGTAAGTTCTGAGGATATCTTTCTATTTGTAAGAACTGTAAATATTTGTGCAGCTGTCATGTCTCCAGATTTTGATCAATTCAAAATTACTTTTCGAACCAGTAAAAGTATAAATCTGAAACAGCTGGAAAGGAACTTTTTGCATCCCTTCGTGATCCAAATTTCTCTACATATACCATATTAGTGCTGAAATGCGTTCTTAGTCCCAAATTCTTCGATGATACACAATAAAATTATATAAAACTTTGTAGTTTAAGCACATGACCTTTTTTTTATTTTCAAAGTTTACAATATATCAGCAGAAGATATCCTTGGACTGATAGCCTTTACCTCCTACTCCCTGACTCCAGTGGTGAGAGAAGTAGCAAACGTTCTAAACACCCCCCTGATTAATGTTGTCCAAGGTCATTGTCCAAAGATCAATGAGGGTATCCTGTTATCCGCAATTCCAAATTGTCATATTCAAAATTCGTTATTTACCGACATAGCACTGTACATGAGGTGGCGGCGAGTTAATATCATTTACGACTTCACTGGTAAGTCTTATCTCATCTTTCATAATTAATTACCAAGGTAATACATATTTTCTGAAGTCAATTGTCATGTCTTTTTTTCAATTAAAGGTGAAGTTTGCATTCAAGACTTCGTCAATCGCTTTAGTGTGCACAATATTTCAAGTAAAGCTGTTTTCTTGCGTGATGGAATTGAAATAAATCTTTCTCTTGTCACTGGTCAACGTTGGTTAAAGGAGGTCATATACGTAACCACAGACAAACATACGGCGTTAGAGATCGTCTCTGAGGTATGTACGTCTCCACATGAATAGAAAAAATTCGGAATGGTCGTTGTATTGAGCAAGGGTACTTTATAGTGGAGCGGATAGTTGAAAAAAATATTTCACTCGGTGAAACAAGCTCCAAATTTGGCATGTAGGTTCGTTATCTAATACCTGAATAGGAAATATTGTTGGCCATTGTACAATAAATGAGTTTATGAGTTTGTTGGTCATTATACAATAAATGAGTTTATAAGTCAGATTCTTTTAAGGATTTATTTTGACCTCTCATGTCGATCTTAACTGGAATTCCATAATGTCTTAGTAGTTTCTATAAAACTCTTTCTATTGATGATATCAAACACTTTTTTTTTCAAAATTGATGAACTTGATGCATAGTGATTATTGCCATTCTACATACACTAGGAATGCTTAGTGCAGCTTTTTGGTCTGTACAGATTCTGATCAATCTAAATCTGGTTCGCTTGTCTTTTAATTCTTTCTATTGTGTCTTTAATTCTATTCCAAATAACACTGTTTAGAATCTTGCTTGCTACACAAGATCTCTCTCTCCTTTCTTTCTTTTTTTTTTCTTTTTTTTTTTAAAGAGATTAGATCTCCCTTCTTTGGTATATGTAGTTGGAAAATCAGTTCTTTCTTCCGCTTATTAAGGAATCAATTACATGTATGTTTTTATACCCCTGCTCTGAAGAAGAGGGGATAGAATGTGTTATACTTATGTGTCTCTGTCTGTCTGTCCGTATAAAATTTCCGTCGGATTTTTCTCAGCAACTACTCTTCGCAGGTACATGTACCTGAAATTTTAACACTCTTTATATAAGCAGGCAATGTGGTGGATTCATTTTCGTACGAATTCGATGCCAGCTTCCTGTTTGTCCGTGCGTCTGTCCGTTCCAAAAGTGTGTGCTAGAACCTTTTGAACAATGTGAAATGGATTTCTATTGTTAGTACATATCATATGATGATGTAAAAACGAATACAATACATTTCTAACAAGATGCTTTGGTTCTTATGGTTTTTTTTTACTTTGGACATTGGCTTTCTGGGTAAACTTTAATGTGATAAAAAGATGAACCTTAAATAAAATGAAAATCATATGAAGTACAATATTTCTTTAACTGAACTTGTATATATTTACATAAGAGCATAACTTTATTATATTCATATCAAAACGGGAGTATAACTAGTGAGCATTGGTTCACAGACTTCTTGTTGCATCCTTTTTCCATAGCTTCCTGCCATTTTTAAGTGACACCAATTCTTCATTTTATTTGACATCCTTTTTGCTAGGATCTCTACAGTTTTGTTTTTGAATTGTCTTTGTCTGTATCCCATTCATTTATCGATATCTTCTGTGGTATCTAGACTTTGATTTGATTCTTTAGTTGGATTTAGAATTCTTCTATGGTTCTACTCAATGCGCTTATGGCCTTTCTTTCCGTGTTTGCTAGTCTTATTTTCAATTTGCCAAGTAGTAGATGAGTTTATGTCTGCTCTTGTTTAACTATTACATAACTGAGGTCTTTTTTATTTTTAATAATCATGGCTAGATCGGTCTAGTTTTTTTTAAAAATATAAATCCTTCTGGCGACTCCCATTTTCTTTATTAATAGATATTCATATGTGGGAATATGAAGCCTACGATAACAAGTGCATTTATTTCACGAAATTCAGCAAGAAGTACGCCTTATGCATTCACGTCTTCAGATGCATAATGCAGATGCACCATGCCTTCCCATTGCCTTCTCCCTGTTATTGCTGTCTAGGGATATCTTTGTATTCATGTCATCCTTTAAGGTTTTAAAGTGTCGTTTTGGAAATTCTTCCAGCCATCGTAGTGCACGCAAATTACTCTTGATTGATATACAATTTACAAACGAAATATTGCAGAATTAAATTGCGTTAAATTATAAAACGTCATTAGGCTTTTATTTTGAAATATGATGTTCAAAATATCTTGTAAAAAAGCTTGGTTATAACCAAAATATATCAAAAACGGCCAAAATATTATAAATATTACAGTAAATTGATCGTACATGAGTCCAAGCAGTATAGAAATGTCGCCATTTTGTTTTAGCAGCAGCCATCTTGAAAATGGTGGAAATTGAAAAATTCATGCCCTCTGAGTCATGGGTTCTGGTGCTAGAGCAGGACTTTATTGATCATATAGGGAAATTTTAAACTCTACTTTGAGTACAGTATCATGTGAGTTTACCAACCACGAAAATGAATCCCTTTGGAGCAGTATTTTTTCCACAAACCACGAAATGTTGACCACGAAAATAAGTGATCTTACAGTTCGCGTATTTTAGACAAATTTTCAGGAAAAACAAAAATAACCTTTACGGTCGCTATTACTGACGAAGGCTTTATGATTTTTCATGGAAATAAAAATGAGATCCATGCTCTTTTTGCTATAGCCAACTGCAATGCTCATGACCCATTACTGAAATTCACATGACGAAATTCTAGGCAAATTATGCATTTCCTGGATACCACGGTACAAACAGATTCGACATAAATGGAATCCTTGGCTTTAAAACCTACATTAAATCTGCCAACACGATCCAGTAAAAAATTCTTCAGTTTTCAAAGGATTCATTAAGGGCGAAACATGTCATAATTTAGACAAACAACATTAAATTGAATCTCACATAGAGAGGTTATTGTGAAAATTAAATTTATCAAAATATACAAAATGCCCTTGATGATTTTTCATGGAAATAAAAATGAGATCCATGCTCTTTTTGCTATAGCCAACTGCAATGCTCATGACCCATTACTGAAATTCACATGACGAAATTCTAGGCAAATTATGCATTTCCTGGATACCACGGTACAAACAGATTCGACATAAATGGAATCCTTGGCTTTAAAACCTACATTAAATCTGCCAACACGATCCAGTAAAAAATTCTTCAGTTTTCAAAGGATTCATTAAGGGCGAAACATGTCATAATTTAGACAAACATCATTAAATTGAATCTCACATAGAGAGGTTATTGTGAAAATTAAATTTATCAAAATATACAAAATGCCCTTGATAATTAAAAAAAGAGACACAGCTCTGATAGTGAAATGATACTAAAAAAGAGTTCCACCTTGTTTTTGTAACAAAACTTCGGAAAATAAAGCGGAAATTAATAAAACACTGGCAAATCCTCTTTAATTAAATTGTCTATACATCAGACGTGCAAATAGTCTCCTGATGATGACGGATTTGCAGCTAATTGATAATTTAAAAATCGTAAACCTCGTATCACACCGCCCAAACACTAAATCAAGTGATTTAGGGAACGTGGCTGATGGAGCCATTTTCTGTGAAATACATTATTACATGGAAAATTGTTATGTCCAGTTCCCAAGAAACATGAGGATGAAAAAAATATTTTTTTTTTTAACCATTTCATAGAAAAATGCATTCATTTGTTATGTTTTCTCACACAGATATAGAATACTAGTAGTCCTGATTATAAATATAATGATTTGTATTTTGATATCAATGCACCTGAGATTACATCATCCATCCCCCCAAACTCCTTTATGAGCAATATGAAAGTACTACAAGTGCATTCCTCTGGGTAGCATTGGGAGCAAAAAATAATAATGATAATAAACACGACCTGTACTAAATGAACCGTTAATTAATACATTTTTAGTCTTTTTACAGAAAAAACAATAATGACATCCCTGGAATTAGAGATAGACCTAACGGGTTCAAGTCCCGACTGTTCTTACATTTTCAAATTGCTTCAGAATTAGATTCATTGGAAATAATGTAACCGTATATTGTTATATTGATGGATTTTTAAACACACTGACAACCTGATGACCTTTCAGTTCTAGTAATCATTATAAAATTTTTGATTGTATGTATTTGGATTAATTTGACGTGTTGGAATATTATCATTTGTCCACGAGTATAGCGTGGATGAGTATAGTAATATAATAGTTTATTCAGAGTATTACTTTGGGCAAAACAGCCCATTAGTATATAATAATAACATTTAGTTATGATATATTTTACAGTGATTAAGACTCCCAAGGAGACTAAAATCGGGGGGGGGGGGATAACCCTGATCAGGTGTTCCTCAGTCCCACACTGACAGTTCCACATTTACTCAACTGAATTCATAAAACTGAAAAAAAAAATTATCATATGCTTGATGATTAACATTCATTTAACTTTTTTATTAGAAGAAAATGTAAATAAGGATATTGTGTAAGCATATTTAGTCTATTATTAAAGACTTACACATTTTATTTCACGGATATTGGACAATCTCTATAGGGAAATCATCCATGGAATACCGTGGTTCGTGGGATATAATTAAAAAAAGATACCAGTACATTTGAACTGTTTGAATGATATTTTTCCTGATATTTCATTTATTCTATCATTCGCCTCCCACTCTCTCCACCCTCTCTCTTTACCTACCTTCTCTCTCTCCCCACTTTCTCTCTCTACTCTCTTTCTCTCCCCCTTTCTATCCCCACTCTCTCTCTCCCCCACTCTCACCCGACTCTTCCCCCACTGTCTGCGCCACACTCTCCCTCCCCCACACTTTCTCTCCCGTTAACTCTCTCTCCTCCACACTTTCTCTCCCGTCTCCCACTCTCTCTATCTCCACTCTCTGTACCCCTATTCTCTTACCCCACTCTACCTTCACTCTCCCTCGCCTTACCCCCAACACTCTCTCCAATCTTTCTCTCCCCACTATCTCCCTCTCTCTTTATTTTTGTTTAGACCGTCTAACTCATTTAATATTAGGTCTTGTGGAAAAAACTAATATATATGCATAATACATAGATGTTTCTAAGTTATTTACAATAAAATTAATGGAAAAAAACTTATTCCAGAATAAAGACAAAATTCTTACTGTTAGTAGAAAAGAAATTATAAAATGTTTATTCTTGATCTTTTTACTTTAAATTGGCATTGGCAAATTTATTTATTTTTGCAAAAAAATGAATGTAATTTAAAATTATAAGGGCGATAAATATACTTCTTCCCTGTTCACAATTTGTTCATTGCGTTATATGTTTGTGCATTTAATTTTACATGCTTGGAAAACAATATTTATATGCTTACTAACATGCAAGGAACATATGTCAGCTTGAATTCTAAGTTGGATATTATTTTTTGTACCGTTATGAAAAATAGATGTGCGCCTAATGCCCTAAATTATCCGCATGCAGAGAGGAGGTTTATAAATATCCTTTATTTGATCTAGTATGTAATAAGGGTTTGACATTCACTATCCTTTTCCCTTGTAAGCTTTCAGTTTATTATATTTTCATAATTTTTATCTTGTTCAGACATCGTGTCGTTGCTTTCAATGTTAACCAAAATGCACTTGCATCATGACTCACTCGTTGTTCTACCGATTACCCGGAATTTCATATTTTCTTATTGCATATAAACGTTCGTTTGGTGTTTGTTCAAATACGCACTCTTAATAAAACTATGTATAATCTTTACTTGTTGCATGGTTCTACTCTGCTAACCATAGATTTCTACATGTATAATACTAAACGGTTTTGAATGGACAGTGTTAAATGATTAACCGTTGGGCTATCAACGTAATTTGAGTAAATGTTCACCTTATTACAGGTCCTAGCCGTGAAAACTTCTGGGGAAATTAAAATCATTCACTTAAGTAATAGAGCTATTCTGATTCAATCAAAAAAGAAAAAAAAGAAAGTCAAGCAAATTGTAGGCTTAAAAAATGTAACGAAGTTGCCTCTGTCGCGCATAGGAACCATCCTCAATCTACATGTACTGAACATAACATTATAGAGATAAAGTTTATAAATTGTAAAATACTTGAAGTAAGCATTTAATCTAAGTCTGAAGGAAGAATTTAAGAATGAATGCCACATTTTTTTCATAGATCTTTAAGACGTCTGTCATGAAGTTCCCCTTTAAACTATGGTTTCAGCATTAAAATGCCGATATTAGCTCTCAATTATTTTATGTGATTTCTTCCCCAATTTTTCATAGAAAATGAAAAAAAGAAAGATTTTATTTGCAAATAAGATGTTTTAGAGTTAAAAATTTGCTATTAATAAATACAGAAAATGAATATCTAATAAAATATATAAACAAAAGCAAGCTGGACATTTTAATTTTTTTTACTAAAAAATTATTTATGAAAATAAAACACCGTATTTGCGAATATTTTCGAAACCTATGGATAATATATTCAAAAGTCACTGATACAATACAATAAATATGCTAGACAATCATATTTTAAAAAGAAATTAAAATGAAAATGCCAAATTTTCGAAATTTTTTTTTTAATTTTGGCCAATCCCGATCGAAATTTAAACTGATCCCAATCGGAATTTTGTAATAATTGGAAATAGATAACATTTTCACAAGAATACTAGTTTGTTTGGATGTAATATGGATTAAAAGGTAGTTGAACTTGACGATCAAATAGATTTCTTAGAGGTAAATACATAAAGAGGACGATAATTATTATTTTATTTATTTTGTGTTAATTTTGATCGGGATCAGTTTCATTTTGATCGGGATTGATCCAAATACAGCTATATTAAAATAATTATTTTCCCTTTTAGCTATTTCATTTCAATTTCTTTTTAAAATATGATTGACTAACATACTCTCCCTAGTTGTGACTAGTTTTATGAAGATTTTATCCATAGGAACAAAAATATTTACAAATTTTGTGTTTTATATTCATAAATAATTTTCAATTTAAAAAATTAAAATGTCTGTCCAACCTCTCTTTACACATTTATATTATGCATTTATTAATAGTAAATTTTAAAACATAAAACATCTTTGAATTGAACGTATTTTATTGTCTGTTAACTTTACAAATGGGATTGGGCAAAAGTTCTAAAAAAAAAAAATAATACGCCCTTTCCCTACATATAAATTATACCAAAAATATTTACATCTATGGGTTTCAGCTTAAAATAAATAAATACAGAAAAGCATAATAATCAGTGGAACAATATTCAATTTAGTATATTTCTTGTATGATACACAAGCTGTATAGAATTCGTAAAAAGTAATAATTGTATCAACCAAAACAACCTGACTTTTTAATAAATGTTTGTACAAAGGAAAATAGGTATTCATTTTCAACATCGTTTAATGTTTCATCTCCCCACAGTAAAGTGTGAGTATCAACAGTATGTAATTTTCCCATTCGCAGAAATGAGTCAAAAAATTCTTTTCTGGCCTCTGTATATTTTTTGCATGAAAAGAAATAATGATGAGTATCCTCCACTCTTCCACAAGAACATAGGGGACTCAAAATTACATTACATCGAAAAAGATCGCTATTAAACACACAGTTGTGTCGAAGCCTTGTATGTAATATATTTAAGCGTCGAATCCCGTACCTGAAATAAGAGAGTGGCATAGGTTTATTGTAAGAAATTGACTTTTAAAGATACATAATGAGGAAAAATTTCTTGCAATAAGAGGTAATGAGTTCAATTCGTCAATAACAAGGGGGGGGGGGGGTGAAAATACATGTTTGCAATCTGCATTTAGGTATGTTATAGTTATATGAATTTCTCTTAATGTAACATGATGAATTACAACGCAAATTTGGGATTTTATCAGTTAGATATTCAGGAACTTGGTTATTGTAGTTAATCTAGTATTTTTTCTTCTTTCATGTATAGTTCCCATCCAGTTTCAAAGTATAGTGCATCTTTAGAAGCTAATAGAGTTAAGTGCTAATTTTTTTGCTATCGCCTACATTACATCCAAGGAAGCCTATTCTAATTGGGGTCTAAGAAAGGTTGTGTACATGAGTGAAAGAGTTTTCCGATTTACAACAAATTTGATTTTTTTTAATAAGCATCTTTGCAAATGAAACATTTTTTTTCATTTTCTCAGAAAAATACCCCAAAAATCGTATTAAATAATTAAGAGCTAATATCAGTCTTTCAGTGCTGCAACCATAGTTTAAAAGGGATGTCTTAAAGATCTATTAAATAAAATTTTGGTGTGGCATTCCTCCTTGAATTATGAAAAGGACTGAGGAAGGAGGTAGAAAACATGTTAGAAATTCTAAAATGGCAGTGCATGATTTGGAGACAAGCCAAGACCATCTTTAAAAAAAAATGTTTGTTAACCTTCTCCCGACGGACTGGCTAAAATGGCCCGACTCAATTTTTTTTACCTCCAGAAAACAAAATATTTTTTCTTTTCTCACCCGTCCACTTGTATGCTGAAATTTTCTTGGGGAAAAATTAATGCGTATCATATCTCATTTCTAAATGTTTTTTTTTTTACAGGTTTTGTAACTTTTGTTATATAATATTGTGAAAAAGTAGGGGGGTCAGATTTCTATGGGGGTCATTTTTCAACGTGAGAGGAGTCGTAGAATTACCGGCCTGGAAGGGTTTTCTTCGGTCGAAAAATGACCCTACTTGTCGTGGAATATTGACCCAGGATCATTTTTCTACGTAGAAATTTGACCCCATGGTCAATATTTTACGGGGGTCACTTCTCGTCGCTACACCGGACTTATTTCTGACAATTAAAGTAAATTTGTTTCAGACAATTAGATTAATCGAACTTAGTTTAATAATTCAGATGTACGTTTCAGTTGATGGGTTTCTCATTAAGTTTATCTACCACTTATGTAAGGGATTTCTATGCATCGCACATCGACCGCTTATTTGTACAATGAAATGAATCTCATAAAAAAAATATGATTTACAAATATTGGCATCTCTAAATGCTATAGAAATGAGTCACTGTGTCTTAATATTCTCAAATTCTACTTGTATTCATAGATCAGAAATCTTTTTTTTTTTAAATAATCCATGTATCTCTATAACAATTGGCGTCGTATTCAGGCGATGACATTGGGGATGTTCAATAACAGCTATTTCTGGGTTTTGAACCTGGATCTTCATGATCTGTGGGACCGTGCTCTGTACAAACCGGTACATAATGGTTATGTCCTAGTGGTGACCACTCATCGTAAACACAATCGAACGGTAATGTGCTAGAAGATAATTATTAAAGAAACCATACTCTTCAGTTTTATTAATTTTCAGAAACGAATGATTCATATATGTGCGACATGTTTTACAAGATTATCTTTTCTAATAATACAGAACATATCGAAATATGTAATGGAATTAATTTTTCTTTTTCATATCTTTTTAGCAGATAATAGATAACTTACTTTATGAGGCTCTATTAATTTTTCATCGTGGGTTAAATTTGACCAAAGAAACCTGCCATTCAAACGAGTCAGCATCACTGGCCAGCGCCCTGTTGCAGTACCTGAATTCAGTAAGAGATTTTAAATTATAATTTGACGGATTAATTGCTCATTATTTTGAAGCTGTTCAATGAAAAATAAACAGTTTTTCTATTTGAACAAAGGTAGACTCTGTTAATTCGTCATTGTCAAAGGATGGCCACTTTCGTGGAACTTCCGAACTCCGTGTCTACAGTACAGTCAGAAACTCAAGAACGCCATTGCAAGAAGTTGGTGTATATACTCCAGGCAACGGTTTGCTTGTCTCTGACAAAAGTCTGTACAGAAACGTGTTTAAAGGCTTTGATAACCGGACGCTAAGGGTTGTCTCTGTAGTGGTAAGAATGCGCATTTGTTGTTGATATGATGGTTTTGTAGGTTGTCCATTTAAAGTTGTCAATATGCACCAGTAAATTTAATCAAATTATTATTGCAGGGTGAACCATTTCAAATGAGAGTAGAGGAAGGCAATGGAAGTTTTCACTTCTATGGGTTCACCTACGACCTTCTGGACGAGTTTTCAAAAGAATTCAATTTTCGGTATGAAGTGGTATCCACTGTTTGTATCAAATGTTTTATTTTCGCTAAAATTCTCCAGACTTAGTTTATTTAAAAAAAAGAAAGAAATTCTTGTCTTTTTTTAAAGAAACGACTATTTTACTTGTTAGGTACCAGTTTCTAGACTCCGTGGATGGTCTTTATGGTAACCCAACAGAAGATGGTAAGAATGCTACAGGAATGGTTGGAATGGTCATGAGGGGCGTAAGTTATCATGGATTCATGTCATCATTATATAAGAATTGCGCAATTTTATCTGAATATGCTTACTCTCTCTCTCTCTCTCTCTCTCTCTCTCTATGTATATATATATATTCATGATTGTTATATCAGGAAGCTGACATAGCAGTGGGTGGAATCACAATAACAGTTGAAAGAAAAGCCGTCGTTGACTTCCTCTATCCTTACCAGGAGGAGGGAATCGGAATAATAATGAGAAAAGTTGATGATGAAGCAGGAAAAATGTTCCGAGTGTTTAGTCCTCTTGGATCTTATTCTTGGCTTGCTTCTGGAGTGGCAGTACTTGTAGCTGGGGTTGTACTGTCTCTCATTGCAAAGCTTAGTCCATTCGATGAGATAAAGGAGAGTGTTCTGAGAAGCTTCTGGTTGGCATTTTCCACGTTTCTTCATCAAGGTAGTTATTTACAGTGAGCAGGTAACATGCAGTTTTTTCTACACAAAAATGCTTATAGTGTGTATTTGTAACGGATGTCTTTTCTTCAGGTGAAGAAAACACGCCAAAGTCTGCCTCCGGTAGAATTGTTCTTGGAATCTGGTGGATATTTACAATTATAGTGATGTCTCTATACACAGCTAACCTGGCCGCTTTCCTCACAGTATCCCTGGCCAAGGCACCAGTAAAAAACTTAGAACAACTCTCATCACAAACAGTGTACAAGCCGTTAGTCAAAGACGGGACAAATCTTTATGCATTATTTCAGGTACTTTATGACTAGTACATGTAATTCAATACTACAAATCCACTTTATTTAGGGCTGGGACAATATATATTGAGACATCGATAATATCGATTCTGTGTGAGGACGAAACGCATATCGATACGTATGAAGAAATATCGAAATATCGCCAAAAAAATCTTACTTATGTTTTTCTTTGTTTACTTAACATTTTGGGTTTAATATATGGAATAAATATGCTAACTATAAATATAAATATGAAATACATAATAAATAACACCACTTGTGTAAATTAATTTTGTTTTACAACAGATATACAACTTGAATAAATTATTCTTATTTGTGAAGATTTTTTTTTTCATTTCAATACAAAAAAATTTTTTATAACCAATTAAACATATCATGATACATATCGTATCGTGGCTCAAATATACGTATACGTATCGATATAGAAAAAGTTGTATGGTCCCAGCCCTAACTATATTCTGATTTTTTTTCCCTAATTCATAATGAACACAAAGCTATGTTTTTTTTTTCAATTCATTTATTTTCGATATTTAGAAATAATGATATTCTCTAGGTTTTTGTAAGTATCTGCATTCTTTCTTTTCGTCATTTGTTTATTATTTCAATGTTAATGTTTAACAATTATTTTAAATGTAAATGTACATGTACTTTAACTGTTAATCTGAATGTGAACATTGGCGTTGCATTGGGATGTCATATTATACAATTATTGCTGATTTTTTTTAGGGAAATGCGATGATTTAGACACCTGAGGAGTACAATGTTCACCGAGCCCGAAGGGCGACGTGAATATTGTACTTCGAAGGTGGCTAAATCATCATATTGACCGAAAAACAGCAATAATTGTTTTATTATATGATTCAATTATTAAATGACACACATCATTTAGCAATCCGTGCCATCTTACTTGTTCACATCTACTGAAGTACTAGCCGAACATAATGAGAGAAACAGGCTTAAAAAAAGCAGGTGCATTATATTGGAATTTTTAATTCTAGTTTAGGTGCAATGTAGAAAAAATAAATGCCAATCACATATATAGGATTGATATTGAAAAAGGGGGCATTAAAAGGAAAAAGAAATTGACAACTTACCTGAAAACAAATCTTTGACTCCCCCCCCCCCCCCCCCACACACACACACATAAAAAAGGAAAAGAATTCTCCCAAATCAAAATTTTATTTGGTGGGCTGTAAAGGTCCATAAACTTTTTGAGGGAAGGGGGGCTTTCATTGAAATTTTTTAGCCTTAAAATTTAATTTAAAACTTAACATTCTCAAAAGGTGGAGAGAGAGGCAGGCCTTCTGCAACCCTCACCCCCACCCCGATTCTCACCCAAGAATCTTTGTGCCTTAATGTCATGTTCATATGAGTGGATGTCAGGTGCAAGTGAAATAACTTTCCAAAACTATTTTCATCAATTTGGAATTTCCCTATCTATTTTTGGTCCAATGTAGAATAAATAATTCCTTATATTGACCTTTGAGATCATGTGCAGGTCAATATAACGTAGTATTTTTTCAATCATACAATAAATAACATTACATGCAGTTGGTAACATTTGTTGTTATTGAATTCATTGCTTTGTATTTTATGGTTAAGAATGCTGAAGGAGGACTGTACAAGAAAATATGGGATATGATGGCTGATATGCCGAAAATAACAGAATCAGAAGAGGGGTACAAGATGATACTCAAAGGAAAATATGCTTATCTAACAGACGAGTCCGAAGTCAAGTATAAAGCCATGTTAGATTGTAAACATCTAGAAGTGGCCAAAGAGACATTCCATAAAGCAGAGTTATCGTTCGTTATCAGGAAGGATGCAGAATTCAAGGAAGCTTTTAATAATCAGTATGTTTTTGACAGTATACCACAAACTTTTTTTTGTCAAGTTAGCGAAGGTTGGAGAGCATATTTATGTTTTGTTTTGGGTTCTTTTGTTTTTGGTTTGTCTACTGCTTTTTTGTTTTTTGTTTTTTTGTTTATTTGTTTATCTTGTTCTTGTTTGTTAGCAACATTAACTTTCTTCATGACTTTTATTAAAGAAGTGAGCATGAGTCTTCAGACTCGGCATAAAAATATGTTATGATGAGAAAATGTGTCATGACCCAGACAAAGGATTTTTGGGAAAAGTAAGTTCAGGGTTACAAAAATTGGTAGCGTCAAATTCTTCCTGTTCGTTACATTTTAATGGAGAAACATGGAAGGTTTATATTTGATAATTAAGTAAGGCTCATATTTGATGCGTTTTACTAATAGTAACAGTTAATGTATCTTGACCAAGACTTAAGGTCATTTGGTTAGTCAAAGTCTCCATTTTAAGCTCTACTGGTCAGAGACCACAAGAACTTACTTGAAAGTAAGGTGACTATCCTCCGTCCGTCTGTCTGTTAACAATTTTACAAAATACTACTCTTTCTACAATTTTGGTCTGATTTCAATATAACTTGACATACAAGTAGACTATACTAAAAACATAATTCTGTGCATCGTTTTTTTATTTTGATAAACGGTGTTGCCATGGCTACTAAAAGTAGAGGTTTCTATGAAATACAGTACTTTCAAAATGCTACTCCTCCTATTGTTTAAGTCTGTATTCAATATAAATTCGCACACAAGAAAATTACACCAAGATACATAATTTGTAGCATCGGATTTTGATTTTGATGAGCGTTGTTGCCAGGGTTACTAAAAATAGAAACTTTTGTGAAATACCTTCAAAATGCTACTCTTCCTACAGTTTTGGTCTGATTTCAATATTACTTAGCACACTGTCACAAGGAAATTTCAAACTCAAATAAATAATTCTTTGTATCGGTTTTTGATTTCGAATAATATGTTATGGTTACTAAAAATAGAAATTTCTGTGAAATACCTTCAAAATTCTACTCCTCTTACAGTTTTGGTCTAATTTCAATATAACTTGGCACACGAGTAGACTACACTGTGATACATAAGTCTTTGCATCGGTTTTTGATTTTGATGAATGATCTTGCCATGGTTACTATAAATATAGAGATTTCTATGAAATTCTTTCAAAAGACTACTCCATAAAAAGTTTCAGTCTGATTGCAATAAATCTTGCCACAAAAAAGACTAAACCTAGGACCATTCGATATTTTTGGTTTTGATATTTGTCCTTCCTGATTTACTTTATTTTGACAAATAAAATATACAGCATGACTATCTTAAGCAATTGGGTAGCTGACGCACTTAGTAGAAGAGATTACCCTGGTGAGGTAAGTACCTCTGAAATTAGTTCTGTAGAGATACAACCCGGTTAAAACATTCAACCTCCAGACAGTAGGCCTGCACTGCCCTTGCAGCAAGTGTATGAGTCGGTAAGTACCCAGACAAAAGATAGTCATGTTGTATATTTTATTTGTCAAAATAAAGTATATCAGGAAGGACATATTAAAGAATCCTAAATTAAACTTTTTAGCTCTTATTGTCAAAAATCCAAATTGCTTATACAAGCATGCAGTGTTTGTAATTGATGACCTCTGACACAGTATGAGAGTAAAACAAATGGAGAGGATTTAGAGAAAGATAGACACAGCACAATATCTCGACAGTAAAACTAAATCTTCAGAAAAAATGACAAATTTACACAATTCACACACATGTAATTCTAAATTTTAAAAATCTTCTTCACAATTTTTTATCAAAATTTGAAGAATAGAATCATTTATATAGTAAATGGTTAATAAAAATCCTTTCTTTCCTTGCAGCATGCTTAAAATGGTTGAAGGTGGAATAGTGGATAAATACAGGTCCAAGTGGTGGCCAAAGTATAAATGTGATATCTCCTCTCCTGCCACAGAACTGACGTTTGAAAGTACAAGCGGAATATTTATAGTGTATAGTGGATTTATTTTGATTTCAGTCACATGCTGTCTCATAGAACTTCTGCTGATTCAAGGCAGAAAACACACGCGGAACAAAGTGCAGTCACCGCAAGATGTCAAGGAAATAGCACTTGTTATGGTTGATTGTTAATAAAACTTCATGAGATTTGGAAAATTGTTCTTGTGTTGGATAAGCTTTCTGTTTGACTTGCATCGAAAATATTTGTTCAGCATGCATTGTAACTCCGAGTTTTATCAAACTTTGAATGATATTGTGCAGCTACATTTGTATATCACATTATAAATCATGAATAATTGTTTGAAATGTATCGATCATGGAGATAAATATGTTTCATTTAAGTCTAGCCTGGTTCCGGCCTACCCATAATGCTACGCACGTAGCATTATGGGTAGGCCGGAATCAGGCTAATTTAAGTCTTGTATTATTTATGGAACTCTATATGATCTATTTTGATTATTCGCTAGCTTTTATAGAAAAAGCCAGAAAAAACGTCACTTCGACAACTAGGGAAAAAAATATTTTAAACATGTTTACCATGGGAGGGTAGTCCTTTGTTTAACCATCCGCCGCTTTTGGTTGTCCCCGCATTGTCCCCATATTGTGTCATCGCGCCATCGACTCTTTAGTCGATGCTCAATAAGAGCAAATAAATAAATATTAAATAAATAAATAAATTCTAAACGTTTTATTTAAACAAAAATCATACTCGTATCTTCGAGAAACACGGACACCTCGGGAAAAAGATTGTTATTTATTTATTATATATTTTTGTTTTGTTCTGTAGCCAATGTACGCATCAATCTTATCAACTGTTCTCTAAGGAGATCATAAATATTTTATTATCTCAAATCGTTTTATTGATTGAAAGTAGTATAAAATGGCATGGCTGAGGCACGGATGAACACTGAACCAATTACATTAAGACTGAAATGTAATATGACATTTAATTATCATGAAATGTAAAGATGCACATATACATATTTATATATTCTTTTTCAATGTACATGACAATATGTATTTTATGATCGATTAGTATTTCATTACTTTTTAATAATGTTTGACATTCTATTCATTTGAATTTTTTTCTTTTCCCTTTAGCAATTTCTAAATGTTTTCAATTTACCTCGAAAATAGAGAAATCTATATCCTCTAAATATTTTTTAAAGGCAGTTTAGATAAATTATTCATTGCAAATTTCATGAAATCGTCAAAAGGTGTAGCTATTTGCAGCATCTTCGCAGTTTAAAAAAAGAACAAAACGTTGTTACATAAAAAAATACGAGGGCTGTTCGAAAATTATTGAGACAATTACTTTTACTCCACAAAGGACAGAGATAAATTCATGAAAGCTCGTCAACATTTCATAAAAAAAAAAGAACAAATAAAACAATTGTGCAAAATTTCTAATTTATAGGATAATTAAATAGGTTCCGGTGAAATTATAAACAAGCTGTGTCTATTGACCTGGAGCAGCATCGCTACGTCATTTTATCGCCTGGTTAGCCGATATTTTCTCATTGTGAAATGATCGGGAATCGTTCAATCTACTTTCTCTGTCATTACATATAACATTCCAAAATTCAAACTGTCTCTTACAATTCTTAAACAATTCTTCACAAAAAAAAATTAAAATAAAACGTGTGCTGTTGTTACCCCAGTGTAAAATATACACGAAGTGTCATATACAGGTTGACTTGGTATCATGCAGTATCGAGTTGTGCAACGCGGGTCAACGTTATTTAGTCCGTAATAATTGATGGTCGTCCGGAGCATTTGTTTCTACTCTGGTTGAATTATCTGTGAGAAAAAATATACCAATGAAAAAATAAACCCTTAGACATTTTTTATTGCATTGTTTTTGTTTTAGCAGGTCGTTTAGTCTGGACAAGAGTTCTCAATACCGCTACACAAAATTTTAGGTATGCTCGCTGCTCCGCCTTGACGTCAAAATCCGTTTTGTCGTCGTTATCAGTATCAGATTGCTATACCGCGCTTAAATTTTTTAATGATCTCCGTTTTTCTGATCGAAATTCTAGCAAACTTGCACAAGATGAAGTCAAAATTAAATCGAAAAATTATATACATAATTTGAATTATTTTCGCTCTCACTATGGATCCACTGGGAGTTTTAACGTTGGTGTTACAAATTTTCAATATCTGATTTCGTGACTGCGCCGGGTACCCCTGCCATTGACACATTTATATACCATTGAAAAGAAGAAATAAAATATTTTAAAAATATTTCTTGCTTTTATTAATTCGTAGTGTTTGTCAAACGTATATGCAAATTTTCATCGAAAAACGTTCTTTAGAAAGAAGAATATACGCAATGTCTCAATAATTTCCGAACAGCCCTCGTAGTCTATTGTTTCTTTAATTATGACTTATAGAGGTTTTGTTTTTTAAAAATTACAATTTTTGGCATTTTAACGATGATGATATAGGTAGAATTTGATGATATTGACGTATTTTATCTAATGGGCGTCCCTAGTGAGTAGCGGTATTCAATACCTTTGATTTGACATTGAATCATCTGAAGACATGGATAAAGCTCTGTGTTGTGTTTTTATGCTTTTTTCGTTATTTTATAAAAGCATGGGAATATACAAAGTAGGTAAGTTACTTTTAAAAAAGAAAAATATTTGTATTTCTACCTTTTTCTATTGTTTCCAAATACAATGTATGTTCATATTGCAGCACATCTCACTTTTATAATTTTAATTTTAAAATTTAATGCTAATTGCAAATCAGATTGTTAGACTAATAAACTTGATTGCATACATTGTATAATTATTTACATGAAAGTACAATTTCACCTACCGAAAAAGTCCACAATGGTTTTATTATATAGTCTGATATTGAATAAAGCGTTGATGGTGGATGCATAATGGTAATGCATAGCGACAATATTTTCATACGCGAACTTCTTTTTCATATAAATGCCCAGTTTACAAGTTTTAATAGTATTCTGGCTTTTCTTTCCTGGTTATATAATTTTCAATCAGTGTATTTAGAATATCACCCTCCAAGAAGCTTGCAAAAGGATTTTCCAACTCAATTGCATAGGTAACTCATGCAAACCTTCGCAGCTATTGTACGTTAGTACCACAGGCACTTGGGGTATGGACCCCCCCTTTTTCCATTTTTTTTCTTTTTAAATCTGGGTTCGAGTCACCTTTTTCCTATTTTTGTATTCTAATATGCACTATATGTTATCAATAATGTAACTCTTTTGTTTCTATAAGCTGTTTTTAAATATATCGTTTTCGACTGATACATAAAAAGAGAGAAGGCTTGCAACTCTTTTCTCGTCGTCTGCCTCACCTCGCTTAAACTTCGCCTCAGAATTTATCTAAAGCATAAGAACACATGGAATATGCATACGTCAATAAATTTGTTACACTTTCTTCTTCCTCTTCATATTTCCATTTGATTTTTATGTGCCCCCGATTTTTAAATATTTCGATTAAATCACCCGCATTTAGGGTAAAATTTGTTGATGTGCACCAGCTGGGACGGAAGTGCAATAACGGTAACTCTAACTTTACAAATGTTCTGCATTTAAAAAAAAAAAAATCCAGGCTTTTTAATAATTATATTGTGAAATTTTGTTGTCTAGGTCGTATGTTAAAAATGTTAATCTTCATCCATAAGAATCTGCTAGTTACAGTTATCTTGTTATACACAGAACTTACCGTTACATGTAATATGAAGAGAAAATTCGGGATTTTTCCCTCTCGCATTTTATGTTCCGAATGACATTACACTTAATGATGACGTCCGAAAATACCGGACACTTCCGTCCCAGCTGGTGCACATCAACAAATTTTACCCTAAATGAGGGTGATTTAATCGAAATATTTACAAATCGGGGGCACATAAAAATCAAATGGAAATATGAAAAGGAAGAGGAAAGTGTAACAAATTTATTGACGTATGCATATTCCATGTGTTCTTATGCTTTAGATAAATAATCAGGCGAAGTTTAAGCGAGGTGAGGCAGACGACGAGGAAAGAGTTGCAAGCCTTCTCTCTCTTTATGTATCAGTCGAAAACGATATATTTAAAAACAGCTTACAGAAACAAAAGAGTTACATTATTGATAACATAAAGTGCATATTAGAATACAAAAATAGGAAAAAGGTGACTCGAACCCAGATTTAAAAAGAAAAAAAAATGGAAAAAAGGGGGGGGGGTCCATACCCCAAGTGCCTGTGGTTAGTACATGTATATGTAGAGACAAAATTGTCTCATATTTTGTATGATTTTTTTATATAGCTCATTAATGTAAAACAATATTGATTATAATTTTAAATAGAATGAATGTATACGGAGTATTTTACAGGAAAGTGATTTAGATTATGTCTGGATGACGCAAAATGTGGAAAATGAAAAATGGTTGTTGGATGTAATTAAGCAAACACTGATTGATCAATTTCAACAAAAATGGACTTCAGATTGTGCTACATTTAGTAAAGGCAAAATTTATAATTTGTTCACTTAAAGTATTTTTTTATTAAGAAATATTTAAATGACAATGTGTCAATGAATACTATACTTACATTGATAAAATTTAGAACTAGTAATCAGTCATAAATTGCAATCGAGACAGGCCGATGGAGCAATATACTTTTAAATCAAAAACTTATCCCACTTGAACTTAGAAAAAAATCAGAAAATATGGTATTTGAAATTTTGGCTGCCTGCGAGGGCATTCGTGGCGTTGCGACGCAACTACTTTATTTCAAATCATGGTAGCCAAAATATACAGTGTGCATCGTAAAAGCGAATGGACAGACTGAATTTTAAATTTACCGATTGTCCCGAATGTTTGTTGGTTTCAGGCCAACGAACAGGCGTATAAAAATAATGCTGAATACGAATAGCATTATATTATGTCATGTCCAGCTTTAAACGATTGTGGAAGATTGTATGAAATATATGGAGATAACGAAAGTATTCAAGCTCAAAAGTTTATTAAACAATACAAATTTTGGAGCAGAGCAAACACAGAGGTGGGATCAGATGCCATAGAGGAGTGAGTATCCCCTGCCGACCGGTCACACCCGCCTTTTGCTCCAATCCGTCGACAATTCATTGTGTAAATAATGGCCTAAAAATTAGAATGAAAAACGTCAGTCAGCATTAGACTTAATGATGAATTGTATTTGCTGGCAAGGTCATTGTATCTACTATCAACATATATAAGACGACCAAGTGCTTTTAGGTTTTTAAATTTATTTTCATGAAAAAAAATTAAGGTATCCGTCATCAAAAACCTTAGTAAATTCATCAATATATTTAATAAGAGAATCACCCTTCCAGGTAATGTAAACTATACACTCTTGCATTATGTATTTTGCTTGATATTGTTTTTGTTTACTTATGAATGTGAGAATAGATTGAATTGCAATTCAGCAGGGGCATATTTGTGACATCACAATTATACTTCAAGCGCACTGATCCTCCGATGAATACTGCTCCAAATTTTGGGTATATCGAGATTTATAAACCACTCTCGCTTCGAAGTTTGATGAGAATTCAATTTTCTTAAATACATCGACTTTATTTTTAAACTCGCGTTACGTATTCAAGAATATGCCGATGTAAAATATCATTTCTACTTCAGAATACAGTCAGCGCAATCGTGTTTCGTCTTTTTTTTTAAGGGAATAACTACACATGATTTTGATTGATAAAAAATTATACAGTAAATGGTAATTTTTGTGTCATATCATAAAGTTTAAGGGTTTCTTCAACGAATATGACTAGTCACCTTTACAATGTACGTTCTCATTAACGATTTTTTCAGGTGTTCTTTATCAGGCTGGGTTAGAATGGATGGATTCTGAAATTGAGTTAAACAACACAGAGTATGATTCGTACATCATACAGGGAAAGGACATTTTTATATTTACTCAGAAAGGTGAAATACATAAATTAATTCACACTTTCACTGAAATTGTGATTACGAAACTTTCAATTATTGCTCAATTAACATTAGTATTTTTCCCTTCATGCTTTTTTTTTATTAGTTGGCGAGTTGTCAGCACAGTGTTTTCTTGGACTCATAGCTTTCACTTCCCTTGAGACTGGATTGGCTTTGCGATGGCAAGCAAGCTCTTTGAACATACCTCTGAGCATAATCACAAAGGAGCAATTATTTCTATCTTCCTTAATTGTACCATTTGACTGCCGGCTTCGAAATGAAGCAATTGTTGCTATAGTGATGAAACAAGAATGGAAAAATTTCCTTTTATTACATGAAGATGTTTATGGTAACTTTATTGTTTCATTACGATTTATAATGCAAATCAAATCTCTGTCAATTGTCTCTATCAAATTACTTACCTTCAGTGATACATGTACATGTATTTCATTTCGAAAGCGAAAGCTAGTAATAATACTCATTATTCTCATGATTCTAGTATAAAAAAAATCAATATGAAATAAAAATATGCCATGCACATTTTTAATTGTATCAGTTCCTTTTTATTAATTTCAGATGACGACTGCGTACAAGATCTTTTACGAAGGCTTAGTTTGTTAAATATTTCTTCCGAATATATCTGCATAGCAAAAGAAGACAGCAGTAGAGTTCTTCTGACAATGATTAAAAACCAGGACATTTTTGAAAATGTTTGTCTTGTTACTCACTCGGAACAAACAGTGGATCTGATAGTCGAAGTACGACGATTGGTTAATTTTTTATGTCACATGACTGTCAATGCTTAAGGTTTATTGATCTTCTGATAAGACAGACAACTCCTACTGTAGTAAAAAAAAAGAACTATATTTTCTTTGTAAAATTGTCAAATTGAAAGGCCACTTCAATCAAATTTGGCCTTGCGATGTATGCTGAATTTGTATGCTTTTAAATAACAAATTAGACTTCTGAAAAATCATTAGCGTCAAAACAAAATTTTATATTAATTAACTTAAAGTAAACCTGTCGAAAGGAAGTTTTATATATTCAGAATATGTCTGTCTGACTGATCAATTGTAATCTGATAGTAACAGATCACCCTTAGAACCCTTATTCGATGCAGTTTTAATCTATTAACCACACACAGTCAATAAAATTATTTTAGTTAATTAATAAATGATGTATCCCAAAGATGTGTTTCCTCCTGAGAGTTATCTGTTAATACGGGGTACTAGTAACTCATTAAATATATAAAAATCAATTCTTATGATTAGTTGTAGATTCGACATTTACAATGCATGTATTGTGGATTAATAATGAATATATCCAACTTCAAATTTCTGTTTATCAAACATTTATCGAAATATTATGGGATGTAAATTTGAATATATCGAAGAGCAAAACTTCGATGAGACAATTGATTGCTAAATAAGATTATGAAAACTATAAACCTTCAAATAAAGGGTAAATATTTCCAAACCCAGTACTAGTTTTTCTTTCACCGATGCAATTTGATTAACATGAATTCATTTACTTGCACTATTGTTCGATATCGTTCTTTAAAATAATTACGTTTTGACTTAGGTTTTAAACACTAATATGTTCATTTCTTTCAGGCAATTTCTTTAGATATGTTTAACACGAGATATCAATGGATCCTGAACTTGGACCCAGGATTTTTGCAAAACAATACGATATTCAGATCGTTGCATCAAGGATTTGTTTTAACGCTTAACGTGGGTCTTCAGCATGAAAAATATAGAGTAAGAACCTTTCGTACACATACCAAGTCATTCATCACTTTCTATCAATAAAGGAGAAAAATGTTTAAACTATTTAACAATCAAAATGATATTTTCTATTCGATTTTTATGCTCTTCCGCTAAAAGTGAAGGCAACAAAATTACTGGTGCCTGTCCGTCCATCTATCCAACTTTGGTACAATGATCAGGGTTTGGGTTGAGTTGGTCAAATTTGTAATTTTTACAACGGTTTTGTATGATAAAAACATCGAATTTATTTGTATTATGGGGTCAAAGGGAAAGTGAACATTTTATTGATATCCAATTACTTTAGAATTGTTAGACTAGTATATCAAATTCTAGACCAAATTTCGCTTTACTCATGTCTCTGATTTTCATATTTGAAAGTAATGATAAAAAAGAATATTCAATTAACCAGGCTTGTACAACGCGGGGGGGGGGGGGGGGGGAGGGGTGCTGACCACCCTCATCTTTTTTAATATTATAGTACTATTTTGCTATAGTAAATTCTTATTTAGATGTTGACCCCCCCCCCCCCTCAACACTTTTTGTTGCTGTAATGTCAAGCAATGGCAACTTCTAGGATTTGGGCATTTAAAGTGCGGATTTTAGCTCTACTGATCAGAGACCAGGCCCCAGGATCATGAAACATCTTAAGTTTAAGTCAAAATCTTTTTGCTGCACTAAAATGTTAAGGATATCATGCAGCCAAAAATTGTCAATGTTGCTTCACAAAAGTGTTATTTTCTGCAAAAGTAGTTATTAATTCAAAAATTAATAAACATTTAATAGGTGATTGAAAATTTGACTTAAGTATAAGCCTGTTTCATGATCCTGGGGCCAGAAGAGCTTATGCGATAGTAAGGTGTCCGTCGTCCGTCCGTCAGTCTGTCTGTCCGTCTGTAAACTTTTTCAAAACGCTACTCCTCATACAGTTTTGGTCTGATTTCAATATAGCTTGGCACTTAAGTAGACTATACTAATATACATAATTTTTTGTATCGGTTTTTGATTTCAATGAACGGTGTTACCATGGTTACTAAAAACAGAAATTTCTGTGAAAAACGTTCAAAACGCTAGTCCTCCTACAGTTTTGGTCCGATTTCAGTATAACTTGGCATACAAGTGGACTACACTAAGATACATAATTCTGTGTATTGGTTTTTATTTCAATGAAAGATGTTGCCATGGTTACTAAATATAGAAATTTTCTTGAAATACTTTCAAAACGCTACTCCTCCCACACTTTTTTGTCGGATTTCAGTAGAGTAGAGTAGACTGCACTGAGATACATATTTGTCGTTATTGTTTTTTTGATTTTGTTGAATGATGTTGCCATTGTTACTTAAATCGAAACTTCTGTAAAAATTGTTTTAAAAGGCTACTCCTCCTACAGTTTTAGTCTGATTGCAATAAATCTTGCCACAAAAAGAGACTAAACCAAAGATCATTATTCTTTTTATTGCTGTTGCAAAGTTTCAAGTCCAAGTGCCAATTTTATCTTCCCTTATAAGTACAACCAGTAGAGCTACAGTTTCGTCAGAGACCTCTGGTTTGGCTGGTCACATTTTATGGAAGGTTCAACACCCCCCCCCCCCTTTCCACTTTTGAAACCGTTGCTACGGGCATGTTAACACATGATTGATGATTTAATAATGAGTTATTTTCAAACACTTAATAATTTGGATTCCACTTCACTTTTAGGCCTTGATTACTACGATATCCAAGGCGTACAGGGAAGAAATGGAAGATTCTCGAGCTGAAAATTTGACACAATCATGTTTTGTAAGTGAGCAATTAATAAAAAAAAAGTAACAGGTAAACAACTGAAATGGAAATGTTTATCACAACGGTTTGTATATTTTTTTTTCTAGGCAAGAGCCGTGACACCTTTTGAAGTATATAATCAATTGATATCGAATATTAAGATAACGATACATAGCTCAAGCAAGGAAATGTTGAAGTTCGAAGAAGTGGCTCAGTTTACTTTGGGCAATGGTCTAATAACTCGTAATGGTGAACTTTACGAAAACAGTTTCAGGGACTTTGGAAACAGAGTGCTAAAAGTAGCATCTGTCACGGTAATTAAATTAAGTATCCAAATTTCAACTCTGTCAAAATGCTTCGTACGGAGTTTGGTTTAATTTTTCATGTGTGATGGTTTGTTAAGAAGCAGTCTATGTTTTAGAATGCTCCATATGTGATGAAAGGCACAAATAACAATGGAAGTTCCTATTATTACGGCTTTTGTTACGACATACTGAGCGACTTTGCAGAGACATTCAATTTCCGGTATTAGCCTCAAGTTACATCATTTCAGAGAATTCTATATTGCTATATTAATGAACTTTCCAGAAATAAACTTACTAATCGATAAAATGTTTTCATATCTCTTTAATTATCGGCATAGTCTTGATAAATCTAAGAACTTATTTGTAGATACCAGTCTGTCGATGCCATTGACGGTTTATTCGGAAATCCCACGGAAGATGGCCTAAACGCTACTGGCATGGTGGGGATGGTTATGAGAGGGGTATGGCGTAAAAACATTCTATATCTAGTTAATCACTAATTAGATTTCAATTAAGCTTTATTCAGATTATGAGCCATTGCAAGGAAAAGCATGAAAAGTAGATTTTGTTCACAGGAAGTAGATATTGGAGTAGCACCATTTGCCGTAACAGCTACCCGTGATAGGGTCATAGACTATGTGTTACCTTTTCAAGAAGATGGTGTTGGAATACTAATGAAGAGAGTAGAAAACAAAGCAGACAAATTTTTCAGGGTTTTTCTCCCTCTGGATTACACGTCTTGGTTGGGCATTATTTTGGCCACGGTGATGACTTCATGCATTCTGTATTACATTGCGAAGCTAAGTCCACAATCAAGCCCAGGTGATTTACCATTGAGTCGTAATGTGTGGCTTATTGTTGGAACAGTTTATGGACAAGGTAACATGTTAGGTTACTACAGACATACACCCTCGCACACACATACATGACAAAAAGAATGCAAGACTGCATGATCAAAACGGCTCATAATTTCTCATAGAGTATTTTCATTTCAACCAATTACGACAACGGGGTAGTAAAGCTTCCTCCATAGTAAAAATATCCTCAGGAAGATCTACTTTGTAGTAAATCTTACCCCAAGGGTGAAGGTTTACCATATACTATATGGATATTTCTTCCACATAGTGAACTTTCCCACCTAACCGTAAACGTAAATTGTGAATCTAGATTTCTCATGTAGTAAATCATCATGTAACGATCTTTACGAGAAATGGTAACTTGACGTGTTGACTGTTGGTGATTCAAGTCAGCATCACTTCCGGTGGATCACTTGAAACTTCCGGTACAACACATCAACTGTACTATAGTGACAATGAAATTTCCTAGCAACCTGGGAATTATTTGTATGTGTGAATTAATGCAAAAATACTTGGAATCAAATATTAAAACTTCTTATTGTAACGAAAATAGCGATAAAAGCAGAAAATGTAGTAGAAACTCCTCCTTTTATTCTGCATCCATCTTGTATCATATCAATGGCTCTCCAGTTCTTATCTGCGGGCATACGCTGTATTTTATTCGAAATGTGCTTGTGTTTTTTTGTTTTTTGGTAAAAGAATTATTTACAGGAAAAAAACCCCAAAAATCAATGAAGTTTTTTTTCCCTTCAATACACGAGCGCGGTTTTTCCTTTCACGATAAAATCGTCAATTTAAGGTTCAGTAGATTTTCCAGCGATTTCTATATTCTTGTTTAATAGCTGAGTATTACTGATAAAAACAGAGTACTGTTGTATATGAGAGAAGCTATTGGAAGAAATAGAATAGCGGGTTAATAGTTTTGATTGGTATATATTTTCAATATTCCGGGGGAAGGCCTGCTATGCGGAAGGTTTACTATATATACGAGACCGATATATCTTTTCAATCTTTTTTTTTTTTTTATAGATGATGGAACACGTCCGAGTTTTGAATCTGGACGGATCATTCTTGGATTTTGGTGGGTATTTACCATACTCATAACAGCATCGTACACTGCTAATTTGGCGGCATTTTTTACCATTTCTTTGGCGAAACCACCCGTAAAGAACCTTGAGGAGCTGGCTTCACAAACAATTTATAAACCACTTATAGTTCAGGAGACAAACCACCATGCCATGTTCAAGGTAATTTACTCTCTCTTTTCAGTTCAAAGTGTCATTTGTTAAATGCAACTGCCATATGCATGGACTTGTATAGAACTTTTTTTTGTGTGGTACGTAGGGCTGGGACGATATATCGAGATATCGATAATATCGATTCAATGTGAGGATGATACGCATATCGATACATATGAAGAAATATCGACATATCGCCCAAAAAATTCTGACTAATGTTTTTCTTTGTTTACTTAACATTTTGGGTTTAATATGTAAAATAATTATGCTTAATATAAATATAAATATGAAATACATAATAATTAAGACCACTTGTGCAAAATAATTAAGTTTTACAACAGATATACAACTTCTTTGAATAAATTATTCTTATATGTGAAGAAATGTTTTGTTCACTTCAATATAAAAAAAGGATTTATAACCAATTTAACATATCGTGATACATATCGTATCGTGGCTCAAATATCGGGATACGTATCGATATAGAAAAAGTTGTATCGTCCCAGCCCTAGTGGTACGTGTGGTTACTTTGTGAACTATGGTTGCTTCAAAGGAAGAAGGTGGCTGTAGGAAGACGTCAGTGGAGTTATTTTGATACTTATTTTGATAAATATCACGATAAGAGCTATGCATTTATCGTTCAGTTTATTTTTATCATCTCTCGAAAATACAAATGATCTGAGGTTTCGTTTTTTGTCTTAAATGTTCAAAAATGTGCAAAAAGTAACAGTATAATACCGCGGTTATGATTTTTAATAAAACGTTAATTCTACGTTATTGTTTAGATTTTTCATATGGAATACATTGTAAATGTGTAATAGAAGATTAATTTATGGAAAAAGACGAATAAAAATATCCTTGGACCCAGGATGTATATTCGGGGGGGGGGGGGGGTCCTGTCCACAAGCACCTGTGTTATTTCTAAAATTATGATAAAAACTTAGTACCTTCATTGTCTCTTTCAACTGACGCTCGGTTCACAGGCACCTGACGTTACTTATTTTTCTTTTAATAAAAAAATATATGTAAAGGGTATGTTTTTTTTAATTAAAAGAAAAATAAGTAACGTCAGATGCCTGTGGCTCGGTTGTCTCCATAAATCTCTTTCGAGTTGCTCTTCGAAGATTTACGGAGACAGTCGAACGTCTGGTAGAACGACTACTACCTTTCCGGATTTAGGAAATAAATTAGGAAATGATTTTCCGAGTTGCCGGAAAGGCCCCAGAAAATGCAGTTGCTATAAAACAGTAGGTCACACTGGAATATTTCAAACCAAGTGCTCATTGGTTCTACCAATCTCTTAAAATAATTGTATTTTTCACCTGAAAATTTAAATAACATTGAACTTAAGAACAGTTGCCACTGTTAACGTGAAGTCCACTAAAGTATCACCATTCTGAATTGCGACCCCCCCCCCCCCTCGGTACACACTGTCTTCCAATTATTAATCGATTCAGCTAAATAAACCAATGGTTCAGATATCTACTTCTGTGTTTTATAATGGCTACAGCGTAAGCTCACCTATCTTTTTAAAAGATAGCACATTATGTAATTGTCCGAAGGTCTTGAAGTTGCAGAAATATCCTCTGTTTACTTCATATTTAAACAATAAATTGATAAAATGCTTTCTTTGGTTGTTAATATGGTAATTAATGTTGCAGCTGTTGCATAAGCGGGTTTTGTAATTTTTTCTGCAATCTGTGTTAAAGATATCAATAATACAATATTTAACGTATGTACGGCATTGTACGTTTCATTGATGGAAGAGTTTTGGTTTTCAGAAGAAATAAATGAGATAATATTCAGTGGATGTAAATATAATTTAATGCAGTGCCCAAATTGATTACATTAATAGTGATGTACAGTAACGTTAACATTCATTTTACCACCCGCCTAGATCTGTTTCCCTTTGCTCCTAAAGAGGATCATCTGATGACTTTATTATTCCATTCCAGGAAGCTACAGAAGGTTTGTACAAGAGTATATGGAACATGATGTCAGACATGCCAAAAATTAAAACAGTGGAAGAAGGATACGAGCTGGTGAAAACCGGACAATACGCTCTGCTTTGGGATCACTCCCAGTTCCAGTACTTTATTCATAACGACTGCGGTTCGCTAGAGATAGCCCAGGAATCCTTCAACAAAATTAGTTTATCTTTTATCATTCCAGAAAACGCACCCTTTAAAAAGGTTTTTGATGATCAGTAAGTATAAAGCCATAAATCACAAGTTTAGGAAAGCTTTTGTCTATTGAGTTTTGTTAAAATCATCTCTCCTCTATACATGTAACATGGGAACGTTTTGCTTTCCATGGAATCCGTGGACACATAGTTATGCAAATCATTTCATAAAAAGTACTTAATATGCAAATCATAATATCATTATATATATCATTTAATATCAGTATATCAAAACTATTAATATAAATGGACTTAAATATTACAAAAGGACATTTCAATGTGAATACATGTATATTATTTTTCTATGTGCGTAACTTTGTAAAGTCTTTCCAACTGTTTGACCAAATTGTCTGCTTGACTGGACTTTTGAACTATAGATGTTTCTTACACAATATTCCTGCAGATCACACGCCAAATACAGGTACCTTCTTTATTCTTTTTCAGTATGTTAAGGATGCTAGAAGGAGGAATTATTGCAAAATTTAGAGCCAAATGGTGGAGGAAGGACAAATGCATCAGTATCACCAAAAAGGCTACCACACTAAAGATGGACAGTTTGTCCGGAATATTCGTTCTCTACGCAGCCATTTTAGGTTTGGTTGCCATTACTTTTACGTGTGAAGTAATACGAGTTTACAGGAAGTGGAAACAAGGAACAAAGGTCGATAATGATATGGAATTGAGTAAAAATGCTGTTTTGTCCAGTAACAAACACGATAATGCTTCAATGAATATTACGGAATCGGATATGTTAGCAACAAAAAATAAATGAGAGACTGTATTTCTTTTTCTTGAAGGATTGGATTTGTTTTGTGAAAATAAATGAGAAATCTTTTCATTTTTTTTCACATTACAATGAATTCTCTCATTCGGTATTTCATTAATCATGATATCATGTTGATCGTGGTCAGTTCTAGCACCACATTATGATGACCATTGTCTGAAAATTATCTGATATAATATTTTGTTAATCATGATGTTGTTCAGTTGTAGAGCTTTCAGTTTGGAGACGGCAGCTCGTTTGGACATTTTAATGTCAATGACAACATAGCGCTTACGGCTGTAGCAGTGGAGTTCTTTATCGTGTCAATGCGTACCGTGACACAGACATTCGTTTTTTAATCATATCCAGAAAACCTGTGACTTTCACTTCTATGGTGTCGGGTGCTTGATGAATGAACAGTCACTACCTATGTTAAATTCTTCGGTTTGATGTAACGAAGGAATAGGGATCGAACCCGGGCCTACCGGTTACGAAGTGAGCGCCCAACCACAAGGTTACCGTAATCTTTGATATGTGTTGATCATGGGGTGATATGGAACATGTATTGCGTTGATCATGGTCTGCTATGAATTGCATGTTTAATGATATTTTTATACAATTGATCTGCAAGTATAATATGTGTGTGTATACTGATTATTATCTGAGATACTATGTAAATGATTTGTCAATCATGGTTTGTTTTGATATCATGATAAGCATGAACCTTTGTTTTGACCAGTTGACAGAAGATGGGATTGCTGTGTTCTCAGCTATATAAATTAGACTTTGGGTATGGTTCGTTATCTTTACATTTCATGTTGTTGATTATGGTCTGACATGATATGTATGTTAATGATAGTATTATATGATATTTCAATAAACATGGTCTGATGATATACAGTAGTGTAGATAGCAAAAAGATTACTGTATTTAACAAAAGGCAAGGGTCTGAGACCACCTTGAGGTCCCCAGCGGATCCAGTGCATTCAGCCTGGGCCCTGGTGGGGGCCAAGAGGCAAAGCCCACGGGAGCTCCTGGAATATCATGGTTTTCTAATTTTTACTATCGTAACTCTACTATATATGAAGAAAAAAGGCTGCGTTTTGACAAAATCTGTAAAATTTGTTTCTTCAAAAGTATTTACGGTAGTATGAAGGCATTTCATTTTCAACAGTGAAATACTGCTAATCATACATATACCATCCGTTGAATAAAATTTATATTTTCACAGGTATTATTTTTTCCAATTAGAAATGCAAAGTTTTAGGTGGCAATACAAGTTCGCCTTTTTTAAAATCAATTTAAAAAAAAATCAAATAAAACCTCTCATATTTTAATGTTCAAAATGCTATTAAAGTTTGAATTTAATTAAAGTTGGCTTTTTGTTTAAATTTACTGATCCCTTTATTTCATTTCAATATTTTTCTTTTTAAATGCACCTTTGTATACCTTCATTGCAATATGTTTTGAATATTAATAGAGAGACAGCTAGTAGAGAATAAAAAAAAATAGATAAAGAAAAAAAAATTATAAAAAGAAAAATCAATGTGGATTTTATTTCATGAGATTTTTCTTTTAAATATTTATATTTTCAGGAGTGCGATACCAACTAAAAACATTGAATATCCATTTAAAATGCTATTGCATTTTCAATTATTGATTGATTTTAAAATAAAGTATTCTTGTAACGCAGTAAATTTGTATTTTAGAATAAACAGGGGAGTTGATGGTTTGTATAATTGCTTTTTTTAAAAAAGTTTTTCAATTATTGGTTGATTTTTTTTTTAAAGTATTCTTGCAACGCAGTAAATTTGTAGTTTAGAATTACATGTAACAGGGGAATTAATGGTATATATAATTGCTATTAAGTTTTTTTTTTTTTTATAAAAATTGTCCTTGAAATTAAAAAAAAAATTAAATAATACAAAAAAAAAATGTAACAAAAAGCTGATTTTTTTTGGTCAATATGATTGTATAAATAAAATAAATCTGGAAAGCCTTGGTCTTTTTTTCAAGTTTCAAATATTAGTACGAGTTGGCTGCACAAATGCACGAGCGTGCGAAAATTCACCAATATAAGTTCAATAACACCTTTATTATACAACTAAAACATTTTCCCATTGATTTATTTTAATTATTTAAATTAATTAACTCAAAATTAATAAGAATTTTTCCGTATCTGTATTAAATTAAAACCGTAAAATATCTGTCCGGAGGTGTTCAATATCACATGTCATTATTACAGTGTACCGGTATGTACAGTGACCCTCCCATGCGTTATGATTTGCTTATTTGGGTTTTTATTGAGGCTTATAGGTACTAAATTATTAACTAATAATTTCAATTTTACGTGAAAATAGATACATCTCATCTGCCTGCCACTACCCATTATAAATATTGTATTATTGTTTTATATAATCTATATGCGAGAAAGAAAGTACGCAAGCGTATTGCTACCTGTTGAAAAAAGGACTATATATCATACGAGTCAATTTTGGCCCCCGTTAATTTAAACATTTTATAAAAGTGATCCAGGTATGTTAGATTATTTTGTAGAAGGGTTTACATTTATACCATATTGTTCCTTATGTAGCTGTCAGTCCCCTAATTTATATAATTTTATTCACGAGAATTTTATATGGCGCAATATACCCGAAACCGCGTGTTCACGATTTTCAATCTGATCCAAATGCCCTTTTTTAGCTCACCTGAGCTGAAAGCTCAAGTGAGCTTTTCTGATAACATTTTGTCCGGCGTCCGTCATGCTGTCCGTCCGTCTGTAAACTTTTCACATTTTCGACTTCTTATCAAGAACCACTGGGTCAATTTCAACCAAATTTTCCACAAATTATCTCTGGGTAAAGGGGATTCAAGTTTTTTTTTCAAATGAAGGGCCAAGCCTTCTTCCAATGGGAGATAATTACAAATTAGTGAAAAATTAATGGCGACTTTTAAAATTCTTCTTCTCCAGAACCACTGGGCCAGGAAAGATGAAACTTATATGAAGACATCCTCAGGTAATGTAGATTCAAGTTTGTTCAAATTATAGATATATGTGGCGGGGCCACAATGAACTATCAAAGATTAACATGGGAATGCATGGGAAAAATCTTTAAAAATCTTTTCCAGAACAGAGCCATGATTGGTCATAATTATATATATGGAAGCAACCTCAGGTAGTGTACATTCAAATTTGTTCAAATCATGACCCCTGGGGGTAGGGTGGGGCCACAATGGGTTATCAAAGATTTACATAGGAAAAAATCTTTAAAAATCTTCATCTCAAGAACAGCAAAGCCATGATTGGTCATATTTATATGGAAGCAACCTCGGATAGCGTGCATTCAAGTTTGTTCAGATCATGACCCCGAGGGTCGGGCATGGCCCCAATGGAACAATCAAAGATTTATATATCAATACATAGGAAAAATCTTTAAAAATCTTCTTCTCAAGAACAACAGAGCCATGATTGGTAATATTTATACGGAAGCATCTTCAGGTAGTGTAAATTCAAGTTTGTTAAAATTATGACCCCAGGGGTAGGGTGGGGCCACAGTAGAAGATAAAACTTATAGGAAAAAAATGTTTTTTAAAACTTCTTAAGCCATGGTTTGTCAAAGAAATATGGCAGCATCCTTAATTAGTGTAGATTCAAGTTTGTTCAAATAATACCCCTCTCCCCTTAGGGATAGGTTGATACCACTCATAAAATACGGAACTCCTAGCCAAAGTGCTCAGGTGAGCGATGTGACCCATGGGCCTCTTGTTTAGAAATATAACATCCTTAATTTCAACATTTCTCGCTATTTTAGCATATTTTGTATAAAAATGCTTTTTACAGATGTATTAATTAAGCAATATTTCTTCGGAAAATATTAAGCGCAAATTAGAATAAACATTTTATATGTATCTATACAAGACTGATTTAGTATTTACAGAAAAAAAAAATTGCTTGTTCAAAGCTGCACTCAAATTTTTCCCTTATGAAAAAAAGGTCAAGGAAAATGCAAATTTTTGTCTCATTTTGATTGGATTGCAAAAATTGCATCATTTCTGATGTCATATAATACTATATACTGTAATTCCAAAGAATGAATAAAAATGAGACAAATGGATGGTAGATGTATCTAATCATTTCATCATGCACCCAGCATATTCCTTGATTTAATTATAACATAGAAGTGGATAAACATTAGCTGCTCACAATTTATACGAATCTTGCATTACTATTTTAATCAAGAGTAACCCACAAATTTATATTTTGGACGAAAGTTTATAGCAGAGTAGTTCAAGGTATTGGCGCTTGGTTTTAGAATGGTGTTTTGTGTATTATGTGTTTTTCTATGTCTGTCTTAATACAATCATTAAAATAAAAAATTAGAAATGGCTGAAATTAGCTTTTTTTAAAAAAAATATCATAAACAGAAATAGGATATCTTTTAAAAAAGCTAATAGCAGATTTTTGGTTTTAATGAGTGTTTTAACTTGTATTAGTCGCCAGTGTACAGTACACCATTTACTGTTTCAGTTTTATATGGATCGATTTGAAGATATGATGAACTGAGATGTCCAGGGATCCTCCAAAGAACTTGTTTTACCCAAAGTCAAACTGGTTCTCACTCCCTGTGTGAAGCACCAGTTTATGACTGCCTGCAAACATGTGTAAAACGGTATTGGTTGTACAGTTGAAATTTAGCTCAAATTTTATTAATTAATGCAGGTGCCAGAATCAAAATGTGCTTTTAAAACTTTTATACCATTTAAACTAAAAGTAAGTATTTTTTTTATTTTTTAACTGACACCATACAAATGAAAAACAGAGGACATTCGAAATGATTTGTTTTGACTCTGCTCTACAGCAGCAAAATACAGATACAGCCACTGACCATAAATGTTGTAAGGCGTTTCGCTGTTTAGTGTTACTATTGCACTGATAATTATTATTATATTTTCTAGGAAAACATTAACGTGGACAAGAAAGACTGAAAAATGTCTGAAGGGCAAGGAGAGGTAACTCCTCAGAAAGTTTATGAAAGTGTTGAAGATGAAAATTATAAGAGGATTAAAAGTCAAACGTAAGTTAAAGTCAATGATGTTTTTTTTTCCTTTGTTCACTTTAGCAGTTTAGCTGCAGATCTGTAGCTCTGGTCTGAAAAAAAAAATGGAATGGACAACCATAGAGCTACAGTGCCACCAATTGAAAAAAGTATATTTATTGTGACCAAACAAGTGTGCTGTTTCTCAATTTAGTAATGGGAATACAACAAACAAGCTGATTTCTGAAATATTCAGATCTTAATTCAGATGACAAAAGGGATAAACTTTGGATCTTTGTTTCCCATACCACATTCTAATAAACAGGTTGGGACCAATCGCTCAAGTAGGGTATAATAGCTCGTTTGGGATATAATATCCCAAACTGGATACAAATTTACAGTGCAAAAAAGATTATTTTTTTTTATTTTGGCTCTAAATATCATAAATCCACATTAAAGTACTTAAAAAGGAATAACTTTTGACAAGCAAGTTTTTCTGCAACCCTACAGTTTGTTAGATTGATCCCCAAGGAGTTTAGGAACTTCTGAGGGATCAATCTCCTAAACAGTGGGCATACAGAAAAACTTGTTAACCAAAAGTTATTCCTTTATAAGTTTCTTGATGTGGATTTATGATATCTATAGCCAAACTAATTTTTTTCATTTTTTGCACTGTAAATTTATATCCCATTTGGGATATTATATCCCAAATGGGCTATTATATCCCATTTGGGCGATTGGTCCCAACCTGATAAATGCTTATGAGCAGCCCATGAGAAGCACATGTATGATGCCAATGATTTCTGCATACTTTGCTGCACAAGGCAGTGATGGACAGCACAATAAATGGAAAGTGGAGAAAAAATTATCATTTTGTCTTTTGCAGCTGTAGCATAATTCAGAACAATTTTTACTGCAACATGTACAAATCCCAGTCAGTCTTTCCTCTGTCATTCTTGACAAATCATGGTATGCAAATATAAGTAATAAACAACATTTATTCAGTAAATAGCGTAATGAATAACAATAGTTCTGCTAGCATATTTTCCATGATGCGCTAGCCCATATCATGGATTATGCCAGCAGAGCAATTGCTATTCATAACACCATTGGCAAATTCTTTTGTAATTACACATCTATGTCATTATTGTTAAAAACAAAGTTATCTGTATTACTCTTAGATTTGTAGGGATTATCTCGCTTAAAACTTAGAGCTTTCCTTTTTAATATTTGGTCATTTGATAAGTTTTAATGACCTGTTTTAAGCTGCAATTCACATTTCTCTACAGATGCACCAACTGTCAAAGTTTCTTGACTAGGTCTCGCATTTACTTGAGCTGAAAAGAGGGTTTTGACATATTTGGATATATAATCTTAATAAAAGGTCACACTGACACATTGAGGGTGAGACACAGATTCTATCCAAATGACCAAGTTTGATGATTCTAAGCCATATTATTTTCCAGTTACGAGTTGGATAGGGTTTTGCCTCATTTGGCCCTGACCTAACAGGCCCGTAGGAAGCAATTTCAGTTTAGGGGGGCACAGCCAAACATTTTCAGTTGAGGGGGCACTATCAACTACCAAAATTCCTTGACAAGCAAAGAAAAAAAGAAAAAAAAGGTCATCAGCATTTTTTATTGAAGGGGCACAAGCCACAGTTTTCTATAGTATCTATAGTATTCCATACATTGCCCCCCCCCCCCCCCCCCCCCCCCGGTTCCTACGGCCATGCCTAACCTTAATTTGTGATAAATCCTCTACTCAAGTTTCATCAGCCGACAAAGTTTGATGATTCTAGGCCTTATAGTGTACGTGTATGTCTATAGACAGACAAACATTCCAATTCCAGTGCACCCCATCCACTTCACTTTGTTTGTGAGGACTTAAATTATTATTTCATGCAATTTCAATTATTATATCATGCTCTTTTTAGTGAGCTTTTCTGATTGAAATTTGTCCGTTGTCTGTTGTCGTCGTCATCGTAAACTTTTCACATTTTCATCTTCTTCTCAAGAACCACTGAGCTAATTTCAACCAAACTTGCCAAAAAGTATTCTTGGGTAAAGGGATTCAAGTTTGTTCAAATGAAGGGCCACACCATCTCCCAAGGGGAGATAATCAAGATTTTATGTAAAATTAATGGCATCATTTAAAAATCTTCTTCTCAAGAACCACTGTGCTTGAAAATATGAATCTTAAGTGGAATCATTGTCAGGTAGTGTAGATTCAAGTTTTTTCAAATCATGACCCCCGGGGGTAGGGTGGGGCCACAATGGGGGATCAAAATTTTACATAGTAATACATAGGAAAAATCTTTAAAAATCTTCTTCTCAGGAACAGCAAAGCCATGATTGGTCGTATTTATATGGTAGCATCCTCAGGTAGTGTAGATTCAAGTTTGTTCAAATCATGACCCTAGGGGTAGGGTGGGGCCGCAATGGGTGATCAAAGTTTTACATAGGAATAAATTATAAGGAAAATTCTTTTAAAATCTTCTTCTCGAGAACAGCAAAGCTGTTATTGGTCATATTTATATGTAAGCATCCTGAGGTAGTGTAGATTTTAGTTTGTTCTAATCATGATCCCTGGGGAGTAGGGTGGGGCCACAATGGTGATCAAAGTCTTACATAGTAATACATAGGAAAAATCTTTAAAAATCTTCTTCTCAAGAACAGCAAAGCCATGATTGGTCGTATTTATAATGAAGCATCCTCAGGAAGTGTAGATTCAAGTTTGTTCAAATCATGACCCCCGGGGGGTAGGATGGGGCCATAATGGGTGATCAAAGTTTTATATAGGAATACATAGGAAAAATCTTTAAAAATCTTCTTCTCATGAAACAGCAAAGCTGTGATTGGTCATATTTATACTTTTCAATACTGAACTGATTAATTTTCTGCTTTTTCCTAGCCAAAGTGCTCAGGTGAGCGATATGGCCCGTGGGCCTCTTGTTTTCGAGAAAGATCATTTAAATGGTAAGGATATGTTATTCTTAGTTGTTATCTGCAAAATTCACCACCAGGTAATATAAGATGATGAGATAATATGAAAGTGTGTAGTTTCTCAGCAGATATCTGTGAAATTTAAAACAATATCTCCTATTTTTTATTACAGGACAACACTCAGACAAGCTCCTAATATAGCAGGAATTAGCTCTGCCCTTGGTCTGGCTGCTACAACATTCACCTGGTACAGATTTTCTGCCAGTAGACTTCATAACTTAACTGTGGCATTGCTTCTTGCACCTAATATGGTCATCACTCATATTTTCACCAAATTTGCTTATAAACATGATGTGACTTTACCAATTACTGCAGGAGATTTAAGTGATGATCATGCGATTGCATTAAGTACAGGAGAACAGTTGGTATTTGGTGCAGCACTGCCTATTATTACTGCCTCATATCCTTTCCTGGTTGTTACTTGGGAACAAGGGAAAAAATCGGGTTTATCTCTTTCAAAACATGTTGGAAAGCAAATGAAGAAATTCTTGACAGAATTCAGCTTCAGAGGAAATAGACGTTATTATAGAGTTATAGGAATTAATGTGATTCTTCAGCTGGGTGTAGGGGCACTTCTGGGATACAATCAAGTTGTCGAAAGAAATTTAGTGAAGGATAAAATCTACAAGGAAAAAGAAATTTTACCAGAATATCAAGACTTATTTTTAAAGGAAACAGACTTCTCTGAAATTGGAAATTCGTTTGACTCTATTCGTTTTAGGCTTGAAGAAGCTTTTAGAAGATTTTTTCCCCCAACTGAATGAAATTGATTTTAACTTGAATTGTACACTTCTAGAGAATGGAATTTTTTTTTTCAAGAAATGTGCTGTTGTGAATGTTTTACATTAAAACAGGCTGCAAATCTCTAAACTTGTTTTGTTTTTAGCTCACCTGATCAAAGTGTGTCCAGCATCGATCTGTCTGTCGTTCATCTCATGTTGTATGTAAACTTGGGACATTTTCTTTTCCAGAACCGCTGGGCCAATTTCATTCAGTCTTTCGTCAAACCATCCATGGGTAAAGGGGAAACAAGTATGTACCGGGCCAGTTTCCTCTTCCAAGGATGAAAAACTGGTGGTGTCATAAAAATCATCAGCTCAAGAACAAGAGGGCCGCGATATTCATAGTAATTTGCAAGCATCTCTAGCCAGTGTTCAAATCCTGGTTCCTGGGGGTAGGATGGGCCCAAAGTAAGAGATCGAAGTTTTACATGGGAATTTATTGTAAAAAAAACTTATGAAGAACAGCTAGGCTTTAAACATGCATAATGAGTCATATGAATATGTAAGTTTCTTTACTCTATTCAAAGTTGTAGCTCACCAAGCTGAAGGCTCAAGTGAGCTTTCTAAATCAAAATTTGTCTATGTCTTTTTTACATTTTTGACTTCTTTAGAGCCACGTGGCCAATTTCAATCGAAGTTGACAAAAGAACCATTAAAAGGTGACTCAGTTATGCAGTGTTTTCAAAATTTTATATGTGAATGTATAGGGAAAAAGGCTACAAAAACATTCCACATGCTGATTCCCTACAATGCTTAATGGAAAAGGACATCACAACAAATGAGAAGTGTCAAAAAAATTATATGTATTTCATTCACAAATGTAGCATATTCAAAAGAAACAATTTACTAGTTCTACCAACTTTTTTATATACTATGAGAATGTATGGTAACTACCCAATGAAAGGCTACATTTTTTAAAAAAATTATCCAAGTTTAGAGAATCTCTAAAGAATTTGTTTTTCCACAACTGCTACTTTATACTTCAAACTGTACTTGTATGGAAACTTAACTGTCAGGTGTTTCTAATCATCTCTGATTATCATGGTATGCCAAGGGTAGTCATTGACGGATTTGAGGTGATACACAATAAACAAGCTAATTCAAGGAATTTATGTCCCAAGCTTATGGACAAATTAGCCAGAAACAATTTGTAACAATATACAAGATTTTTCTTTGATCTCTGACCCTTTCACCTTTGATCATCTTAGGATATATTTTGATTATAGACAGTATTGATGTGAGTCTGGAAACCATTTTGCATTAAATGTGAATTTGTGACCTTGACCTTTTAGCCTCAAATTTGTCTGCTTTGTTTTCCACTCTCTTCATTAGTATCCCAACACCATCTTCTTGAAAAGGTAACACGTAGTCTATGACCCCTATCACAGGTAGCTGTTACGGCAAATGGTGCTACTCCAATATCTACTTCCTGTGAACAAAATCTATTTTTCATGCTTATTTTCCTTGTAATGGCACACAATTTAAAAAAGCTAAATTGAAATCTAACCGGTGATAACTAGATATAGGATGTTTTTTATGCCATACCCCTCTCATAACCATCCTCACCATGCCAGTAGCATTTAAGTCATCTTCTGTGGGATTTCCAAATAATCCGTCAATGGCATTGACTGACTGGTCAAAGTCATAAGGAAAGTTAAGGTCAGAAAATTCTGTTAGTTTTATATTGCTCTTACCATTATGTTACTTTGTATAAAGTTTGATTAAAATACAGTTGAACTTCGGTATCTCAAACACTGATATCTCAAATACCATGGATATGTCAAAGTGATTTGCAAGTCCCAACCACTTATTTTTAAGTATTTTACCCTCGATATCTCAAAGTTTTTTCTCGATCCCATCAAGTTCAAAATAATGAGGTTAGACTGTATCTTGAAAAGATAATGGTCATAGGGAAGGTCAAGGTCAGAAAATTATGACACAATTTGGGCGCACTTGTTTCAAACATCCAGGTGATGACCCGGTTCACTTTTATCACATGACATATTGACCCGGTTATTGTGGCTGAAACGAGTGAAAATTCGGCCGGAAAATGGCTGATACCGTTATCGGTGCTGTTGCTGTAATAAATAATTTTCTCTGAATGCACGAGGACAATTTTTTTTATGGACATATTTGCATTTTAATATTTACTAGATCCATTCAATGCAAAATCCGTGGAGCACAGTGCCTCGTTTCAAACAAAACTGAAAAGTAGCTTTAAAAATTAAAAAAGAGGAAGCGTTGGTCGTGCAAATATAAATAGACATGTTGTAAAAGTTACTTATTATCTTGGTACTGTATGTTTATTGAAACAAACTACTGCAAATGATAAAAAAAAGGAATATTTCACCATCAAGAAAATTTCTACCTCCGTTTTCTGCCATATTGCTTTTCATCTGCCTGCTCGAATTTTTTCGGGCGATCCGGGCTACTTTCTGACCGCCTGGCGGCTTAAAAATATTTGAAACAAGTTACTTGCCCGCTTCTGGAAGTATCAACCAGCTTGACCCGGCTTATGAAACAAGTGTGCCCTTTGATAGCTCTCACAAATTGGTACATGTATTTATTTAGTGTATGAAGTTTGGTGAAAATTTTATGAACAGTTTCTTTAATGACGACGGACCTAATTCATTTCTGCAATAGATTTTTTATTCAAATTTTAATATGAGGTAAAGTGACTTTTGGTGAGTTAAAATCAATAAAAAAAAATCATATGGTCATCGATGTAGATTTTTAATGGGGAGCGTTTCAAAAGTTGGCGATGGAAATCGATAATTACTATAGAAAGTAATGGGGAATTGCCAGTGTAGGGTATAAGAGTGATCATTGAAAAAATTCTGCAATAGAATTTTTATTCATATTAAAGGACAATGTTAACAAGACAATTTACCAGCAAATTATGCCAAAAAATAAATGGGTCATCCACTTAGATTTTTCAGGGGGGCATGTCAAACTCAGGTGTAGGGCACATTTTGGGGGAAATTTTCAATGAAAATACCTTTGCCAAATAAATCATTTATTTATAAAATCAACAAATGAATATAAATCGAAATATTTACAATATTTTTGAGTTTGAATATCTTTAAAAGAATTAAGGAGGCTGGGGGGTCAACAAATTAACCATCAGATATAACTTAATTTTTTAGATATGATATCTTATTATAAGCTGTCAACTATCATTTGGCAAACAAAAATTTCATACATTTTAGTTTTAAAATTTGATCATTTTTGTATATCTTTATATGGAGCTCTTCTTCTAAAGGAGATCAATATAGTCTGAAAATGGCACAACCACCCAGCCCTCTTAAAAATGTATATTTTTTATGTTTTGCAATACATAATTAAGTCAAATTGGTTCAAGGCATATGTGCAGTTTTCTGCGCAGTGGTGCGAAATTTTGAATTAGGTCCCTCGTCCTTAAACTGTACTATAGGCACAATTAAAAGTGAGGTCAATTTTAAGGTCATAAGGATAAGGTCAGACAATTCTGACACACTTGAATAGCTCTTCTAATTTGTATCTTTATACAAAGATTGAGGAAAACATCTTATACAGTTTCTTTGAAACTAAGGTAAAAAGGGGGGGGGGGGGGTTGAAAGTCATTGGAAAAAAAAAATATGTTGAATAGCTCTATTTTTTTCTTTAAATGAAGTTTTGTAAAAATATCTTGAACAGTTTCTTCTATACTTTGCTAAAGGCACAACAATTAATAGTGAGGTCAAGGTCATAGAGAGGACAAGGTGAGAACATTTTGACACATTTGAAGATGAAGGTGGTTTGAAAGATAAATGCAAAATGAGGAATTGTGGGGTCAAGGTCATAGGGAAAGTCGATCAGAATATATGACACAGTTGAAAAGTTCTAACCAATATGTATCAGTGTACAGCTTTTGATGAAAATATTATGAATAGTTTATTCTAAACTGTGCTTATTGCAAAATTATTAATAGTGAGATCAATTTCATGAGGCAAGTCAAGGTCAAATAACACATTTGAAAAGTTTTTACCAAATGTATCAGCATATGAGTTTTGATAAAAAATATTATAAATCATTTCTTTGAAACTTATAAAATCATCACAAAATGCGGAATAGTGAGTTCTAGGTCATATGGAATATCAAGGTCAAAAATTACGACAAAGTTAAATATGTATGTATAAGTGAATGAATTTTGGCTAATATTTCTTGAACTGTTTCTTTTTTTTAATCCGAGCTAAACACAGACACATGGAAGGAAGGATGGAAGAGGGACAAACACCAGTCATATTCATGGTAGGGCATAAAAACAAGTTCAAGGTTCAAAAAATCATCTCCTGAATATTGTCATGTAATCATATTTTCTTATGGCTTCAGTCAGTGATTGCCAGTGGTATAACTGGGATAAGAAGAGACTTAATTTCGTTTTGGTAAAAAAATATCTCCTTGATTTCAACATAGTTTAACATACATGTACTTTTTATTACATATTACATATTGCTTCAATATTCCATTGATATACATATATCCCTATCACATACATGTACCATATAGCAGTTGTTTTTTTTTCTTTTTGGTAGCAGAGTGCTAACTTTGGCATATTTTAGCCTTTTGGTAGTAGCCTACCAAAATTTGAATTTCTAAGTTTATACTCTAGTGTATAAATACTAAATGCAAGGAAGTTAACTTTGATCAGTATGCTAAAAATTATATCTTTCATCTGGTATTGGATTTACTTAAACCCTTCCATACATACTGAAAATTCATCTGGAAGATAAACTTCCCCTCTTTGCAATGTTGTGGAACTGTAGTGTCCGCCAGAATTATTTAGCATACCTTTGAGCAAGCAAAACGCCAAATTTTACACCCATTAAATAAACCCACCATATGGTATTTATCTCATACATGTATTAACATGGCATTTGTGTATTTTGCATGATTTACCTAGTCTTTTGAACTCTATATACACATTTCTTTAACTTCTTTTGGCAGTATATTTATAAAAATTTACATTTGCAAATGTTTTCACTTAAGAAACATTATTTGAGCAATGCATATGCCTTGGGTGAATTAAAAAAAATGACCAAATGCATTTTTATCAACCCACACTAAAAATACAGGCAATGAAAACAGATTTCTATGCCTCAGCATATGTCTTTAGATAGTGTCTAAATACCTGCCAAATATCTCGTTGATATCTCAATTAACAAAAAAGTTATGCCCAAAAATGACACTAAAATTGTCAGGAGTGCAAAACCTTTTTGTGACATTTTGAAATTTCAATATTTTTTGGAGATCTGTGAAATAAAAAATAATGCTTCATGTTGAAAATAAAGACTTTCCTGATAATATTCAAAGTATTGAGCTTTAAATGTGGACTAGCTGTCATAACTTTTGTTTAATTAAGTTGTGATCATGACTGATGTTTAAAAAAATGTTATACCATGTCAGGAGTGCAACAGAAAAAATGTATTGTTGCCAAAAAAAAATTTTAAAACTTAAAAATGTTATATAAATCACAAGCAGCATTAATGAGAGTCAAGTATATGTGCATACCAAAAAATGTCAGGAGTGCAACATTTGATGTTTTGCTCCCAGGCATGAAAAAACTGTTATCATTATATGATTTTCTGATTTTTATTTTGGAAAATAAAGACACAAAGAACATTTTTACCAAATAGATTTATCAATTACAGGATCTGTCTGTGCTTCAGAACCATATTTCTATGGTCAGGAGTGCAACACATTTTTTAAAGATTCAAGTTGTGTGACGAAAAGACTTCTATTCATGCTTAGAAGTATTCATTAATTAATAATAATCTTTTTGTATAATTTAATGCTAAATTATTGACAGTTTTATTATTAAAATCCTTCCTTTTTCAATTTTATCAATTCAGATGTGTTTCTATCTTTTATGTGATTTTTTTAATGAACGTTAAAAATAAACACACTAAAACATTGTCATAAAATTCAAGTAATTCCTCCTCAACTTCACTGAAACAACAGAACAAGTTCTTACGTAATTTTCACTTTGCAATTCTACTTTAAAGGCCCCAATGCTTTTGGTCAGGAGTGCAACAAATATGTTAGAATTATAAATCATCCACTAAGAATAAAAATAAAGAAAAAATGATGAGTAGAATTTTTCTGGTGGGTTACTGTGTTTGTCTTCTAAAGGAAAATATGCTTTAAAATATATTTTATCTTCTAAATATACATTTAAGCTAGTTTTTTATTCCAGATAAAATGTGAATTTTAAATACTTTCATCCGTTTTGATTATGAAGTATTGGACTATAAGTATTGCACAATTTCATTAATTACCACTTGATGTTGCCAACACTTTATGAATTTTTGTGTTCTATGGTTTTAATTTTAAACTTTACTGCAGTCAGGAGTGCAACAAAACTGCTTCATAATTACTGATGCTTTTTAACTATCTTTACTAAAAAATAAGTTGAAAAAAAATGCTTGATACTATTTGATGTTCAAAACACTATGTCTATCAACAAATTACAGAAATTTTACAGTCAATTCAGGGAATAGTTTTCATCATTTCACATATATTTTAAATACAATTTACATATATTACACTTTGCAAATAATCATGTTTTAAGGTCTTCAAAATATGAAAAACCTGCTGTAAACGATGAAAAATATCAACACGACAAATTGATTTACAAAGTAAGAATGGGTTATTGTGTGTTATAATTTTTAAAACCATGTTAAATAAAATACATATCAGATGTCAGGAGTGCAACACAATAATGTAACATAGGGTCACTTCAAAATCTAGTATTTTTTGTAAGAGAACTTGTATATAACAATTCTTTTCGGCTTAGATTTAAAGAATTGACTTGAACGGACAAAAAAGTGAATTTTGGGGAATTTTATTGCTTCATATTTTTTTCATATTAAAACTTTTCAAACCAGAATTGAAAAAATAATGTAAAATAACAATCAAAAAGCCAATTTTTTGGTCACATGTACAAGAGAAGATACTCATTCAAGGTCTAGATTTAATCATTTATACCCCTTTTTCCATTTTGAAGCATAAAAAAACTATAATTTCTTGTGATTTTGTATTTTAGAAAGTCTTTTAAGGTGTAATGATATTTTCTTTTTTCAAAAGAAATTTTACTAATAAAAATTCTGAAACTTTTAAATCCAATTGTCTATTCTATTGCCACTTCAGGATTTTAAACTAGAATACATTTGCAATATGATGATATAAGTGAAAAATGTTACAAGTAGTTGAATTTTGCCAAAGAAATTCAGTTTGGTGGTCATTTTTTTTAATTCACCTATATCTATCACTGCAATATATGTTCATCAAGACCACAAACTCATTGTAGTTAATCCATTGAATTTTGAAAAATAATACATTTTATGGGTTAAAGATCATAAGTGCACAAATATATATATATCATGATACTGAACATTACAAATGTAAATACACATATAGGTAAGAAATAAGGTATCACTTTTACCCATCAATAAGGATGATACATGATCAAATCTACCATATTAAAGCCCTTTTTAATAGGATATGATCACGTGACAAATCCTTATCTATATCTCAATGGATGTTTAAAAGTTATATTTCTTCACTGAACTATTTATAACCTAAGTCTCATTTCCGGATGCTAGCTGACCGTTCCATTTCAGGTTGACCAGTCCATTTATAGTTTATCAATCCTCTGTTCATGCAAATAAAAATCTGTTTTAACCTAATTATCATTTTCCAAAAGAAATCAAATTTATGATACAAATGCATATGCAAACAATTTCAGCATGCCTTGCGGGGCAAAATTTAAAAGATATGACTTTAATTGACAATTTTTTAATGGCATAATGGCCATCATCCCAATGAGGATAATCTCTCTTATCAGAGGGGCAGAGAACCTTAAGACAGCATATGATATGTAGTATTTAGCACCAATGTCCGCTAAAATATTGAATGCAGATGTAAATATTTTCACAAGAAGTTAAAAGTGAACAACAGGAGTTGCAAGTTGAAATGACCAACTTTGAAGGCAATAGTGTATCAATCTGGTACGTGGCATTTACAAATATAATGATTCTTTTAAAATTATTAAAAAAGGCTATTAATATCTAATCCATCACACAACCTGACAAGAAGATTGATAGATCTCTTCAAATAAGATATTGGATTTTTCATTGCTTAATGAAGAGAACCGTTCATTCATTACTATACCAAGTGTGAATTCACCAAATCCATTCAAATAAATACAATTACCAATAAAACTAAATACTGGTATTGAATAAAACCATTGCAATAAAAATAAAGTACTGATAAAACTAAATACCACAGCGGCACTAAAAACAGTTAGTGGTACACCAGACAGTCGCACATTGTATTGTTAAAATAAAACACTCAGTTAAACAGATGATGGTCAGGGTCAGGTTGGACATGAACAAACTCCTGTATGGTTTTAGACTGACCATCCCAGCAGCTGTTCTTACATGTGAACACGATCACTGTCCCAAACTCTGTGGCAGGACCTTCAATATAAAAAATTAATATAGAAAACAAGTCACAGCGAATGAAAATTGTAGGTTAATAGTTCGTCCCAATGAAGAAATTCTCGTACAATCTCGAACTTATGTCAAATTTAATTTTGTACTTTGGTGGGAAAAAAGTTTACAAATAATAATAATCAATATTCCATTCAATACTACACTACTGTATGGTCATTTTTTTTTTTTAAACCAGTCACTATTCTGTACCAATACTGCTGTATCGGCAATAGTTAAGCAGAAAACAGTCACAGTAATAAACCCCTCTAGAAATGAATGCTCCAAATTCACAATTACAATTATACCAAATTCACAATTTTACATGTGCATACCTGAATTCTCTGGCAATTGGAGGAAGTTTACAAGGGCAGGCATCAACTGCAGTTCAAACACAACAGGCCCTCCACAACTAGGGCAAGACCTATTTGTAATGGCTGTTTTTTCAGAGGGACTCATTTCTTTAATATATAAAGGACTTCCATTCCATTGATACCTATGATTCAAGTAAATTGTGCACAAATGTTATAATGTCGTATGATTAATGTAAACATTACTGGTATTTAATGTCATCAAAAATAGTTTCTAATGAATATGTAAATATTATTGTTTATGAGAAAAAAATACATGTTTGTCTGCTAGCCTACCTAACACACTGTTGAGGACATATTGAAGTCTGTTTTAGAAATCTGTGAAACATCTTATCTCCATGTTTAATTTCTGTCCGTTCATACTTTTCTCCTTGAGTTGCAGCTCCAGCTTTTCCATTACTGAAAAAAAAAAATTGGATTGGATGCAAGAATTTCACTAAAGGAGCAAAACTTATGTTTTTTTTCAGTAATTTCAACCTTGATTTCTAAAACCCATTTTTAAGTCTTTTAAATTTTTAAGGGGAACCAGATTTCCCACTTGGTTTTCCATACTTTTTTTCCTAAAGGCTTGCAGATTTTGAGCTCATTTTTGTAAACCTTAACAAGTTATAGATCAAGATTGCATTCTGTTCTGCTTCAATGATTTTTGATGGAATTATGGGATTTTTAATTTTCATGAGGAAGCAGATAATATAGGGGACTAGTATTGCCATTCTACGGATCCTTTACAGGGTTCCTCAAGTGATCATTAAGGCCCTTGGGCCTCTTGTTTTAAGAAAGCATTAGTATAAATAATAAAGTAAAATTTGCTCCATTGTATGAATTTGAATGAAACAGTTACCTTGAAGTGGTTGAAGGTAAATCTTGGTAAAGTAAACCCTCTAGATCCACGCCCTCATTTCTCTGGTATTGGCTGAGTAATTTTTTCAGATGATTATTGTCAATCTCTGTTTGCAGATGAGCTTCTTCAAGTACACTTAAATAATATGACACAAGCCTGTCCGTAACACTCTCGTTCCCCTCTTCCATATCATTACTAGTCATTTGTTTGTTTTCAATCAGTTCTAACACGTTCTGAAAGCTGTCATCAGGTATGACCATTTTGTCTTCTCCATTTACATAATCTTCCTCATCTGTTATATCTTCATCATCCTGTACAGTCAGACCTTTGAATTCATTGCTCAGTGCCCCTTCTGTTATGGCTACCTCAGGTAACTCAGTATTATGATTATTTTTGCCAGAAGCTTCACATTTTACAACATCCACATAGTCTGATTTTCTAGAATTTGATTTAGTATTTTGTTCCATTTTATTGCAAGATTTAGACAAACTAAAATCGTTCAAATCATTTACATCGTCACCCCAGTCATCTTCGCTTGCAAACATGGCTTCTTCTTTTACTTGTTTTGAAGACTTGGAGGAGAGTTTTTTGTAATTTGTATCCAAGGATTGAGATCTCAGGACACACCAGCTGCAAATAAAATAATCATCTTATGAAAATAGGAAGGCCCATGACCCACAATGCTTACCTGAGTCATATTTCTCTTTCTAAAGAAATCTAGATGAACCAGTAAGTTGTAGGGAATCTTCAAGATGCCATGATTGTGTTACCTACTTTTTTATTGTGACATTATGATTTTGGAAGTCATGATGGTATCATTATGTCACAATAAATCAATCTACTTACCAGAATCAAACTCAATAATAAATAATATTGTGGGAAAACTGTCTCTGTCGGTCAATGGTAAAAATTAAATGATTGTCAATATTTTTAGGAGGAGCGAAGACCAATTATATTGAGTGTTTCTCTGCACAGAGAATAAAAGACTTTGCTTTACTGAATATAACAATGCAATATATAGACCAATTTGATTATGAGTTGCCCTGTTATGTGTATTGTATTGCCAGTGTAGTATTGTGATACTCTTTTCAAATTTCTTCAACTTTATAATAGTCATTTCTATAGTTTCTTTAGTGCAGGATATTAGGTCAGTGTAGAACAAGATCATGTTACTGTCTTTGTTTTGTTTATGTGTTTGGTAAGTACGTTAGTAAATTTTAGTTAAAGCCAACATTTTGTATCTGAAATAACAACAATTAACATGAGCTCTGCAGAGCTCTTAAATCTACCATTACATCTAAAACCAACTATTACTGGTCATTTCTGCTATATTTTTTTATAATGCTAAACAGTTTTGTTTTGAACATATTTTATTGAATAAATCAAAAGGATTGGGAAAAAAGTTCTTACAACTTACTGGTTTCTCTCCACAAATATTACAATATGTCATGCAAAATAACTTAATTTTACAAGAAATACAAGTGGAATTTTGTTAGATATTAACTGTGCTAAACAGTCTTTGTTATACTGATATTAAAACAAAGGAAGGGATGTTTTTCATTTGATAAATAATGTAATTGTGATACATGTTGTATTGCCTATCAGTAATTTTGTGATATGGATCATATCTCAATGCATGTGATAATTAGGCCTAGTTCACATTTGTGATATGGATCATATCTCAATGCATGTGATAATTAGGCCTAGTTCACACTATATATATTACATAATCTTTAAATATATATGTGCACACAATACCCTACAATGCATATCCAATAGTATGAAATTAATACCTCTCATCATGGCCCCAGCACTGTTTTCTTTTACAAGTAAAGACATATAACGTTCTGTGGTAAGGAAATCCATCTAACGGACAATAAATCTGAACAATCAGAATCATGGGATCATTACAACATTGACACTTTGGTATGATGCATTCTGCGCACATCCAGTCCTAGAAAAAATATAACGTACAACCTAGTGCCATTTTTAAACAAGGTAGTGCAGAGGATAATGTAATCTCTCTCTTTCTCACTTTTTGTAAACACACTATATTAATTAAACAACTTCAAAGTTTGCAATCTCAAACTCTATTCTCAATCCTGTATAAATTGACTGTATAACAAATAATACATATTGGTTTCATTGAAATAAAATGAAGTTCCTACTAATCTCATGATCACAATGTTTTTATCAACTTCATTTTAAGAGGACCTTTTTCAGTTGAGGTGACAGAATCATAAAAAATGACATGAATGCCAGGTATTTTAAGTTATGTACAAAATAAACTGCTCACAGGCAACCCTCCTATCTTGTTTACATTCCAGGAGCTATTTGATCCCTCCAGTAATTCGTCTTTTAGGCCTAACAGTGCCATTGATCATCAGGTTTATAATCACCTGTCAAGAAAATTATTACGTCGGGCTCGGACTCCTTCATTTAGATGATAATGGTAAAGTTAGGAGCTTCAATTAAAAATCTTCGTTAGTCATTGGAATTTGGTAGATTAGGTGACAAAAAACATTTGTAGTTATAATTCAGACAATCTATTTTCCTATTTCTTATTCAGGCATCAGACATTCAACGATCAGAAAGATTATTGAGATAAACAGAAATTCCATATTATTTCCTTAGCTAACTGTTTAAATATTTTAAAGGTTACCTTATGAAGAGAAGAGCTTCTAGACTTAATTTTCATTTTTGAAAGTTTTTCAACATACAAATTTATTTTCAGTTTTGAAAGATTCGATGAGCACTTATTCCGCGTTTTATCCAATACTTTAAGTCGTACTTCCGGTGGTCAACCTAAGAATGGATGACTCGAAGAAGTTCAAAACACCACAAGAGGAGATAGATTTCTGGCGACAAGAGGCAGAACGTTTTAAACAAGAGTAAGTTCTTTGTTTAAGTTTTTGATTTCTTTCATGAATTATTATTATATTTTCTGAGAAAAAAATTAATTTATCAACAGCATTTGTTGAAACTTTAACTGTTTTGCTTGGACTTGAATAAGATTTAAAAGTTGAAAAAGAATAACCTCCATGTTTCTTGATTTCATTCGTTTTCTTGCCTTTCTTGTGTTTGATAAATATGTCTACATAATTCTACATCAATGTGGACTAGAACGTGATAACACGAGAAATATGACAACTGGCTTTCTACGTAAATAAAAGGAATAAAAGAATGAATGTCTTCCTTTTTTCATTCCAATTTAAAAGGAAGATTATGAGGAAAGGCCTCCTTCTATAAATAAGTCATATCTGAACTTTGAATCCAGACTACTGCAGTTCCATGTAAATGTTCCTCATTGGTTTAGAATATTGTAACAACTCAAAGATCTACATATCAATCCAAATAAAGTTAACAAATTGATATTTTACTGATCAAAAATATGAACATTTGATATAACCTTGTCCAGTTTTAAAAAAAGATATGTCGACAAACTTGAAAGACTTCTTTACCTTGTCATCAATCGTGATATGTATCGTATTGTGAACTGAATACTTTGCTACATATTGTATTGTGAGGTTTGTGTATCTTGTGTTATCACATTCTAGTCCACAAGTTGGAAAAACACGCGTGATGAGATACCATGTATTACCATAGAATACTTTTAGATCTAAAGGGTTTATCACTTGTCTTAACATCTATTACTTTTGATCACATTAGGAATGAGATAAAGTCCTTCACCGTGTTAAATCTGAGGTCTGTAAGATGCCTTGAGATGAGTTTAATTGCCGTTACAGAGTTATCGTCAACTTCATGTTTTGCTCGGAAGCCATTTTGAAATTGTAAATGAGGAAACAAAACAGATGATTCCGATAATTCTGGATGAATTGAACCGAACCGTGATATCAGTTTAGTGTATCGTGAATTGAACCATGGAAAAATATACCGCGATATACCGTCAAATGGTTTATTGTTGCACTTTTATTGAAGGATATGTTAAAATGATATATTGTATCATGAAAAACAAAACTAAAACCATTTGTCAGTTGAAAAAAATTTCAGATTATAATATATTATGCATATAATATCAAAGTCACACATATTATAAGTGAGTTTACTCCTCCATGGCACTTGATCCCACTTCTGATATTTTCAAGGGTCCATGCCTGCTCTGCTTTCAGTTTGTGAAATTAAATTGGACTTTTGAGCATGATTACTGATTGTTATCTTTACATTTCATTTCATTAGAAAATTAAAATACACAACAGCAATGTGGTAGCTTTATATCTCAAACATTCCTATGATAAAGAACAGGAAGTTGTCAAGGTTAGACTGCAGTCATGGCCATTGGCCTAATAATGAATCTTAGGTTAACGTTTACTTAGTAGTGCATTATCTTTAAGCTAACTTATATTGTATCATAATTAAGCATTAATTCATTTTATAATGAGGTGTATTGAAAGTACCATAGTATTATTTTAGAAGACAAAAATTTTATATATAAAAAGGGTTGTCCCTATAAGCCCCGGGGGCAGGGGAATTTCCCAGCCTATAATGACAGGTGAACCTAATGACATAATCCCCAAACCCAGGTTATTTTGCTTTTTCCCCCTAAACTCCCCATTAGGAGAGGAACCCCAGACCCTTTCTACTTTTTTAAAAGTCCCCTCCTCCTATTTCAATTCTTAATAGGGACAACCCTGTTTATAAAATTCCAAAAAAGTCTACACTTTCTTTTGATATATTAACTTAAAATAGCTAATTATATGTAGATTTTAAAATATTGCAAATGTAATGGTCTTCATGCAATTTTTCTGTTCACAACTAATATAATTCATATGAAAGTTATAATTCACATATGAATCTCAGTTAAAGTGAGTATATATGTATATAATTATATATATATATATATATATATATATATATATATATATATATATATATATATATATATATATATATAATTTGTTATCTTGTGTTCAGTTTAGAAGAAACAAGGGAGGAATTAGAGGAATTCCAGATAAGCAGCAGGGAGTTGGAATGTGAACTGGAAGCACAGCTGGAGCAGCTGGAATCCAAAAACAAAGATCTTTTGTCAGAGACCACAAAACTTAGCAGTGAAAATGCCTCACTCAAGGTAAGAAGTCAGACTGAATTGCTTTACTTCAAACTTAATAGGCACTGATATGTTAGTATGGTTGTTTGTTTGCTCACTAAATAGACACGAATTATTGTTTATCACAATTATGATGAACATGGTAAAAAAAATGTTATTACATAAACATAAACATTTAGAGAAAACTGTCATATATGAACTAAATTATGTTCAGGTAAGAAGTTAGACTCAATTGTTTTACTTCAAAATTAATAGGCAGTGTTATTTTAGTATGGTTGTTTGTTTGCTCACTAAATAGACACTAATTACTGTTTATCACTATTAAGATGGACATGGTAAAAAATTTCTTATTACATAGACATAAACATTTAGAGAGAACCGTGTCTTATACATGTAGTTTTCACAGTATAATTATATGAAACTGAAAAATCTAGTTTTCAATAAGGCCAAACAAAAAAGTATGTGTGGTTCCGGTTACACTCCCCAAAAAATTAGGGTAAGTAGGTAGGGAATTTTTTTTTTTTTTTTTTTTAACAAAATTATTTTCTTAATTTTTTCTAAATAATACCTATCACTGCTTTGCAAATGGCATTTAGATGAGGTGTAATGATATACTAGTCAATATTGGTAGGGGACACCTACGTGCCAGCTTGCTTTGGATTTAACACTATTAAACACTTGCACTATGTTTTGCAAGGAGGCCATCATTGCTGAAACTAAAACTTAAACTGGAGCCACTGATGGAAATCGGGGAAAATTCTGGAAAAAATATGAAAATTGCCAAAAAAAAAGTTTAGGGTCAGGGGTATAAAATAGGGAAGGTCGGGTAACCGGAACCACACGTATTTTTTTATTTGGCCTAACCAAAGAAAAAGAATACTGATGTTGGAAACTTTTTTAAAAAACTTGCTTGAATGATCACTCTCACAGGGAATTCAAATAACATTATTTGAAATTATTTTTAAAGGAAAAGATTGAGCTGTTACAAACAAACAGTCACAGACAAGTATCCAATTTAGAGGATGAACTAGCTCAAGTTAGTGCCTATAAAGATGAACTACAAAGATATATCCGAGAGTTAGAACAGACAAATGATGATCTGGAAAGAGCCAAGAGGTCAGTGCATAGGATTATCAGGAATGTTTTTATAAAGGCAGTCAGAAATAAGGTGATTCTCTGAAAAAAAAATCAACAAATGAAAAAAAATTACAAATACTTTACTAGTCTTTACTCTTAGTTTAAACTATGAACCCTTTACAAAAAATTTGAAATGAATGTCCTAAGATGATTATATCATGTATATATTGAATATTCATTTTACTTTCGAAAGTTTTTTTTTCCTCCAGACTAATTTCATTTGTTGTGATAAATAATAAGGAATTCTCTACCTAAATTGTAAAATTATGTTTCAAGGGTCGAAAGTTTCACTCCAAAGGTGGGGGCTTGACACTAAATTGACTGTATGCTGTCTAGTATCTTTAAAGACATATATGTGGTAATAAATTCATTTCTCTCTCAGGGCAACAGTTGTATCACTGGAAGATTTTGAAGTGAGATTAAATCAGGTAATTTGGAAGGTTATACATACGATTTCTGTCCGATTTCAAATACAATTTATGTTCATTTTTAAACTTAAAAATATGGAAATGGAAACTTTAGCTGCTTTTTTATATTAATACATGTACTAAGTATTTTTAATTAGTTTAAAAAAAAAAAATTGTAACTATCTTTTTTATTGAAGGCAATCGAAAGGAACGCCTTTTTAGAAAGTGAATTAGATGAAAAGGAAACTTTAACAGAAACAGTGCAAAGATTGAAAGACGAAGCAACAGGTAAGCATAAAGTTATGATATCTAATACATGTAGTAGGTGATGCTTTATCTTCAAATTCTTTGATGTATATGATGTAGATATAACTTGTAAATGGTCATGTTAAATCTTGATGGTACATGAATTGTGATTTACTATGTTATTATTTATTTGGAAAAACTATGCTGTCATGAAATGGAAAGTGATAATTTTATGTGATTTTTTTATAATTTATCTTTATATTTAAAAAAAATTGTCTCTCAGATTTATTTATCAATTATTTTTTGCCACAGACCTTCGATCAGAGTTAAATGTGGTACAATCAAGACCAGCAAGTTCAGTTGAAAGCATTGCTTCCAAAGATGACAGTAATTCCAACGCAATCCCGGTAAAAAAGAAACAGGATTCGCGAGAAGAACACAGCATTAATGATAAAGCTCCCCCTTTATCCACACCTCCTAATAGAGGTAAGATTTTTATGTCTCTGCCATGAAATGACCTATATATTTAAGCACATGTTGAAATTGTCACTGAATTGTAGAAAATAGGTCAAGTTATTGCACTAAGTTATATCTTCATGTAAATACAGTGAATGAATTCATTTATGTAAACCCAAAAATGCCATGTACCAGGGTATATTATTTTTTAGGTATACCTTTTAAATCAGCAACAAGCACACCACTAACACCATCTGCAAGAATCTCAGCTTTAAACATTGTAGGAGACCTGCTTCGAAAAGTTGGAGTAAGTTTTCTCTTCTGTTAAATTCCACATTTACTTTTATGCAATCAATTTATAATTTTTTTTTCTATGTATCACTATGTACTTGGTCTCAAGAGTATGCATTGGTATCTTCTTAAATGAAATATAAATCTGAACTACATTAACAGGTGGGAATTATGGATTAGATAGTGCAATATGTCCTTCACCAGGTCTGGACGATTTCCAAATACGGAAGTCAAGAACGATAACTGAAAGTTGCTATAAATATACATCATGTACATGTAAATATTATTCTGCCCAATCAGACAACAGCATTTTTACACACCCCAAAACATATTTCAAAGGAACAAAAAGAGAACACGTGCCTTTGTTTTTTTTCCTCAAAAAGATTTTTTTGACAAAAAATCTTTAGAATCAAGTTGAAAAGTTTGGATGAATAAGGTATTTCCCACATATTTACCGTGAACAAACTTGACATTTCATCTCGGAAAAGAAAGAAAATTAATGCATGTCACAATGCGATCGTTTACGGGGGAATAGATCACACCGTCGAGCTATTGTCAAGTCCAATTATAACATTTACCAGAACATACTCTATGTTGGTAAATATAATTTTGCTTAGCCGCATCCGATTTTCATAGATATAGTTTCCGTGCGTATAGATCTACTGCACACAAGTATTCATCTTATGGACTACATATAGTTTTATAATTAACGCGGGTTTCATGAGCGCTGAATACTATGATTGTTATATACACTTTAAATGGACATAAGGAAAGGTGAAAAACATGGAGAAAAGGGAATGTACATGAATACTTTTATCACCATATCTTACCTCGCATACCAGAAATTTCATGGACGATTTTGTAATAAACACTCAGAATATAATTAAGACTGTTATATTCCCATATGTCAGGCTCTAAAAACTGAAAATCTGCCGTATTTATATCAAATGTCTTAACACAAGTTAAACTTTTGGGATTGCTACCTTGTAGTGACAGATTTTTAATCTCACTAAGAATTTATTCTAAGCTTTCAAGTTGTGTTTGTTCACGGTAGAATTGTCATATATACTATATCATTCCTAAATGTACATAAAGTTTACAAAAAGTTTGTCCTAAAAATATCTTTTGAGCAAAAAAACTTAAAAACCACGTGTTTTATTTATTTTCTCATGGTTTGTCTAAATGCCGTTATCTGATTGGTCAGAAGGGTTAGCACCTTGTTTATTCTGTGTATTTATAGCAATTCACAGTTGTCGTTCTTGACTTCCATATTTCGAATCGTCCAGACCTGTTCACTTACAGTTTGGACAATTTGGATTACAAGTAATTGAAGCTACATAACGATTTGCTGAAAATTTTTGTTTTCCAATGAAATATCCAGAAACCTACCTGAAAAAAGAAACAAAAATGGCCTTTTGATATTTTTCTTGAAAAAAAAAATTTATCTTACATTGTCAAGCACGTCCATACAGTCATATGTACTGTAGATCACCAAATTTTCACGACACCTTACTTTTGTGAGATAGGTGTTTGGTATTTATAAGGGAGACAAAATTTCACGATTTCTGGTTATTGTTTTACGTATTCTTTACGCATAAAAATATACACAGGAATGAAATTTTCAATGGCACACTGTCTCACCTAATTATGTGTAAGTAAAGTTCTCCCAAATAAAAAAAGTGTACAGTACATGTATATAATTCAGAGAATATCTTCTCAGATCTCTACAAGTGCAATGTTTAAAGAAAGAAAGTTATAATTAATGTATATGAAAATATGTGAAGAGTATTCTAACAGATAAAAGTTTGAATCGTGCTGACAACAGTGATTATTTTGATAGCATTTAAAATGATTTACACTTCATCCCACTGAGTTGTGTACATATAAATGTGTAAATGGTTTTAGACTGGGGGTCAGATCGTGTTTCTGAAGTCTATAACTCTGGTAGAACCTTGGTTATCACTGCAAAACTCAACACAAATATGACTAAGGAATGATTAACTTCATTAAAAAAATAATGTTGATTATTAATTGTTCAATATATTCCTTGATTCCACAGGCTCTAGAATCTAAACTAGCTTCCTGTCGAAATTTTGTGAAAGATAATCCAAGAGGTGGAAAGCCAGTGTCAGCTAGTCCAACGAATTCCCCAAGGTAGTACATGTTTAATTGTTTTGCTCTGCATTGCTCAATCTATTTCTATTCACAGATATTTCAGTTTTTCATATGTTGAAAATCATTTTGCTTTTGACAAATTCAACGATTTTTAGCTCTTCTGAGCCAAATGTTCAAAGAGCTAATGCCATGGCCAGTTGTGCAGTATGTGTATATACCCCTGCTCTGAAGGAGAGGGGGGTATACTGTTTTACCCTTGTGTGTCTGTCTGTCTCAGTATTCGTGTGTCAGTGTGTCTGTCCGTAACAAATTTTCATCGCAGTTTTCTCAGCAATTACTCATCCCAGATGCTTGAAATTTTAGCACACTCTTTGTTTAGGCATGTCAGTTGGTGGGATTCATTTTTGTGCAAATCCAATATCAACTCCCTGTTATCCATGCATCTGTCTGTACCATACATAACAAATTTTGGTTACAGTTTTCTCAGCAACTATTCATCGCAGATGCTTAAAAATTTAGCACACTCTTTGTTTAGGCATGCCATACGGTGGGATTCATTTTTGTACGAATCTGATGTCAACTTCCTGTTTATCCGTGCATCCGTACCATATATAAAAAATTTTGGTTATAGTTTTCTCAGCATCTACTTATCGCAGATGCTTGAGAGTTTAGCACACTCTTTGTTTAGGCATGTCATATGGCGGAATTTATTTTTGTACGAATATGATGTCAACTTCCTGTTTATCCCTGTGTCTGTCCATAAATAAACTTGTGTATTTACATCAGAGCAGGGGTATTATTAGTGAGCATTGGCTCACAGACTTCTTGTTTGGAATATGGGCCATATTTCAAGAACCCATTGGTCAATTTTTGTCAAATTTGTGACAGAGTAACCTTGACCCAAGGGCTTTCATTTTATATTAAAAACAGGGATGTGACCCTTAAACAAGGGGAAATAATTAGGGAAAGAAAAACAAAATTAGTGGCTGCTAAAAAATCTTCTGAAGAACACTGTGCAGATTAACACCAAACTTATGCATAGGATAAAGATATGTAGTAGATTAAACATAGGTAATCAAAGATTACAGAGCTTACCTCATGAAATGTTATCTTTAAGAAAGGCAAAGTCCCATGCTAAACTAATTATCTAGTTGTGTGCATCCCAAGATGCAACATTTATGCAATTTTGTCTGTAAGGGCATGCAATTACTTGGGAATGGACTTAATCAAAAAACTTTAAATTGACAAATGTTTCAATGTACATGTACCTCAGGCTAGAGGGTTTTATTAAGATATTTTAGGGAAAAAACTTAAAATACAGATTTATTCATTATAATTTAATCAATGCAATTATGTTGAATACCTTCTTTCAGGGCTAAAAGATTAAACAGAGGAGCCTCAGTGCCACCACAGCAAGGAGTGAAAATTCCAGTCTGATGTTCAGCCAAACCTCGCCACTCTCACAAAGCAATCCATGATGATATTTTCTATCCAAGTAGTCAGGGCAAAGATTACATGTTTCTGTGACCAGTTATTGATCTTTAGATGCTGTCAGAATTTCATTCCTGAACAAACATTTTCGATTACAGAAAAGGTTATTTGAACTTTTTAAAAACAGTGTTTCAATTTTGGGGGAGGGTTGTTGTATACATGTATCCATGTATATAACATCAATTCTTTGTCATTCTGTAACTGGGTTTCACATTAGCAAAATTCTCATAAAAAAAATTGTGATGTATATTTTTTTTTCTTTCATTTTTAGCTCACCTGAGCTGAAAGCTCAAGTGAGCTTTTCTGATCACCCGTTGTCCGTCGTCCGTCCGTCCGTCTGTCCGTCTGTCCGTCCGTCCGTCTGTAAACTTTTCACATTTTCAACTTCTTCTCAAGAACCACTGGGCCAATTTTAACCAAACTTAGTACAAAGTATCCTTGGGGGAAGGGGAGTTTAAATTGTTAAAATAAAGGGCCAAGTCCCCTTACAAGGGGAGATAATCAAGAAAAGACAAAAAAAGGGTGGGGTCATTAAAAAATCTTCTTCTCAAGAACCACTGGGCCAGAAAAGCTGAAACTTATGTGGAAGCATCCTGGGATAGAGCAGATTCTAAATTGTTAAAATCATGACCCCCGGGGGTAGGGCGGGGCCACAATAGGGAATCCAAGTTTTACATTGAAATATATAGGAAAAATCTTTAAAAATCTTCTTCTCAAGAACCACTGGGCCAGAAAAGCTGAAACTTATGTGGAAGCATCCTGGGATAGAGCAGATTCTAAATTGTTAAAATCATGACCCCCGGGGGTAGGGCGGGGCCACAATAGGGAATCCAAGTTTTACATTGAAATATATAGGAAAAATCTTTAAAAATCTTCTTCTCAAGAACCACTGGGCCAGAAAAGCTGAAACTTATGTGGAAGCATCCTGGGAAAGTGCAGATTCTAAATTATTAAAATCATGACCCCCGGGGGTATGGCGGCGGGGCCACAATAGGGAATCCAAGTTTTACATTGAAATATATAGGAAAAATCTTTAAAAATCTTCTTCTCAAGAACCACTGGGCCAGAAAAGCTGAAACTTATGTGGAAGCATCCTGGGGTAGTGTAGATTCTAAATTGTTAAAATCATGACCCCTGGGGGTAGGGCGGGGCCACAATAGGAAATACAAGTTTTACATTGAAATATATAGGAAAAATCTTTAAAAATCTTCTTCTCAAGAACCACTGGTTCAGAAAAGCTGAATCTTATGTGGAAGCATCCTTGGGTAGTGTAGATTCTAAATTGTTAAAATCATGACCCCCGAGGGTAGGGCGGGGCCACAATAGGGAATCCAAGTTTTACATTGAAATATATAGGAAAAATCTTCTTCTCAAGAACCACTGAGCCAGAAAAGCTGAAACTTAAGTGGAAGCATCCTGAGGTAGTGTAGATTCTAAATTGTTCAAATCATGACCCCCGGGGGTAGGGCGGGGCCACAATAGGGGGAATCCCAAGTTTTACATTGAAATATATAGGAAAAATCTTTAAAAATCTTCTTCTCAAGAACCACTGGTTCAGAAAAGCTGAATCTTATGTGGAAGCATCCTGGGGTAGTGTAGATTCTAAATTGTTAAAATCATGACCCCCGAGGGTAGGGCGGGGCCACAATAGGGAATCCAAGTTTTACATTGAAATATATAGGAAAAATCTTCTTCTCAAGAACCACTGAGCCAGAAAAGCTGAAACTTAAGTGGAAGCATCCTGAGGTAGTGTAGATTCTAAATTGTTCAAATCATGACCCCCGGGGGTAGGGCGGGGCCACAATAGGGGGAATCCCAAGTTTTTACATTGAAATATATAGGAAAAATCTTTAAAAATCTTCTTCTCAAGAACCACTGGGCCAGAAAAGCTGAAACTTATGTGGAAGCATCCTGGGATAGTGCAGATTCTAAATTGTTAAAATCATGACCCCCGGGGGTAGGGCGGGGCCACAATAGGGGGAATCCCAAGTTTTACATTGAAATATATAGGAAAAATCTTTAAAAATCTTCTTCTCAAGAACCACTGGACCAGAAAAACTGAAACTTATGTGGAAGCATCCTGGGATAGTGCAGATTCTAAATTGTTAAAATCATGACCCCCGGGGGTAGGGCGGGGCCACAATAGGGGGAATCCCAAGTTTTACATTGAAATATATAGGAAAAATCTTTAAAAATCTTCTTCTCAAGAACCACTGGACCAGAAAAACTGAAACTTATATGGAAGCATCCTTGGGTAGTGTAGATTCTAAATTGTTCAAATCATGGCCCCTGGGGGTAGGGTGGGACCACAATAGGTATTACAAGGGGGAAAGTCTGGTAATGAACAGCATGGCCAAAGTTACTCAGGTGAGCGATGTGGCCCATGGGCCTCTTGTTGGATTTGAAATATGGAAAGACAACCATATACATGTGCTTTTAAAATTGTATACATATAATAACTGTACAGATATATGTTGTGAATACTCATTTGTACATAGTTAGTGATTTGTGTTAAGTTATTGGAGAATCATAATCACATAGTATGATAATTTACATTGTAGTTGTTGTTTAAGTTTTAGTTAATGTCTTACTATGGACATGCATACAACCAATTTGACACAACCAACCCCCCCCCTTCCCCAATTATATATAAATTTAAAAAATGATAATATGGCAATCAAAACAAAAGATAAGATAGAAATTAATGATATGAAAGAAAAAAACATTATTAGTGGGTATAGTATATTGTTTAGTGATTTAAGCTATTAATTAGATTTGTAGGAAAATTGTGTTCATTGTATACATGTTTTAAATGGCAATTTATATGGGTATCATGTAAAGAAATTTTAGCTTCCTGATGAGTTACATTTTTTCAGTTTAATTTTTTTTTAATTTTTGGAAATAACATTTCATGGAACTATTGTTTAAAGAAAAAATGCCGAGAAAACTTTCTTTTCTTTCTTCTTCTTCTTCTCTTTTTTGGTTATGTTCAACCAAGTTTCTTTCAATTTTTTTCACTGGAAGGTAGGTGATGGGAAAGGCATTTTTGAAGCCAAAAAATATAATGCCTTTATAAATACTGTTGACACCATATTGTACTTTTTAATCCTATTCATTTCACAAATTTTCCATTTCATGGTGGTAGTTTAATATTGCTTCATAAAGTTGCTCACTCTTTATTAGTAAAGACCACATTGATTTGAAAGACCATCAGAAAGTTTGAGAGAACAGCCTATTATCAGAAAAAATGACAAAAAATGAAGCTTTAACTTCCCTTATCTGTAAATGATAAAGCTTGTCTTCCTCTAAATGATGATTAGAATAAGTAACTTAATACTTCTGTTATCTTATATGTTGTTGACATGAAGGAGATTTGTTTTACTTGTAATTGCAATGACTGTGTGTGTATGATATTTGATGTCATGGAATTAAACAATTCATCAGTAGAGTATACATGAATTCACTGAATGAATCATACAATGAATAGTAACTGCTGTGAATTTTAATTTGATTATTTTGATTTGTTGTGATATTTTGTGTGTTTATCAGGGTTGCTGTATACATCATTTCATTCAGAAATTTTTGTGTTGCTTTACTCTTCTTTTATTTCATTGTATTTTTTTTTTTTTTTTTGCCTTCAAGTTTGTAAAACATTGAGAAAACTCTTGCCATTATAAAAGATGTGATTTTTTTAGGAGAATATTTTAGGCTTATTATTCACACTTGAGGTTTCAAACTCCTGTTGATGAAGAAGACAAATACATGTACAGATGCATGACTGCACAAACTATTATGTTCAAGTAATTCACACTTCATTTACAATCCAGACACAATTTGTGTACCAGTAGTACTTCACACATTTTGAAATCATTAGGAGTAATATATTCCTTACAGAATATTTTGCTTCTTGTATCATTATGGGTCATTTTGTTAAAATTCCTGCAATGACATTGTTTAATTATGAAGAAAAGTTTATAATTAGGTTTGGAAAAAATTCAAATCCCAGTTCATACTGATTACCAGTATATCTTCATTTCATATACTGTAAACCGTATACTGTAAATGTACTTATTTTAGCGGTGCCTTATCATATTTTAGCCCCCTTTGTGCTGCTTCATCTACATGTTAGTACATGATTCAAACTACAGATCTAATACATGTGGTTTTGCAAGAATCAAGTGTGTTAATTTATGGTTACGCCTTTCATTGAAGAGGAAGATTGCACTAAATTTTGGGTGTGTTAATTTATATATGTTTACAGTATTCATTGAGATTTTTGACTGCATTGTAAATGTATAGAACTTGAACCTACTTTCAACTGGTTTGAATCAAATTGAGGTGAAGAGATAAGTAAGCACATTGTTCAATTTAATTGGCCAAGATACAAAGGGTTTTTTTTTTTTTTTTTTTTTTTTTTTTTTTTTTTTTTTTAAATTTATATGTGAGCGCTTGTTTAAATGAAGCAATCATTATAAGGTTCAAACTTTTTCATGTAACTCAGTTGAACTGCAATATCACAGGTATGAATTAAAAGCACTGTAGTGTGCTAAGTCATTTTCTTGCAATTTACCTGCACATGGGAGTCTGGAGTTTTCAGATTCTGTAAACTAATCTGATTTGTTGTTTACAGAATGATTTTATGTGTCCAAGTAAAGGTTTTAGATAGAGATCTGTGTTTTTATGTTGTTCTTTCATAATATCAGATTCAAGGTATTGTCGTTCAACACCCTTTTTTAATGAGCTAATTACAATTACGTAACAAAAACAGTTATCAACAAGGAATTTTCAACGAGTGTTTATAATACTAGGTAGTATAATACATAGTCTTATGCATTCCACAGATTTTAGCAATTTTAATCTAACACTATAATAGCATTTATGACATAGTGTCCCGAAGTATGGCAGGGTCACTTGTTCCATGTATAAAAATCAAATCAGGCACAGATATTGGTTTTTACAAGAAAAAAAAGTTTTGTTTGGATTTTGCCAAAAATTCTTGTTGGCAAATATAAGCATTTTGCCTCTGGTATGCAAGGTGTTCTAGATTGAAGACCTACTTTTACCGACACCCTCATGACTTCCGGTAAAATGTAAAATGGACGACGTGTTTACAGAAATCGTCTTGAGAATCGATTGTTACTCATAACTTCGATACTTCGGTAAGAAATGTGTTAAATTGACACAGAATAGAGAGTTGTGCATTACTTTATCGACTGACCCGAAATATCAATTCTCTTGGGGCTGTTAAGAGGGAGGTTTTAACACCAACTGAGGTGTCGATGATGATTGGCGTGGCATCCAAGGAAACCATCGTTGAATCTATTGGTGTTACAAATCTGAAAGAAACTCATGTACATTTGTGTAAATATTTAAAATCAATCTTTTACATGTTACCTGAAATAATATTTTCGGCAAAGTATTTTACAGTGTTTAAATGCAATTTCTAGTACATTGTTATGAATTTCGAAATTCCTTGGAAGGTTGGGTATGATTAGAATAATTTTCTTTAAACCACAGGCTCCGGGGTCATAAAACTAAGACGAGCTCATTTTTAAAAAAAAAAAAAATATCAGTCTACATTTTGATTTTTAAAAAAATATTATTTTGGAAAAGTGAGACTGACAACAAAGTGAACTCATTTTCATTTTATGACCAGGAGCTCTAATCAATGGGTACCTATGACAGTGTTACAGTTGAACTTTGGTATCTCAAACACTGATATCTTGTGGATATGTGGAAATGATTTGGAAGTCCCAACCGCTTATTCTTTAAGTAATTTTCCCTCGATATCTTGAAACCTCGGATATCTTTTTTCTTGGTCCCATCAAGTTCGAGATAATGAGGTTTGACTGTATTTTAACAATAAGACCTAAAAAAATGAAACCCTTCAAAGGTTGGGCTTTCAAAACTTTAACAGTGCTGAAGGACAGACCCCCCCACCCCCCCACCCCCATTTTGATCAGGTATGTCCTGATAAGTATTTCATTTGGATAAAAAGGAAAGACTGTGTGTTTTCATATAAACAAATACATCTGTATGCAGTAGCAAACATGAAAGATCATTCTATAATAGTATATTTTGATTAATTAAATCATTGAAGTAAGAGATACTATTTAAAAAGACCTTTTGATTTATTTTATTATATGTATTTAGCATCTGAAAATTGAAGACATTATGTGGCTTAAATCAGTGGGAGGGAATGGGAAAATGTGGTTAAGACCATAAGGTTTAAAAATGTGATAAAGAGAATCTCCCATGTTTAGTAATTGAAAACGATTTTTATCTACCAGTAACTCATTTTTTCTGTTCCCCTGGCCAGACACCAGTTTACTTCAGCAGCATCTTGATTAAAGCTAGAGAGTAGTGAAGGGAGTATTTATAAATTATACTTACAGGTATTTTGTTTTTTTTTTTGTTTTGTTTTTTTTTTTAGATACATAAGCCACTTTTCTGTCGATAGGAGACTCTTCACAAGAAAATGTACGAGGGGGAAGTTATGGCTTCACCATCAACTGTTGTGTCTGGTCTTGGGTTAGGCAAGCCAGCACCAACAAGTGAATACTCCAGTAACATTATTGTCAAAAAATTCCCCATCCTAGGAAGGCTTCACTTTGTTAAGGACAGAAATGGAATAATGTGTTTAGCTTTCACCTTTTTTTACTGGGCATATGGTACATGGTGTGGATTGTGGGTTGTCTTATTACCTCATATGAGAGATGGTCAAGCCTCAGAACCATTTGTTGCATGTAAGTGTGTTACATAAGTATGCTATGTATTGACATTAATTTTGGTAATTATTTTGCCTTAATTGGCCACCTTATGCCATTTCATTCATAATAATTAATGTAAATATAAACATGTAAGTTATTTGTGAGTCAAACAGTTATTAAAAGTTTATCATCAGCATGATCATTTTTACTTATCTACCGTATATGCTCGCCTACAAGTCGAGTTTTTGGTATAAAACTCTATGTCTGACTTATAAGCGAGTCCTAGAAACATTCATATTTTTCTTGGAATAGGGAATAAAATAATTTTGTAACAACTCCAAAGATAATTGTTTATAAAGGCCGGAATGAAAAGGATTTTAATGATCTTATTTTTGTTTAAATTGTTAATAAAAGATATCATACCCCAAAACATACTTTGAAACACAAATACAATAGAATACATATTGATCTAAAATTGGCAACAAATTCTGGAAAAAAAAATGTACAGACTTGTAGGTGGGTCGGGGCAAATTGCTCCAAAATATTCTGAAAAATACAACTGATCGACTTGTAGGTGAGTTTATACAGTATTTCAGAGTATAAACTTCAATTAATATAGAAATGCACTTTTGTTCTGACCAGGTGATTCAGTTTTGATGTCATAAAATCAAATATTCAAATATTTTTTTCTATTTTGCATTTTACAGTGTATGTCTTGTGTTCAGTCATGTGTGTGTGTTCCTTGTTCAGAGCATCAACCCTGAATCCTGGTCGAGTTCCGCTGATTTCTGATGCCGACAACATTGGTAATATTCCTATTGAAATATTATGTATCTATGTTTACATTTTTCAATATTTTATGAAGAATGACAATAACATGTACCAGTAAAGATCTAGAGTTGCACCCTAATAAACTCATTCTCTATTGTGTGACCTTTGAGTTATTTCTCTGTGTATATATTTAGTAAACTTTGTATCTTAGGACACCCATAATTTAAATTAGATCTTGTTATCACTCACCCCGGGGGTCATGATGAAGAGGGAAACAGGCCAGACAGGGTTCACTTCAACATTAATGTTTACATTTCTGATACCAGCCTTTATCATCTGAAAGACAAGTAAATTTTATGGGGAACTTATCAGTGATTTTTAGGTCACCTGAGTCACTCAGGTGACCTATTGCTATCCGTTTTTGTCCGTCGGCGTGCGTCGTCCGTCGTCCATCGTGCGTCGTGCGTTAACATTTGAACATTTTCAGCTTCTTCTCTGAAACCGCTCAACCAATTTCAACCAATTTTGGCATAAAGCATCTATGGGTGAAGGGGAACAAAAATTGTGAATTTCATGGTCCCTGCCCCCCTGGGGCCTGAGGGGTGGGGCTAAAACCACCAAAATTAATGCAATCTTTAAAAATCTTCTTCTTTACTCCTGGACATCAAGCAGTCAAACTTTTGGCATGATTGTAATAAGCATTAAGCCCTCTACCAAAATTGTGAAATTCATGGCCCCAGGGTCAGGGGTTCTGGTGCTAGGGCGGGGCTATATAGATCATATAGTGAAAGTGCATTATTTCTTTGAAAATCTTCTTCTCTACTCCTGGGTATTATTGAAACAAATTAAATACATAGTTATGATAAGCAAGAGTTACTCTACCAAAATTGTGAAATTCATGGCCCCAGGGTCAGGGGTTCTGTTGCTAGGATGGGGCTCTATTTATTATATAGTGAAAATACATTAATTCTTTTTTTTTCTGCTACTGGGTATTATTTAAACAAACTAAGTATATAGTTTTGATAGGCAAGGATGCCTCTTCCAAAATTGTGAAATTCATGGCCCCAGGGACAGGGATTCTGGTGCTAGGGCGGGACTATATAGATCCTATAGTAAAGGTGAATTAATTCTTTGAAAATCTTCTTCTCTGCCCCTCGGTATTTTTTAAACAAACTATGTACATTGTTATGATACGCAAGGATACCTCTTCCAAAATTGTGAATTTCATGGCCCCAGGATCAAGGGTTCTGGTGAAAAGGGGGGGGGGGGGCTTTATTGATTATATAGTGAAAAAGCAAAATTTCTTTTAAAATATTCTTTTCTGCTTCTGGTTAAAAGCAAAGAAGCTAAGTGTATAGATATGATGAGCAAGAGTGCTTTTTCCAGAGTAGTGAATTGCATGACCCCTGGGTCAGATGTGCTGGTTTAAGGGTGGGGCTCTTGATAATATAGTGAAAATGCATTAATTCTATTAAATAATCCTGTCTGCTCCTTAGTGTTAAGCAGATAAACAAAGTGATTGCTTATGATGAGCAAACTTCTGGTCCCATGGTCAGAGGCTCTGGTATTTCTTGGTGGGGGGGGGGGGGGGGCTCTATTGATAATATAGTGAATCTGTAGTAAAAATGCATTATTTCTTTAAAAATCTTCTCTGCGCCTGGGCATATCAGAGGCAAAAAGAGTAAAAGTTTTAATAAGGAAGGGTATTTTTACCAGATTTTTGAACATCTGGACTATTTGGTCAAGTGTTCTGGTCCTTGCCTGGGCTCTATTAATTTGTATTCTACTGAGAGGAGTTATTCCCCTTTGCCATTTACTTTTGATGATTAATCACTGTAAATAAAGTATTTGAAAGGTTAATAGAATAAGAGAATTATGCAAGAATTTTTATTGTATAATACAAAAAGTACTTTCATAGTTCTAATGATAGGTAGACTTGTAATTAATAGATAAATAAAAATGAGAAAAAAATTACTTGTTTTATTAAATTCTCATTAAAGACCAAGAGAGGCCAATGTAAGACATTTCCACAAGGAATTTAAATAGTACAGAAGCACTGATAGTTTGTTAATATACTGTATGGTGATAGTGATAAATTGGGAACAGATTTGAACCTAATTTTTGAACTATTTATGAATACTAAACTAATTATTTTTTTGGTCCCGATCACCCTATTTTTCTTGCTTTTGGGCAACAAAGTTTCACCTTTCAGTTCATTTTATACTCTAGGGATCCTCTAAATTGTTGTATAATACTCAGGTGACCGTTAAGGCCCTTGGGCCTCTTGTTAAATTAAAAACATCTATTTTGTGATTGATAATTTAAAACAATAAAACTTTTTTCTTTTCATTTTTATTAGTTAACTTCATTTGTGTTGTTACAAATACATGTGTGTCAGTCAGGCAGGTTGAACTGCCAGTGGTCAGATACCGGTAGATCAAAGGAGTACCTCACTAGAGGTCAGGGGCCTGGGTTCAAATCTTAGTTGGGTCTGTCACATTTTATACTTTTGTGTTACATTTTTTGTGATGGCATGTTATGGAAGTGATCGGTGCAAGAACCTGCTAGGGAAGAGCCTCGGTTGGTGTTTTCTGACATTTAAGAAGGGAGGAATGTGGTGGTCACAAAATCCCTAATCCCGTGGGTCAGATAGCTAAGTGTGTAGAGCACCTGTGTAGAGTTCAGGAGGCCTAGGTTGAAATCCTTGCCTGATCTGATGCATTTTGTCCTTAAGAGCCATTGACCACCCCTAGATTTTCAACTGAAAGTGCTGCCAGGGGTCAGAGTATTTTGGCAGCATAAAATGAAAAAAAAAATGTTGAAATTCAATCAATGTACATGTATTACCTAAAGGTGGCCTAGCAAAGGGAGTGTATCAATCCAATGTAGAAAAGCTATATACTGTGTATAAGAACTACAGTTAATCAAAATATTATAGATAAATATTCACATTTCACTTTCCAGTTTGTTTATTCATGGGGTCACAGGGTCAGGATGGTCTACAACAAGGGGTTTAAGTTTAGTTAAAGAATATAAAAAATGTATTTCACAAAATCATTCCAAGAATTACTGGGTTTATATTTTTGATATTATTTCAATTTTTCCAACTTTATAATTCAAGTAGACTGTATTTTTACCTATACATGCATATTCAAATTTATTAAAATCATGAATGGAAGTTGAATCAGGTGAGTATTTTGGCCCATGGGCATTTGGTTTTGTTTTTGCCATGAATACTTTAATTTCCTAGGTGTGTTTGTTTAAAATCAAAAGATAACTCAATTTTTTCACTTAATGTTTGAATTTTAAAATTTAGACACAAGTAACTGGGAAACGTGTGAGAAATGTCAGCGAAAAAGACCAAAAAGAGCACACCACTGTCGTCGATGTCAACAATGTGTGCTGAGAATGGACCACCATTGTCCATGGTAAGAACAGTTAACTGAAACAAGAATAAGTATTTGACATCTTTTTCTTACGTGCTTACTCCCCTTCCATTGTTTATCAGGAAAGCTTTGTTTAATCTTGTTTCAAACTCATTAAAGTTTTACTCAGAATAATGTACATATGAACCTGGTTCTATGGCTGGGATGATATTCAGATAACAATATTCAGATACTGTTATATAACTATATTATTGTGATAGATGGTTCTTAATTATAATCTATAATTATAATCTTGTCAAGTAAAGAGATTTGGAAATCCTAACCACATATTTCTTAAGTATTTTACCCTCGAAATTTGAACCCTCGGATGTCTCCAAGTATTTTCTCGGTCTCATCGAGTTCGAGATAATGAGGTTTGACTGTATTTTACATATTTAAACCTACTTTATATAATTATTTATACAGATATAAATATAAAAACTAAAATGTCTTTCTTTGTTAATGCGGGACTAACAGATGCAACCATTGCAGAAAAAAAATTCACGTAACCCGCCTATGCAGCTTTTGAGGTCAATACATGTACCATGATGTAGTTACCTGAGGAGTACAATATTCATTGAGCCCAAAAGGCAAGCTGAATATTGTACATCAAGGGTTGCTAAATCATAGTATTGAATGAAAAAAACAGCAATAATTGATATATGATATGATTCAATGATTAAATGACTGGGTGCAGTTGAATATAACTGCATAACATAACTAATTGTATCAATTTACAAGTTCTGAAAGGTCCTGTGCAAGTGAAAACAACTTAAGATGATTTCCACATTGTTCTCAGCCAATTAGAAAGCTAGGAATTATTCAGTCATATCATAAAAAATACTTATTTGCATGTAATCAAAATAATTGTAATATAAAATATGTTGATATGTATTGTATTGCAAACACTGTGTCATGATAAGTATCGTATTGCAGGATCCATTATCTACAGTCCAAGCTCAACCTAACACTACCGTATTTTAAAATTCAGAAGGGAAAAATGCAAATATGAGAGGTCATAAATGTATCAATTTTACATTTTTTTTTCATTTTTAAGGATAAACAACTGTGTTGGGGAGGAGAACCACTATGCCTTTATACAGCTGTTATTCTGGGCCTTTTGTCTCAGTTGGATGGCATTCTGGGCTTTAATGCTACATTACTGGTATTACCCAGCATGCATTACCTGTGATAAGGTATGTTTGTTTTAAACCAGTTTACAAATACATTGTATAGAGCAGGGTGTCAGTTTTTAACCAGGTTTTCCATTGGAAAAATTCACTTATTGAAATGGTGAAAATGGCAGTTGGACAAGCAGCTGCCAAACGGGTTCATCATTTGTCCAGATAACTTCTCCAGTTTCAAGATGGGAAGTTTTTATTTTGTAATTCAATTGTACACATATAAGAGTAGTGCCTGGTACACTTGGATTTTGATTTTTGATATAATTTATGAGAAATATACCAGTTTTTGAACTTAGTAATTTTTATGCAAAATATTGCTTCTAGGGTACATCATTTGTCCAGACAACTCCTCCTACAATTTTCAAAATAGGAAGTTTTTATTTTGCAGATATATTGTACTAACATTAATTATAAGTGATGTACATGATACTTTGAATTTCATTTTTGATTCTTTATGGGGAAAATACTACTTGAATTTAGACATTTTTATGCAAAATATGTTTAACTTTATAGGGTGCAGATTCTAGTTTGTTTAAATCATGGCCCCCGGGGGTAGGATGGGACCACAAGAGGGGATCAAATTTTACATGGAATTTATTTGCAGTTTTTAAAGAAAAATCTTCTCAAGAGCAACAGATAATTATATAAATGTGTGAGCATCATCAAGTAGTGCATTTTCAATTTTGGACTCTTGGATAGGATGGGCCGCAAGTTTTCCATGGGAATATATAGGAAATTAATTTTTAAAAATTCTTTTTAAGAGTAGCACGGGTGCATTAAATCATTGAGATATATATTATATAAATATTCCTTAGTATGGATTAAAGCTTTTTGCAGATTTTTATCCTGGAGGTTAATGTGGGCTAAATTTGGAAAATTGGGGATCAAATTTTACTTATAATGTGTGTAAAGGAAAATATCTTTTAGAAATCTTCTCAATGAAAAGTAATTCAATGAATAGTCATTTAATCATTTTGGTACTGAAGCATCCCCATCTTTTGTGGTTTCAGGTTTGTTTATATCATGAACCTTAGGGAATAGGGTGGGGCGACAATACAGATTATAAAAATTTCATGGGGATAACAAGGGATAAGAATCTTTTGGAATCTTCTGATGAACAGCAGGGCCAAGGTGAGACTCTGGCAAGGATTGTTGTCCTTGGGCATCTTGTTTGATTAAAATTAGATTTTGAAAAAAAAAGCATGTAAGTACGTGTATCTCTAGGTATAAAGAATACAATTATATGCATGATGAATGTCAGTACATGTGTAGTTTGGGAAGGGGAGAGGAGGTTAAGCATTGGTTGTGTGCCATAAAACAAAGGTGTACATTATCTTCAAATTATCATGTTGAGCTAATGCACTTTATTAAATTTGTTTATATGTACACATCTTGTGATTTGTTACGTTATGCATTGCTAAAATGGATCACGCTATGATTCAGAACTACCATAAGTTTTGGAAGATAGGACGATACTTTCTTTCTCAGAACCGCTGGGGTCGTCCTATTTAATGAATCGACCTATCTAAGGCTCAAGTTTATGAAAAATGCCCCCAAATCAGTAAAATTTTCGTCAATTTTAAAGTAAATCTTTGCCCTTTTTGTATTTTTTAAAATTATTTTACCGAGAAAAAAAAAAACAATAAAGAATTAAATATTTATTCCATTGATTACTTACAAAATAAGTTCCATTAAATATCCGTCGATGTACAAAAATTGTACTAAGGACATATTGATAAATTCTGTTAGAGAGTGAGTTTTATCATTTAAATATCAAAATTTTTAGTCTTTCCATTCAATTTATTCAGAATAGACCTATAACTCTTTAATTTCCTTTCTGAATTAAAATAATGAGGTTTTTTGAAGTCTTAGTTATCCAAGTAAAGCTGAAAGAAGAAAAAGAATTCTCAATTTGAATTTCTTTTAATCTTTTTGTGGAACATAGAGAAAGTAACATTAACTCATGTACAAGTTGTATTATATACACTTTAACAAAGTAAGTGGCATTACCCTTAATACTTGTTTTATTAACATGTTTATAATTTTAATGTTTTTTCATGTTCAAGAATTTGTATGACATCATAATATATTTACATTTCCAAATATTTTTCCCTAAGATTCTTTGCAAATTATAAGACTGGTCATTTTCTCATGAACTTCCATGGATGAACATGAATATCTCCATTGCTATGTCATAATACAGTACTTGACGTCAGAACTATAGTGCCAGGGATAGACATCAACTTACAGATTCACTTGCCCTTTGGGCAAGTGAACTCAAACTTTGACTTGTCCGAATACAAAACTTGGTTGCCCAAAATTTAGAAAGAAGGGAAACCGATAACTTAATTTATTATTGTAAATAAAGTGAGATATTTTTTTTTTTATATTTGGCAAGTTAAGTGCCAGAAAAATATCTTGATGTGCAGGTGATGCTACATTTTAAATACTTGTAAACTCACACTGCCATGCAGCAATATCTCCTTTTAAATAAAATTCATATTTTTGAAAATTATTTTCTTAATGATCTTTTTGTGAATTTAGATTTTTTCCCCCTGAAAAACTGAAGCCACGCTAAAGAAAAACATTGGCCATGTTTTGAAGCATAAATATCCTAATCAGAATACATCGTGTGCCGAGAACAACTGGTTTTCTTTATATTCTGTGAGTAAATAAATGAGCTATTTTTAAATATCATATTTCATAATAAGAATGTTAAGAAGTCAGTTTTGTCAACTACCCAGAAAGAAAAATGGAATAACGAACCCGATTTTTGAATGAACGGCGCTACCGAGGAATTTCCGACTACAAAAAGAATGTCATATATTCCTGGTAGAAATCAAATGTTCAAATTATTGTTTTGTTTATAAACTAATGTAAGATTTAAAAAATCTATCAAATATTCACTTGCCCGATCGGACAAGTACATCAGCAGTTTCACTTGCCCGTACTGAGAATTTACTTGCCCCGGGCAATCGGACAACCGTTAATGTTGATCCCTGAGTGCAAACTGTTTTGCTTTTAAAATGACAGTTGAATGGTGTAATTTGTAGCAACTCATCAGAAAAATAATGTAAATATAAGAAATGAATTTAATTTTTGAAAATTCTTGAGGTACATGAACAACAATGCTTCACTTCGGCATATATCATGAAGCGCTAACACGCTTTATGAAATATGCCGGCATGATGCGTCGTTGTTCGTGTCCTCATGAATCTTCAAAAAATAAATTTGTTTCTTAAATGAATTATAGAATACCAGTCTGTGATAAAATTCACTCTTTTTCTTATAAAATAGACATGTTTTGCTTTGTAAATAGTCAGTACATTGTATTCTTTGAGCATATTGAGTATAAGAAAAATATTCAAAGCATAACAAAGTCTGCCAGCTCTTTACATGTGCAATTGAAATTGACAGCTCCAAACATAGATTTCACTCAATTTTTAAAGATTTTGTTCTTTCAATTCATCTTTTAATAGCAGTAATAAAATTTACGATGTTAACTTTGAATATGTTAAATAAATTTTATTGAAAAAGGCACTATTTTTTCCATAAACAGTGAATTAATGTGTTCTTTCAATTTTCAGTGCAATTTATTTAATTCATTTGGTAAAACCAGGGACCTACATACTAACAGGATAGGCAACTCCTTCAGTGCATGTTATTTACCCAAAACGTCACACACAATACATGTACTGCAAGTTTTTCAAACTACGTTTTTCCCAGTAAAAAGCTTGTTTTCTTATTAATATAATCTGTTCTTTTTGTGTATCAGAATGGATTTTTAATAAATTTTAAAGCACACATTATAAAGAAATTTAGATATTAAGTAAACAACCACCAAAATCGTCGAATTCTCAGAAATATCGCCAATCAGGGGCATGCACTGATTTTTAAATAAAGAGATAGAGCCACTTAAGGCCTTTTTTGGCCCTGAGAATTTCTGAAAAATTGAAACTGCTCAGTTTTGGTTGAAAATGCAGTATTTATAACTTGGACACTTGGTGACCGTGTATCTATTGAACATGATGTAATTTTCTCTCTAGTCAATGCATTATGTCGTAAAAAATGCATCATTTTTCCCATATCCTGTAAATTCCCTTAAAAATGGTCAAAAATTGAGGTATTTTTTCACTATTTCATATAGAGCATAACCTCTGATCCAAAATATGCAATTACGTGATGAAAGGTCTGTTTCTGAAGATCACAAAACATGCTTTAATTTTGAAATCGTGGGCTGTGCTCATATTTTAATTCTTTGTTGAAGGAAGTTAAATATGCATGTTTTCTGCAAAATTCAAGAACATTGCATTTTGTCAAAGCCTGTTTTCCAATACTTGGATTCTCAAAAAGCAATTTAATTAAAATTAGATGTTCCGAATCGGCTACCGCTTCTCAAAATCTAACAACATCCCATTCGGGGTCATGTCAGAGTGACCTTTCAATTACCCAATGAAATTGACATCTCAGAAATCTTGGCTTATAGTTCAGATGCGTTTCTGTTTTTTACTGCCAAACCTGAATGCCCGAGGGATTTCGTAGTAAACAAAATATGCACGGTAAAGACTGTGCTATATATGAATGTGACGTGCAGGATATTTAGACATATAGTCATGTATACGTTCAATTTATACCAGAATTACTTTAATTCAACATAAGACAACCTACTGAGCATCAATAATGTTAAGATGTAGCTGTGGAACTAATTTTAGAATCGTATACAGAGGCTTGAATCTGATTGGCCAAAATTTTAATGTTTATTCATAATCGAAAGGTCTCTCTGATGTGACCCCGAATGGGATGTTGTTAGATGTTTGAGAAGCAGTAGCGAATTCGGAACATCTAATTTTAATTAGATTGCTCAAAAAGAAATTTTGTTATAGGAAATGAAAGCACTAAGTCTCTTCTTTATTTTGATATATGAAATGGGACAGAGGGCGATAGTCAATTAATTGATATAAGGACTGGGCCATTTTATGCATAAAGTGAACCTAGCTCTTTATAAACGTAATTACTACTAAGATAAGAAGTAAAAACAGGGCTAACAACAAATCTTGAATAATTTTTTGATAGATAATTTAAGGTTTTATTCTGAAATATTTGATAGCAAAATAGATATATTTAATTTAAACTGACTTACGAAATCCCGCGACTTGCGAAAGTTGCCTATCCCATTAGTATATAGGTCACTGGTAAAACCAACCGAGTTTTGGCAAACTTTGGAGTTGGTTGGAGTGGAAATCTCATTCAGTGAATAAGAATTTATCAAACTTATGATAAAATGAATTTAGTCCATACTCTTCACCATTAACAATTATGATATTAAACTATGGATTTTTCTCAATCTTGTTTATACTCAGGAAATTTTACTTTGCATACAATGGACTCAAAGAAAATTTAACTAATAGTATTTGTGAAGGAGAGCTGTTAACAACTCAGAGACTAATTACATGTACTAAATAATGTATAAATAGGGGATCTATTTGTCACTGTTTGTTTTAATGTTTTTTAGCTCACCTAAGCAGAATGCTCAAGTGAGCTATTCTGAACAAAATTTGTCCCTTGTCTGTTGCTGTCTTCATTGTTGATAACTTTTTACAATTTCATCTTCTTCTCCAGAACCACTGAGCCATTTTCAACCAAACATGGCACAGAGTATCCTTGGGTAAAGGGGAATCAAGTTTGTTGAAATAAAGGGCCACACCCTCTTCCAAGGGGAGATAATTAAGAAAAAGTAAAATTTTGGTGGGGTCATTAAAAAGCTTCTTCTCAAGTACCACCAGGACAGAAAAGATGAGACCTATATAAAAGCTTTCTGATATAGTATAGATTCAAGTTTGTTAAATCTTGACCCCAGGAGGTAGTGTTGGACCACTATGGTTGATCAAAGTTTTACATAGGAATATATAGAAAAATTTTTCTCAAGAACAGCAAATCCATGATCAGTCATATATGGAAGCAACTATAGATAGTGTAGATTCAAATTTGTTCAAACCAGAACCGGGGGGGGGAGTATGACTGATCATATTTATATTGAATCATCCTCAAGTAGTATAGATTCAAGTTTGTTCAAATCATGAACCCCAGAGGTAGGATGGTTCCACAGTGGAAGTTTTACATAGATAGACATAAGAAAAATCTTTAAAAATCTTCTTCTCAAGAACAGCAAAGTCATAATCAGTCATATTTATATGGAAGCATCTCAGATGTATATTCAAGTTTCTTTAAGTCATGACTCTAGGGGATAGGAAGGGGCTACAATGAGTTTTAGATTTAAATATGTAGAAAAAGAATCTTCTGATGAACAAACAGCGCTATAGTTACTCAGGTGAGCATTGTGGCCAAAGGGCCTCTTGTTTTGCTTTGCAGTGTTACATTCTTGTAATATTACTATATTACAGGAATTATTTATCGTCAAGCATGAGGTCTGGTTAAGTTGTGTGCTTCTAGCATCTGCCATTTTTATGCTAGCCTTCATGGGTTATGGCCTGATTGGTCAGAATTTTAATTTAGTTATGGTATGTATGTCTATAAAAAAGTAGTGATGCCTGTCACATCCCTGGTACCAAGCAGAACTTTGATTCTCAGTATTTTTGAGAAAATGCTGGTTTCCATGCAAAAAATTATGTACAAGTGTAATTTGCATCAGTAAGAAAGTTGATGTCTAAAATCTCTAAAACAAGAGGTGTTTTTCTTGAAAATCTTAATTAATTGCATCTACACCTGTTATGTATATTAAAGATGATTTTTTTGTCTTCTGTAAATTCCAGGGTGTTTTCTACATCAAGCATAGTATTTGGTTCAAGTATTTACTTGTACTGATGTCATTGGCAATGGGATTATTCATGGGGGCTGGTTTACAAGATCAACATCAAAATCTCAATTGGGTGGGTATTTGCTTTTGTAAACACAATGGTAGAATAAAATAGTTAAATTTAATTATTTGAGTTATGCTTTTGCATGTACTTAATGGGTGTTCGATTTGTTGTAGTTATACTGAAAGTACCTCTTTTGTGTTTAATACATGTTTCACATAAAAATACTTTTCTGTTTCTCTTTTTCTCCTTTTTTTCACTGAAATTATTTCTTCACTCTTCTTTATAATAGAATGGAACATCCTGTAGATTTCCTTTATATCTGGTATCTGCATGTCTGTAAATTTTACCTAACAGCTCTGCAATTGAACATTCATCTTATCCGGATTAAGCATGCAAGTGCAGACAGGTCAATGAGATATTACATGGGGAGTTGAATCCATATAGAACAAATTTTGAAATATTTCTTTTAAGTCAGAAAAAATAGGACACCAAATTCTCTTGCTTGATGCAGACTTTTCTTTGTGTTATAAAATTGACAGATGTACCAGGAGTGTGGCAGGGCTTTCACTCCAGAATTTACTCATTGAATATTGATTACAAGATTTTTTACAGGAATCATTTCAATTTAGACATGAAGTATGGTTTACCTATATTCTGACTGCACTTGCCGTCTTAATGGGAATTATGATGGGTGGTCAATTAATCGGCCAACATTTCATGTTACTTGTGGTATGTAAAATTTACATGGGCATCAGTTTATCATGGAAACAAGGTTGTTGCTCTCAACTGATGTACTGTTTTTAGAAATTTTTCAGAAGTCTGTAACATTTCAAGTAAAAGCAAGAAAAATAATCAACAAAAGTATTGGTGTATTTTGTAAAACAGCAATTTGCTAACAAGTTTGTGACAGCTAATTAGAAAAAGAAAGAAACAATTCATCAAACAAATATTTGAAATTCATCAGCCGGATAATTTTCTTTTTCTCGGGGGAAATTATTTCATGGTGAAATAAGAAAACTTTAAATATTGATCATTTTAAGCAGAGGTTGACAATAACTGCTAGCATCTCAGTAAGAAAATTTTTATATTAAGTAAACTATGTAAGAAAATCAAATTCAAGGTGTGATATTAAAGAGATATTAGCCATTATATAATTTGGTATTTAAAATTACATGTGATCAGGGATTAAATATTTTACAAAAATATTTCTCTCTTTCCAGGATAGGACAACATTGGAGAATATGAAGGATCCCTATCCCGATATAGAAACGTAAGAATCTATCATAATTACAAGTAATCTGTATTTCTGAGTGAAATCATGCAGTACTTTAGTTTTTTTTCTAAAATCAAATCATCATACTGATGAAGATGCATTTTTAAGGTATGTTTTAATTGAACAATTTTGAAAGAGTGGTGTATATGTATATGGCAAATTGAAAGCAGAATTATATAAAACATAAACTTGCATTCTCTTAATGTCCCCTTATGCAGATTGTACTGCCATTAAATGGGTGTTAGTCTCTTAGCTTTACATAGGTATTTAACAGATTTCACCCAGTGAAAACAAGAAATCTATTTTGACAACATATATTAATATGTTGATGCTTTTGGTGATAAAAACTATTACTTTGTTATGTTTTCAAAGCTGCACACAATAATAGACAATATATATTGGGATTCCATTAAAATGTTAGTCATCAAAGATTAAGTCAGGGCAAGACACCATAATCATGCATTTTGATCGAGTTTAAATCCTGTAAACATGGAATAAGTCTCTCCGACACCCTCCGAACCAGGCAAGCAGATTACAAGAGAAATCTGTTAAGTCTTACATCAGAGGAATGGAGTGAGTAGATAATCCACACAGGGGTGATAGCACCTTAACAGAGACGATTCCCATAGTATCAGGCTCATTGTTTCCCATTATAGCTGTTCTCGCATGGAGAAGTTATCCCAAAGATTTCCACATCTTCTACTCGATGTTGATCCCTCCCTTAGCTTGTGTGTTAAATCCTCGCAGCTTGATGCAATCCAGAGGTGTTAAATGGGGCATATTACTGCATCAATAATAATTAAGTTTTTCTTCAGCTGAGCAAGCTAATTATGACTAATTTTAAGTACTTATGTATATTTTTCTACAAGTCATTGAAATTTTGGGTTGCAGCAGCAGTTGTAAGTAGACCACTACTGAGCTGTTAGGGGCTGCAGACGTCTTTGCACATTTGATGATTGTATACTTAAGAATTTATCTTTCAATTTCTGACATCCCATGAGAAGAACACTCTCAATCTTGCTTAAAATAAAGAGAAATTCTTGAAATTTATCTGTTTGATGTGGGTATTTAATTCATTTCAAAATACCTACAGGTTTATCATCTCTTCTATATATTAGGCTATTTATCTGTTTTTGCAAAAAAATAAAATACAGTTTTAAAAAAGTATTAGGTTGAAAGAGATTTCTGCAGTTGAAAAATTTTTGTTTTTGAACGTATACTGCAACCCCAGCAATTTCAATCACTCTGGAATTAATTTTCCTAAACGATGTAAAGATTATGACAGCAACAGATACTATAAAAATATTAATAACATTATACTAAAAATGTTAATTTTGTTATCATAAAGTGCAGGTCAAATTCTGAGATGGTTTTTTATTTTAATTCTCAGACAAGATTTTTTTCCCATCATTATGTTCTTTGTGGCCTACTTCTCACAGTGCTGAACCACTTCTGTTTTCTCCTCCAGAGGTAATTGTGCAGGTGTCTCAACCCCCCTTTGTCATTTTGTGCACTCATAGCTGGGTATTTTTGGCACACCTGGGCTCCATGCTCATGTGAGTTTCATTTCAAGCAATTTTGTGTCTGCCCTTGTCTACATGCATGTTTATTGTTTCCAGTAATCTTGTATTCAGCATCCTTGATTACTTGGAGCCACCTTAAGAGAATTTGAAATTGAAATCTAGTTTTAACCATTATGTGCAAATGGCCATTCATTTAGTTAGTCAAATCTTAAGTGACAAATTAATTACAAGTTTCTGATAGACTGGATGAGTATTGATTGTTTGTGAAATTCCAGTGTGAATAGCTAAGAATGTCTCTGGTAATTTATTGATGTCTCTGTACAAAATTTTAGATATTTGGAATACGTTTTATAGTTTTGGCCTGGAATTGAAGACTAGGAATGTATCAGTATATTTAATTGCTTTACTTTAGCTGTACTCTTTGGTAACTGTGGTGCTAATGTAATCTTTATATTAGCACACTTTACAGATTTTTAGCACATCTCTGATCAATATCATAGGACCAAAAGAAAACTTCAATATTTCCACTATTAATTAAATGAAAGTATCTATTATTTTTCATTGTGTTTTGTCCTGAGATTTTTCAATTGTGCCTGCAGTTATATCATTTAATCTGGTGAGCTAAACTGGCTCATGATATTCATCTTGTTGCAAACTTGTTTTATTTTCTCACAATTCTTCAGAATAATAGCTTGTAATATCATACTGTTAAGCTTAAGTTGCTTAATTTCCACTTGGCATTTCTGTAATGATCCCTGTATGAGTGATATGCTATCAAGAATAGTTTTATTGTTAAAAAGTGTTATCTTTCAAATCCAGGAATGCATCTTTTACATTAATGAAAATTGGCAGGTAAAAATTCAATTATGTTTTCATTGTCTCTCAAGGTGAAAGGTTTTTTATATCTTATAAGCATTAATTCTAACCCCACCAACCATCTAATTGGAACTTAGATTATCATCAAATGTAAGATTTGATGAAATTTAAGCTTTACATAACTTACGATATGGACATCAGATATAAATGACAACTATAAATAAATCAACACAGAGTCAAGTGTTAATATGTAAAATATTTATCACGGCTAAACAGTATCAAATCAGTTGCATCTTTAAATTTCTTTACAGGATCAAAATTCGTTCTGAGTGGGCAGCTTATCACGAAATGTGCGGGGGTGGATCCATGCTTTTCTGGTTACTACCATGCCGAAGTCGACGAGGGATTCGCCCCTCCTACTATTACTCAAACTCGGTGTGACCGGAATTTCTGTTTCCCCGTTCATCACCATCTCTCATCTTTAGGACACTGGGAGCGTCTGATGACAACAGATACGCTTTTACTGTGATCGAATTAGCCATAATTCTTTTTCTTCGTTGATCTGTTCAGTGATCCGTTTAATAAAAACTGCATCTGATATAGACGGCGTACTGTTAGTTAGGGAAGGCGAACTTCATCACTGTGTGTCAGAAAAACACCAATATTTCAACTCCATTTCCCGCACAAAAAATTGTCTTGGGATCAAATATGGACTTTCTCATTATCTTCTTTTGCAGAATAACAGTGCCTAATTAAAGCGTGAGATCTTGTTGACTAGGCCGATTATTTATGTTTAGGAAATACTTTTCTTAATTACCTGACAATTGTCTGCACTATTCCTTCATATTTTGATAAATTATATATTTTTATACACAGTAGAATAGTAACGTATTTTTTTTCTTCACAATTTATCCTTGCCTAAACTGAAATAAAATGTTGAAGAGTTATAATTAATTTTATTTGTTTTATTGTTTGTTTAATAGATTTTTCTCTACAAAATGATACCAATCCGTCTCCAAACAGAAAAAAGTTTTGTATAGAAGTGAACTAAGTATGCCTGTACTTTGTACCATCTAGCGTTAACCTGCACAGTAGCAGCAAACTGAAAATTCAACTCAGAAGGAAAACGAATAAAAGAAAGATAAAGAATGGCAAGATATGACAACTTAGGTATAAAGAAACACCCTCAGAATAAAAATAATGGGACAGTTATTTGAAAGTTGGTGCGTTCTTTTGCTGTACAAGTTATCATTAAGTAATATGACACTGCCTTTGAAGAGGAAAAATTGGGTTGAAAAGGAGTGCAGACTCTTTTTGCTGAATTAACATGAAAAAAAAAAAACAAATGGAATTTCATAAAAAGATATGACGCCAAGAGGATCCGGAGACGTTTGAATCGTTTCAAAATGAACACCACTGGACTTCACCCCTAAAAATCCGGTAGAGAATTTAAAAATCAATTTAATGAGACAACAAAAACTTGAATCCTGTTTTGATGGGTATTGCTGATAAATTGTTCCATCATTGAGTGTGTTTCTAAAATCATTAATATTAGTTGATAAAAATATAATAAGTACTATAACAGTGTTTGTTTTTGCACTTGCAATACTGTAAAGGTACATAGATAGCGCACTCAGAAGTTAAAAACTTTGTCACCAACGGATACGCATAATGTCCTTTCTGACATATTTCATTTCTTAAAAAAAATCTGCAAAGTCGTCATGTTGCAGATTTTATTTAAGAAATAAAATATGTCAGAAAGGACAGTAATCATAAATCAGTACATGTAGAGCCTAGCCTCTGTATGTATTTGTTTAATAATGTATAAGCATCTTGAATTAACGTACAAAAGAGCAGTGTGCAAGGCACAGAAATATAATTAACGCTAAAATAAGTATGATTACGGAAGAACGGTATGTTTTCTCACTTCACTTATTTTTGGGTGTGTGTGTGTGTGTGTGTTTTCTTTGGTAATTATGCTCAGATTAGTTCTTTTTTTTTTTAGTAAAATGCTATAAGTATTAAGATGAATTTAACCTATTGGACAATGATTCGAGAGTATTCGAATGAGATTTAACACTACGTCATCAGTCCCGTGACAAAGTTGATTACTCGCAACTCTACCATTTACCATCATTTATAAGCCATTATTGTAAAATTTAAATGAAAATTTAAAATCTATGCAGTTTAAGTTATCGGTTAAATTTATTCATTTTACTGATAAACCGGTATAAACATGGCATTAGTTATTTTCATGATTTAAAAAAAAAAAAGGAAAAAAAAGGTATTATCTGTCCTTAATTGTGCATTCGCTAATGTGGATCCGCCACTGGTGTCCGTATTCGATTTCAGAAAAAAAATGATGCTGCTTTTGAACAAAAGAGAATTATTTATAATAAAAATTCTGAAAACTGCAACATTCAAAACTTAATTTTCACGAGAATGTGAAAATGCCTCTTGGCTATCACGGAATCAAAACATTGTGCAAGAATATAAACAAAACTCAGTGTACAGGCGTGAATCCAGGTATCAACAGAAATAACTTTAACATGTTTTATGCGTCATAAAAAATCGTCATTAATTATGAATACTCATAAAATGCAATGTACCAACAATGTAGAAGTTAATAATTATAGTGCAGTCGCAGGAACAATTTAAATGATTTTTACCAAGCCCGCTTATATACGGAGGTCCATTTATGACATATCAAAAATATTTTTTAATTCGATATAACGAATTGTCGAATTTGTTAAAACGATTTTAATTCGTTATAACAATTTTTTGAATTCCTTATAACGACTTGAATTTGTTATAACACATTTGTTGAATTCATAATAACGAATTCAAATTTGTTATAACAGATTAAAGGTGCTTAGACACAGATTTGAACTTAACATTTTCTCAAATTTTCTGTATAATATCAAGACTTATATATTGCAATAGCATTTCACACGAAAATATAGTTTAAAACTTATTTTATCTAAAAATTATTGGAACTACGAATTCCGGGACGCGTTTGATTAACACATCTTTGCACTTACACAAATTTTAACTTTATCCTTAATATTTAAGAAAAGAAGCGATTTTGTTATGTATAAATGCGAAATATTACATCTATAATCCAGGAAATTCAGAGTAGAAATGTTCGAAAGCAAAACCAACTCACCATTATTGTCAGTCCGTGCTCTGTGATGTGTACAGACTTTAACAAATTGAACACACCCGTGAAACGTAAACTGTTTTCGTAAACAGGGCACGAGCTCTGTTATTGTTAATGTTTACGATTCACCGGGTGTGTTCAATTGTTAAAATCTGCACACACCACTGAGCACGGACTTACAATACTGTGAGTGGGTTTTGCTTTCGAACATTTCTACTCTGAATTTTCTGTGTTATAGTTTTAATATTTTTCATTAATACACAACAAACTTGCCACTTTTCTTAAGTATTATCAATAAAATTAAAATATGTGAAAGCGCAAGGATGTGTCAATCCAACGCGTCCAGAAATTCGAAGTTTTAATAACTTCGAGATGAAATAAGATTTTTATTATATTTAAATATGAAATGCTATAGCAACATATAAGTCATGAAATTATACAGAAAATTTGAGAAAATATTACCTTCAAATCTGTGTCCAAGCACCTTTAAATTCATTTAAACGAATTCTAAAATTTGAAATAACAAATAAAATTCGTTTAAACAAATTCTGAAATTTGTTTTAACGAATTAAAGTCGTTTAATTAAATTCGACAATTAGGGCCTGTACAAAAGTATTTGTGAATTCGTTATAACGAATTCAACAAATTTGTTATTAATAACAATTGAAATTAATTCAAAACTTGTTATAACGAATTTAATTCGTTATAACAAATTTTAGAATCCGTTTAAACGAACTAAAATTCGTTATAACAATTTTTTTAATTCGTTGTGATGAATTCAAAAAATCTGTTATAACAGATTTTATTCGTTATAACGAATTGAACAAAATGTTATATCGATTAAATTTGTTTTAACAAATTCGACAATTCGTTATAACGAATCCAAAAAAAATTATAGATCCTAATTGGGCTTCCGTACCTATAGCTATACAGAGCCCAAAAACATTGACTTGCGTTTACAAACGAAGATGGTGCTTACGCCATCAATTCAGTTGAAACAGGGATATATATTTTCACGAATGCAATAAACATTTATATGGAAGGAATTGATTGTACCCCGCGTATATGTTTATTTACTGAGAAAATTCACACTGTCAAACAATATAATTGTAATTTTGTTTAAATTTAAGCGATATTTTTTATTTAATTTCTACCTTAGTGTATCCACATACAGTTCAGGTATTCTGATTGGGTTTTATCCACCGTTCAGATATATCCACAGTTCAGGTATTCGGATTGGGTTTTATCCACCGTTCAGGTATATCCACAGTTCAGGTATTCGGATTGGGTTTTATCCACCGTTCAGGTTGATCTACAGTTCAGTTATTCGGAATTGGTTTATCCACCGTTCAGGCATACTCAAGGTTAAGGTATTCGGGTTGGGTTCTATCAACCGTTCAGGTATTTGGATTAGGTTTTAAAAGTTTTATTCCGGTAACTTATAAGATTTGAAAGTACATTGGAAATCCAATTTCTTTAAATTATTCACTTGTAATACGTAAATATTGCTGAGATCGGAAGATTTGTGCTCCTAAAGTTCAGGTTTAATAATTATCTGTCGGTTTGTACACAATATTTACCTTGGTCATAACGGTAGTAGATTATATAGTATATACATGAACTATATTTGTACTAATATATCAGGTCATGCCTAAGAATATACTTGTATATATGTTATTAAAAGTTTAAATCTAAAGTTTAAACTTAACTATAGATAAGTTTAAACTTTAGATTTAAACTTTTAATATAACATAGCCAAAGGTAAACTACAATTTTCCACTAAAGCAAAGATAGGTTAAAGACTACTACTTCTGATGCAATTGTCCTTCTAACACAAATTGTTAGTAATTAAGCGTCAATTTTTGATGAACAAAATTAACTTGTGGACAGTGCAATGTTACTCACACTGTACAAAATCAAGAGTCTTGAAAATGTGAAACGATAATCAAAAAATATGTTATGCGTATATTAACCGTCTCAAGAAAAAAAAATGTTATAAGCAGTATATACATTAATTTTAAAAAGTGCGTCTTTTATTGTTACAAATCATTTTTTTTTTTGTACAAAATAATTGCGAGTTCCTGTTGTAACAATCTATTTTTATTTCTTAGAAAATAAGTATTTTCACATCTCCAAAAATGTAACACTTGCACAGAAAGCACTTCCGCATTTATTGTACTATTATATGATGATGAAGCAAAAGTAATTATCATTTTCCTATTTGTAAAAAGGGCTGGGAACTATTTCATCCTTTTTTTATTCTCTTATTATTTGCCAAAAAAGCAAGATTGGCGAAAATGTTGACGTACTTTAAATTCAATTCTTCAAAATGAAACTTTTATAAAACGTTGGAGTCATTTTAGGATGAGTTTTCTTCAGTTAATGTTTATATTTTATTTGATATTGTAATTGTTTCTAATAATTATTTTGAATTTTACAAAGAATGAATCGTTGGTTTTCATTGATTCAGATAGAAAAGTTCATTGGCCGTTTGTAGTACATAAAACTATATAAAGGATTGCCTGGCATTAGCATCAAATTTTTATATCCTACTTGTGTATTGATAATTTTCACATCACTGGGCGGGATTTGAAAATCCAGAACTTGCATATGAAATTTTTTCATGGCCAATGACAAAAAATGGTTCATCCTATACGAATGATTCAATTTTATAATCTATATGTGTTTTTAACTACATTTTCCGTCTGTTTGTAGCATTTTGAATGGGGAGAGGGTAATAAAAAAGTACATAAAAACACTTAACAGTATCGATTTG